CCCCCCCAAAAAAAGCCAGTGCCCATATTTTTTTTTTGCTTTTTTTTTTTTTTTTTTTTTTTTTGTATATATGTTTTTCTTTCAAGCAAGTTTACAATGGAAAAAATTCAGAAATGTGGAAGTCATTTATAATTAAGGCACAACTAGAAAGTTGATTGTGGTTTGTAAAATATCTATTCGTGATTTCACATCTGCATTATGAAAGAGATGTGAATGACTAATCATCGAATGTGGTACTTTTGGTGATAAATCAACAGCAACATCACAAAAATGAGTTGACAGGTTCAAACAATACCTGCCACCATATGGAAATTACGTCGATGAACGCGATTACTTCTAATGCGAAAGTGTTGAGGACCGCCCATATAACAGTGAGGCCCATGTACATACACAAGAACAGCCATTTAGGAGCAAAGTAGCCTCCATCTTTGTTTGTTCCAGTGCATAACAGAATGATGCTCTGCAGAGTTTGTGATCCTGCATATGCCTTATCAGCCAAGTAAAAGGAGAAACTATTTCATGACAAAACTTTTTCACCTTTAAAAAGATATACAAAAAAAAAAAGATAAAAATCTAAAAAATAAGTTAGTACCTGAGTACCTATGCCAGCAATGAGCCCTATGGCCTCAAGCCAAGCACAACACCATGATGCAAATGGACCCCATTTCGGACCGGCTAAATGAGCAGCCCAGAAGTAGAGAGAACCTGTAGTCTGTTCATATTGCAAAAAGTTTGAAAAACATAAAATGTTCTTTTTTGTTCATCCCAATTTAACTTTTGTTCCATATGTCTAATATGCATTCTTCCAAGAAAACTTGACAAGTCATTCTTGAAATCTTTACACCCTTTGAGGAATTGAGCATGTAAATTAATTTCATATGCCGGACACAAAACTCTATGAATACAATGAATACTTGTTATATAACAGAAAGTCTAATAACAAGAATATATATAGGAATGAAAAGTTACTAACTGGAAAGGAGGAACAAATCTCAGCCATAGCAATTCCCACAAACCATGTGAAGAAGGACACAAGAACCCATCCCCACACCAGAGTTGCAGGCCCTGCATATAAAAGGCTCGAGCCATACAGAGGTGTGATGCCGGTAAAAAGGGTCATTGTCGAAAACGATATTGCGAGAGTCTTGAACAGGTTCTGCAAATAAATTCCAAGAAACTTGTTATAAAAGTAGATATGGAAATAACTAGTAACTTAGCAATTTCAAGATCAAAGAAAGAAAGAATTTTGACCATTTCTCTTCTGAGCTCTTGCTTGTATCCAAGCTCATTAAGCCGCTTCTCCCCAGAATCCATTTCCGGGATTTGCCGGGCCTGATCATCGGAGCAGTCGTACCCCATGGAGAGAAGAATAATACAGTTTCTTGCTTATCTCCAAAAGCACTTGCTCTTTTGCAGAGAAAAATTTTCAGTGAGGGAGATGAGAAATTTAATAAGGTGCTGACAAAATACAGTTCTTGTTTTCAACTAGTAAAAGTCAAAGCATTGTGAAAAAAGTGTAAAGGAAGAAAGTGATATCTATGATTCTGTATAAAACATGTCAAACAGATTGCATATTTGAATTGTCTATGTTAGTTAATGTTTACTCTTAATAAAATGATTTATGTAATCAGACGAGATTTGTTCTCCGGTTTCACACGTAGCTTGTGAGTCTAAATCTGTTGTCCTCATTTTCTTGTGTGGAGGGATATGCATCGGCGGAAAGATAACAGATCTTAATTCGTATATTATAGCCCTGCATACATATAAATGCCTGTGGACATGACGCTATTGCACGTTTACATTTCAAAGTTTGACTTTCTTTATTATTTGAATAAAATTATTTGGCCGACGTGATGATCCATTGTGCTACGTATACAAAAATAAAAAAAAATAAAAAAAAATAGCTCTTTATTTTCTTCACAATTAATTAGATTATTTGAACTGCTGTTATGAAGGGCTGCCTTTGTCTTATTTTATTTTGATACTTGACATTTATTTTTAAAGGTCTAGTTATCCTAAGATTTATGAAGTGTGTAGTTTTGATCTCCTAGTTAATCTATTTTTAAACAGAATCTAACACGGCAATTGCACGAGAGTATTTTAAAACAAAGAAAATAATAAAAGAAAATTTCAAAAAAATATCTACAAAGAAAAAAAAAAATTGATCTGTAATAAAAGAACAAAATTTGTCACTAGTCTAAATATGGTTTTCTTTTTTATTTTCTGAATATTTTTTTTACATCTATTTGTTTTTTTAAACCATTTTATTTTGATCCCTCTCAAGACCGTCACATGCTAAATTTATGAATAGTCCCTGAATTTATTTATTTCTTTAGAATTAGTCATCGTAGTTGATTTTGTCCTATAAACGGTTATTGAATTTAAAAAGTGTCTCATAAATGGTGTTTCTATTAAATTTTAGATGAAAACCGTTAATCTTATATTAAACTATCTTTTCTCTTTATAAATAGTCCATACGTTAAAAGCTATACTTAATTTAGTCACTAAACTAAAACGAAATAATAATAATATGCCAAGATCAGTTGTAATAAATGTAGTCCCTGGATTAAAATTAAAATGTGATTCTACTCACACCCATTAAATTTCTAAATAACTCCACATAAATAAAAATATTTTTATTTTTTTACATATATAAAAAAATATAAACTGATCATGCGATACGCTTTGGTTTATTGTGGACTGCGGTTCTTTAGGGAATTTTTTTTTCCCTTAATTTGGTGTTGAAAGATTCCGACAGATAGGTAATATATTTACGAGCATTGTCTTGTTAGTTGAATTTTGAATGTATTAGGTTTCAACGTTTTGTTTCGTTTTGAATCAAATTTGTTTGTAAGTTTGATTTTTTTACAGAATTTTTTTAACTAAGAAAATTTAAAAAAAAAAAAAAAAAAGAAGCAAAAAAAATTGAAGTGTTAGATTAGGAATATAAAAGGGTAACAATGGGTATAATACAAAGATATTTATAAAAGTATACATTTCTAAAGATTATTATCGGACATGTTCTCATATTTAATGTTTTTCATCTATTTATTTAAAAAAGAAAATGCTTTAGGCATTATTTTTTGTTTAGAGACTAAATTTAGTACAACTTTTTATATAGAGATTATTTTTAAAAAAAGAAAATAATTTAGAGACCTTTTACGAGAAAGTTTTAACAATTTTCATCCATAATTTAATAGAAGAATCATTTATAAGATTTTTTTTTTTTTTTGAGTTCAGAAATTACTTATAAGACAAAATTGACTTCATAGACTAATTCTAAAGAAACAAAAGAATTCAGAGACTATTCATGAATTTATTCCTTAAAAATAAATAATTTATGGACCGAAAGGTCAAAACTATAGATATTTTATGAATCTCAAGACAGCTGGATGTAAAATAATTATCATAACTTACAATGAGATAAGTGCACAAGTCATGGGTATAAATAATCCTTAATTTGAATGATCCAATATCGACCAATTCTTATTACATGATGAAGGACAACAAGTAAGAAATGAGACGTAATAAAGTCACAACTAATTTTCTCATAAAAAAAAAGAATAAAATGTAGATGAAATTTATATGAGACTTAAAATAGCTGACTTGCGTTTGGTTCATGGATTCAAACCATGTGATTAGAACCATTTTCGATTTACGTATATTTTTTGTGAGAGAAAATACTGTAGCGAATCACGAACCATGATTCGAATCAGGAAACAAATCTAGGTACCAAACGGACTCGCCCGTTCACTTCGCTGATTCGAATTTAGAATTCGAGTTTTTCTACAATAAAAAGCTCTCACAAACAATCACATCTAACTTTTTTGCTACAGTAAAAAGCTCTCACATAAAGTCACATCTCAACTCAAATTCTAAACTCGAATCAGCGAAGTGAACAGTTCTAATCAGTAATAACGAGAACGTCTAAAATACTAACCGTTCATTTTGCTTATTCGAGTTTAGAATTCAAGTTTTGCTACAGTAAAAATCTCTCACAAACAATCACATCTAACTTTTTTACTACAGTAAAAAGTTCTCACATAAAATCATATCTCAACTCGAATTAAAAACTTGAATCAGCGAATTAAACGGGCCCTTTCGGAACAAAAGCCATCAGATTTCACTATCGCCAACATCCTTCTTTAACTGAGAGACAAGAGACCATCTTCTCCAATGTTTTTTTTTTGGGGAAATCTAGAAGAATGCACCTCCATTAAGGACTATAAAGATTTATATCCTTTTATAAATGTTACAGTTTCTACTCCTAATTTATTCATTTACTAGTTTATTTAAGATGACCAATTCCAAATTCTAAAATAAGGGCACAAAACTAAATTGAGTTGAGTTAAAGGGGTATATGTCCTAATTTCTCTCTTGTTTTTATGCTTGATTGGGCATTATTTTCATCAGGTTTTGGTCAACGGAAATCTTCAATAATCTCCAAAGCTTTCTTCACATTAACGTCATTTTAAGTAGTCAACATTGTCCATGATTAACAAATAACTAATGTCTATAACGTCTATTCTTAGCTATATCCATGGACCATGGCTAGTGATTATATGGACATTGTTAAACTAATTATGGTCATTGCGTAGAAATTTGTTTATATGGACTTTAAGAATTTCTAAAGGTAAAACTGTACATAAATTTGTTTTCTTTGACTAAACAAAAAAAAAAGGAAAGAAATTGTGACAAGTAATTGACATTAGAATTTAACTTGGTCAGTACCAACTTAGCACCTTTATATGCTACGTGCACATATTCTCGTAAAACTGTCTATACCCAAAAAGGTGATAATGCCAAATTGACAAAGCCCTTTTAAATTAGCTATGGAAAATGGGTTAGTTGCAAAATTTAACACTTTTAAGGAGTGATTTGTCAGAACACGAAAAGTAGAAGGGTAAAGTGCAAAAAAAATTGACCAAGACACGATCATTTCCAACGCCAATTTAAACGGCGTTATCAATTTCTATCATGTTGCAATAGTATGATTCTCCTCCGTGGAGTTGATTATAAAAATTTAAAGTTCAGGACCAATATAGATCTTTGCCATATACCAATCCGTTGACCTTTAAATTTCGAGGGAAAAAGGGATAACTTGGAGTAATATTGACCACTTAAGCTGTATGGACTACAATGTACAGCATCATCTAGATTTTTTTTATTTTTTAATCCAAATTTTAATAATTCCTAATATGATGCTATACTAGAACTGTAAATTTAGGTCAGATCAAACGAGTCGGTCCGAAACCTACCATTATTAGCCCGGGTCTGCCCGACCGGATCTTAAATCTTCTAAGTTTAAGGTCGAGTTGGGCCGACCTTCTCTCTTTTAAGACAGACTCATAATTTTAAAAAATATTTTAAAAATATCTAATAAAATTCCAGACCGAGCTGGACTTACTTAAAACTTTTTTAACTTAAAACTAGACTGAGCCGACTCTCTCTCTTTTAGACACAATTTAATTTGGCCCGAAATTTTCTTTTAGACCTCTAAGCCCAAACTTACACCTCTATCATATACAGCCCAAGTATCCTCTTTTTTATATCAATAAAATAAAATGTCAGAAATAAACTAATGATATGTATTCATTTTTATTTTTTAATCCAAATTCTAGATTCCTCATATGGGCTGGGTTTGGTAGAGATTTTAGGAGCCTAAAATCAATTCTCTACTTAACTAAAGTTGTTTTGTGTATTTGGTAAAAATCTTAAAGTGCTTCTTAAAGAATTTGTGGAATTTGGAGCCTCTGCTTCTAATTGTAGATTGTGTGGGAATCTACAATGGGATCATTAATGAAATTTTCATTATTCCCAAAATAATCCCGCTGAATCAAAAAAATTCCCTCAGCCAAAATTTTTTTTTTTGCTCGATCGGTGGTGTTTCCTCTCTCGGACTGCCTGTGCTCTCTCTCGGCCAAAGAGCTCTCTTGCCTGTTTCTCTTTCTTCTCTCCATGTTCTCTCGGACTCCCTCTCTCCGTTTTCGTTTGGTTGCTCCTGTGATTGTCGGCTAGGCGGAGTCTCTCCTCTCTCTCTGTTCTCTCGGTGTTGGTGGGTTTGTTCTCGTTAGGGTTTCTGCGATTTTGTCGTTGGCTGAGTAAATCTGCCGGTTGGAGCTCATCCTAACGCAATAGCCTCTGTAAGTACTCCATTGAGCTTTTTTTTGAATGTTGATTTGGTTGTGTTCTATGGGTTGATGGATTTTTTATAAAAAATTTTTATTTCTCTGTTATGTAACCCCTTTGTTTTGATCGAATTTTGACTCAAATTAATGGGTATTCACATACTTGGATTATAGTATAGGTTATGATTATTTAAGCATTTGAATCTTTCGTGCATATTGTTTCAGAAACGGTAAAGAAATTTTTTTTTTCCTCTCCTCTGTGAAGAAAAACCGGTGGCTAACCCTTTACCTTGAATCAGCTTTCAACTTGTTTACTTGTTGATTTCCTTTGTAACTTGTTGACTTCTGCTGTAAAAATTCCTGCCTCAGACATGTTTCTTTTTTTTTTTCAATTTTTTTTATGATGATTATGAGGATGATCAAACTCTCTCACAAAGTAAAGATGTGGTGATGTTTTATGTATGTGTAATTGTGATGATAGTTTGATTTGGAATTAGCTAGCTAGTTGTGTCACTAGTGGTGGTGAATGGTATTTAGTTTGGGAAGGGGAAATATGAAAAGAAAGATGAGAGGGAGTTTGTGGGATCCATATGCTTATTCTGTCTCTTCTCCAAAGGGAATAATGGAATATAACAGATTTACAGGAAGTTGGAATACCTGGAGAGATTAAATGAGGCGTTTGAAATGATTGAGAGCATTCGGAAGCTAGTTAAGGGTTCAAGCTAGCTACAAAGTATGTAAAACAAAATTAAAGCAAACTTTGATTTTTTACAGCCACGTTTTTAAGAAAGAAGAGTGTACCATTAGCTTTGCAAGTAGATAACATTCCAAGTAGATAACATTAGCTTTGCTCTTAATGTAATCCACCTGACACACATTAGCTTAGCACCTTTCATATTGAAGCAAAAACTGCAATTGTGTCAATTTACACATTAGCTTGAATTACATCATTGATGAGTGTACCAATGTAAAATTAGAAAGAAGAGGAAAGAAACCGTGGATGGTTAGGTTGTGGTATTTTCATTTTAGAGGCTTGAGAAACAAGAAAAATAGCTTGAGGTTTTTGGATTGTGCGTTTCGAAAAGAAAGCGTAACTTACACGTGGTTTAGCTATTCTTGTGCACAAGAACAGGGATGGTAGTTCTGTTTCTTTATTCTATTGGTAGCAAACAAATATTGAGTATTGCTTCTTAGGTTTGTTTATTAGTTGAAGTTTTTGTCTTGATAATGATTTACCCGTGTTTATTGATTGTTTTGATGGTAATGTCAATTCGTGTTTATTGATTGTTTTGATGGTAAAATCAGTTCGTGATCTTGTTTTTCACTAGTTCCTGTGGCCTGCTTGGATAGTTGCTTATCCCTTTTTTAGTTTGTTGAGAGCGATTTGTTCTTCTTGTTCTTGTTCTTTAAAATCATCAAGGTTGTCTTGAAGAACAAGAACCAAGTTGTCATTGTAGTGTCATACTTAATGTTGTGTTCTATGCCTCAGGACATCATTCTGGTTAAAGGTCTAAAGCTCGACGGCATCCAAGTTGGAATATATTCTCTCCATTGCTTACCCTTGAAGCTGCTTGGTTCAGAAGGATCGCCAGCAAGTTGCATTCTCATCAGATGAAGTCCTTTTTTCTTTCCCTTTTGTGTGTAAAGTCAAAACATTACAATTAGTCTTTCTTCACACTCTTAAATTTCAAAATGTCATTTGGAATTGTCCTTGCCATGTGCCATAAGTGGGTTTATTCTAATGTTGTAGTTTTTTTAACCCTTGTTTCATCTTTTCAGTACGTGTATATATAACAATAATTTGAATGTTCTATCAATCATTTGACGGCCTTTTAACATCGTCTAGAGAATTTCTTGTTCAGAGGATAGTAGTACACAGTGTAAATTGATACTTGTATAGATTTGGAATGTACATTTTTGTTGTATAGGTTCATTACTCATTAATGTTTCTTTTAGTTGTAATTATTTTTTTTAGTTGTAATTATATTGTGAATGAAGAAATAAAAAAAAATAATTATCATAAATTTATTGTTAGAAAACTCAAAATCATAGCATTATTTTTTTTTTTAAGTTAAACAAGTATTTCTAAATACCAAAAACAAATATACATATTTAAGTTTTATACCACGTCTATTTTGGTCATTTTACATACACAGCAATTCAACTTCAAAACTTTCCAAACGCTATTACGCTGATTTTGAAACCAGCACAGCTAGTATAATTACAGTTTATCAAACACTCAACTGCTTCTAACTCAAAATCATAGCATTATTTTTTTTTTAAGTTAAACAAGTATTTCTAAATACAAAAAACAAATATACATATTTAAGTTTTATACCACGTCTATTTTGGTCATTTTACATACACAGCAATTCAACTTCAAAACTTTCCAAACGCTATTACGTTGATTTTGAAACCAGCACAGCTAGTATAATTACAGTTTATCAAACACTCAACTGCTTCTTTCTTTAACACAACTAAAAGTAGTTTTTTTCAAAATTCATAGTACTATCAAACTAAGCCATGATCTCATACAGTCTAAGTGTCCCTTTTTTTATATCAACAAAATAAAAAGAGTTTCATACGCTTTAATAAAAAAAATGAACTATTAATAATTTTTTATTTTTTTTATCTATTTTTGTGATTTTAATTTTAATTGTCACTATTAATAAAAAGACCTATCAGAAAAAGTCTAATAAAATTTGTCAGAGATAAACTAATGATATCGATATATTAATGTACAACATAAAAGATCAGGCACATTATATACCCTTCTATATTGAATTCAAAATTTTCCAGCTCAGACCAATCGTTACACCACAATTAAGCACACGGTGAGATGTTTCAAGAAAACGCAAACAATGAGCCTTTATATACTTGTTTAATATATTATTAGGATTATTATTATTTGTACTCTTGAATTTTAAAAATTCTCACTTTATCCTTTTAACTTTAAACTTCCCTCACGTAAGCCCTTTTGTTATAATTTTTATTAAAATCGGGCAGAAAACATGGGGATTTAACTGTGACTATTTAATTTTTATCTATTTGTTTTTAACAGAAATTCAAACAGAAAAATTACATGACTGTATTACTCTTTTTTTAATTATTTTTTACATAAATTACAATAGAATGAATTAAATAAGAATAATTCAAAATTTAAAAGATAAAATAAGAATTTTTAGAGTTTAAAAGATAAATTAAGAATCATCTTAAAGTTTAGAAAGTACCAATAATAATAATCCTAAAGGAAGACATAGTTGTCTTTTCGAACCTAATACATTACAAAGATGCTATTTTCTTCTTTTTCTTCTCCTGCACAGCTGGTCTTCTTGCTCCCATTGTTATTGCAGAATTACCTCCCTAAAAATGCTGCTACTTTCTCCTCCATCAAGTTATAGCAATTGTAAGGATATTTATGGTTGTTTAAATAATTATGAGAAGGTATTTTTCATATTACAAAGAACTCATAAACGCTCAGAACCCATTCCTTGCCAATTAAAAAGGAGAATCAACCTTTCTGGTCCAGTTTTGGGTGAAAATTCTGAAGAATTGCCCCTTTCTTTTTTCAAAAAAAAAAAAAAAAAAAAAAAAAAAAAAAAAAGAACAGGCTCGGCTCCAAATTATTAAGGAAGTGATTTGAGGCGCTAAAAAATAATACCAAACTGTCTTTGATGGGCGAGTTTGGTATGCTTTTGAAGACTCCGAAAGTCTTTTACGACGTAAGAGAAATGCTAGCATCACTATTTTTGTCACTCTCTGCATTAACTGTTTGACACGTGGACTTTACTATCTCATTTTCTATTTAAATAATTACACATCATATTAATAGAGTCTACATGTCAAATACTGAATGTAAAAAGTGATAAAGAAAGTGATAGGAAAAGTGATGCTAACATTTCTCTTCGAGATAATACGCTGAAAGACTGAAAATAGTGTTTGGTAAGAAAGTGTCTAGAAATACTTTGCACATATACTAATGTACTTTTACAGTTACTGATCCCAGGGGCGTGTATAAGCACCCATACGCATATAGGCATGGATACACGCCCCGGATCCACACTGGCGCAGGACAACAGGAAAGAAAGAGAAAATGTAGAAGAGAAAAAAGAAAAGAAAAGAGAGCGTTCATAATTTGCAGAGAGAGAGAGAGAGAGAAATGGAGAGTGACTATAAGAAAGATTCTATCAAGTCTTACGTTTAATGACAATCTTTAGACCTATTTGTAAAAAGAAAATAACGAGAAAAAGAAACTAAACAAATAGAAAAGTAGACTAATAAATAACGAAAACTACCCAAACTACCAATTTTAAAGAGAAATGTACTAAAATGGTTTGGGAAACTCAAACTGTAACAAAGCATTACAAAGTGACTTAAAAAAACACTTTCTATTTTCATTTATTCTGATCTGTTTCAAGCTATTCTCGTTCGTCGTCACACACTTAATCTGGTGTCTTGGCAACAAAGTATTCCTTATTTTATCTTATTTTATTCATGCATATACTTATTTAATTACTCTGCTACTTCCTTTCTAAAAAACTCTTGGTGATAATCTAGCCTAAAGTTAAAGTTATGCCATCAACTGATAAGAAAAGTAGAGTAAATTTGTTCGATAAGTGGTTTAAAAATGCCTCTACCTTGGCCAATGAGCTTCCAAAATCCTTGCTTAAATATGAATCTAGACAAGTTGCAGAGGAACAAAGCATGGTCATGGCTTGTGATAGATCACGCAAATCCACTGCATCTTATATCAGGGGAGCTGAATCAAATGAATGAAGAACTTGCTCCAATATCATTCTTATATGGTCATTGAGTGGATTCTCGGGTTTGTCTGAGTGAGAGATATTTAGGAGGTAAAGCTTCTTTGAGGCAACAAATGCTGCTGTAAAGATCCTCTTCATGCCTCCCCTAGTGCTGTCAACCTTGTACTCAAACTCATACACTTGCAGGCCTTCGCGCCCTGATCTTTCCGCAACGTCAATCACCTCAGCCTCTTTTGTACTCTCCTATAAAATAGACAAACTTTTTATCGGAGCGATACCTTTGAACTCTCCAAGAAAAAAAAGACAAAATATAGCGAGAGAGAGAGCAAAAGACCAAAAAAAAAAAAAAGAAAACAACTACGGCAAGCTCAAGCCAATATCAGTCAGTGAAACTTTCTTATCAGAAGGTAGAAACAGCTCAGCATAACTGACAAGCTTGCATATATTCAATTGTTTCCTGAGCACAAGATTTTGAGTTTCAAAATCCACCAACAATGGCCTTAAAAGTGGTAGTAGGGATTGTAATTATAATATGTTGTGTGCTATGCCCAAAAAGAAAAAAAGAAAAAAAAAGAGATGTTAATTGAGTTCTTATATTGTACATGTACTCAAAAACATTCATAACCGTTTCAGTATTGTTGGATTTGGTTAGGAACCTATATAGGTTGAGTGACTAAACTTGATTCTACAAGGCTATGACTATAAATGATGTCCATGATGATGGATCTGATCTTTGGTCTTTAAATAACTGAAAGATATTAGTCAAACGACCAAACCTGGACAGAGTCTAGCTTTTGTTTGATATTTTCCCTCTACAGCCATTTACTGTTCTTTTTGGACATTGATGAGCTTGTTATTGTCATATGATATAAAAGAATCATTGTTTGTTGGAGAAAAGTATGAATTATCAATTAAATGGTAGCATTTGAGTCGCCTTGCATTACAGTGACTTGACAGCAACAAGGGACATCCTAGTCTACCAGTTACTACAGAGCACTAAACTATCTGTATGCAACCAAGATACGAAGCATGTACTTCAGAATCCCGATTATGTTTTTCATTCCAAAACAAATCATAAGAAATCTACGCAAATCTTGTGGCCTTAATGCTAATTGACTTGAAATATTACTCTTTTGTGCTCATCCATCACTTCAGTAAAGCTTTAGAGCATCAGAAAGACATTCCACAAACTCAAAGCTAACACAGATAAGTTAATTTCTCAATGATACTGCTTTTCAAAGGGACTGGATGGAATTAGACTAGGACTGAAACTTTAACTTAAATCCAAGATATCTTGGATTTCAAATACGCCAATAAAGAAAGATAAGGAAAATTTTCAGCTGTGATTGGAGTTGGTAGAGCATGACTCGAGGTATCCATCGGTAGAAACCGGCTCCAATCATTTCTTGATCTTTGAAATCAATTTATCGGGCTTTCGTGCAAAGTTGTTATCATGCTAGATGAAAGCTCAGTAAGGAGGTTTGCGAGAATCTCATCACTCTCCCCAGATGCACCACTCAATCCTTCTGAACTTTGAAACGTCTACGAAAATGCCTCTTCCATCGCAATTCCATCAATTTCTGCTGGCATGCCACTAAATTTACAATATGAATATCTAAATTTCCAATTTCAGCGGGAATTGACGGGATTGTGATGAAAGAGGCATTTCTGCAGACGTTTCAAAGCTTGAGGAGGACGAGTAGTCCGTTTCGAAGTGCATTGTCCAGATGACATTGGTAACATAAATCGAGGGACATTGTTCTAAAATATCCCTTTGAATTCCTAATTGTCTCTAAATAACAACTGACCCCATAAAGTACCAGAACTGATGACAGTTTTAGACAATGGCTATTGATAGGGGAATTCCAACAAGCAATTACCTTGCGCCTTTCGGCTTGAATAAGCTTATCAGCCACAAATTCAGGACTCCCAAACTCCCGGAGATTGGAAAGCCGAACCGGGTTCACCACGACCCCGACATTGTTGCTCCCCTTGTTAGCCTCTTCAAATAGAACAGTCGCCCCTGCTTTATCAACCTAGTAATATCATCCATAACCAACCAATTACTAAGCACATAAATGATTAATACTAATAATAGTTACTATTATTATAAAAGTAGAGAGAGGAAAGCAATACCTTAATCCAAGAGGAAGGCCTGAGAAGAGTGAAACCCTCATTGGAATCCGTGTATCTCTCGAGCTCAAGCTCTTCCGCAGAAAAGGAGTTTGGCAAGTATGGGGAAAACCCATTTAGAACTAAGGCCAGAGATGAGAGGCAGAGCTCTCTCTTGCCCAAAAGAGGCCATGTTTGAGGGTCATAACTGTGGCGTCTGTGGTTCAGAGATGCTTGGGGGTGTGGATTTGGGGAGAGAGTTTTGGGAGAAGGGAATGTGGGTAAGACGAAGGAACACCATGTCTGTAGAGCCATTTATTTACGGATGAAAATGGAGAAATATCCATGCAAATATGGATATCCAAGGGCATGTCTGTAAAATTCAACCAATATATGCGTGTCCTAAACATAGCAAGAAAAATGTCTAAAAACACCACTAGTATTAAGCAACCTCACTAATAAAAATTAAACCTTATTTGTGATTCTTACATTGTAAAATTCACTTTCTAGTAGTGGCTCGTTATAACAGTGTTTAAATAAGAAATATGAAAATGTTGAGAGACAGAGGTCCCGTTCATTTCACTAATTCGAGTTTAAAATTTAAATTTTGTTACAATAAAAAGCTTTCAGAAACAGTCACATCTAATTTTTTTGTTACAGTAAAAAACTCTCACATAAAGTCACATCTCAACTCGAATTAAAAACTCGAATCAGTGAACTAAACGGACCATCAATGTTTCACAGGAAACTTGTTTTCTAGTTTTAGTAACATTATTTTAGTCTATAGAACCCTCATTTTGTCCTGCTGTTACTTATAACCAATTTCTTGATACTTATAAATGTATTGCATCTTAGGTTTCTCAAATTTCTGGATCATGACATCCTATTTTACTCCGCTCCTTGGTCCAAAGCTATCATTGTCGGAGGTTAGTTTTAAACAAAGTTTTCAACGTTTATTTACTACATTAAATCTGTATTCCTCAAGTCTGCATGCTCATCGTTTTATGGTAACTACGTTTCTTCTCATGATTTAGTGCTTTGATTAAAGCAATTTTGGAGCTAACAAAGAGGCTATGCACTATCTAATGTTACTTTTTTATTGTACATTTCATCGCTGTTATCCATTTATGTAATTGCAGATTGATTTTGAAAGACTAATTATTAGAGTTTTGAGGGGAGATGAGAAGAAAAATAAGGGAGAAAAATTACACTTTGGCCCGTTCACTTCGTAGATTCGAGTTTTCGATTCGAGCTGAGATGTGATATTTTCTGAGAGCTTTTTACTGTAGCAGAAAAAGTTAGATGTGACATTTTTTTAGAGCTTTTAACTGTATAAACCTAAAACTAAAAACTCGAATCGGTGAAATGAACGAGGCCTTTATATGGTGTTGAGCTTTCATCTTAAAAGATTAACCTGCTTAAGTGGGTTGACTCAATATTTTTATATAACTGTGATTATGTTTATATTTAAACGATATGGAACTAAGACATTTTACTCTTAACACGCTCACACAAAATAATACTTTGTTAAGAATCACCAATCTTACATTTTGATGGATCGACTCAACTCGTTTGAGTAATGAGCTCGGATACCATAAGGAAGAACTTGCAAACAAATACAAAACTAAATGCAAACAAATACTAATCTCAACTTTTTTTTTTCTTTAATCTCGTATCTCGTCTTTCATGAAAAACTTGCAAGTCCCATGGGCCACAAGGGATTGGGCCATGGGCCAAGGCCAATTTTGATGTTGGAAGTTAATATTTTTCAGATTTTACTGTACGTTGACGTTCGTTTGCAAGTTTTAGGATGATAAAATTTGTTATCATCGGGTGCTTGGCGATTCTTTTCTTATTTATATATTTGGTGCAGGAAAATGTAAATTATTATTACGGTTTTTAAAATTTTTTTTATTTATGAGACATCGTTTCAATATTGTGAGAGCAGCAACAAATAATAATTTTTAAACACCACTGATACAAAAATGTGCTTTCAACTATATTAAAAACACAGAAAAGCTTCTCTTATCTATCTTCTGAATTATTATTAATAAAAAAAAAGAACTAATTTAGACCCCACTTATTTAATAGATGACGTTGAAAGGATAAATAGTCATAATCCCAAAAAACGACATCTAAAATGATACTTTTAGACCCCGTTCACTTCGCTGATTCGAGTTTAGAATTCAAGTTGATATGTGACTGTATGTGAGAGCTTTTTACTGTAGCAAAAAAATTAGATATGATTGTTTGTGAGAGCTTTTTACTGTAGAAAAACTCGAATTCTAAACTCGCATTAACGAAGTGAACGGGGCCTTAGTAGTTAACATAACCGTGTACGGAATTAGAATGGACGCATTCAGCGCAGTTATCATGATTTTTTTTTCTCTCTTTATTAATTGAATGATAATTATTTATTTTTTTAATAGAGTGATATAAATAATAATTTTTTTATTATTTTCAGTGGTATTTCTGAATTTTTTTCTCAATAGATCCACGTTGAAATCCAACAAATTCATATCAGAAGTTCTGAATTAATATTTATGTCATTTTAAATAATTAAGGGTTATCATGATATTTTTTTCCTCTCTTTATTAATTGAATAATAATTATTTATTTTTTAATAGAGTGATATAAATAATAATTTTTTTATTATTTTCAGTGGTATTTCTGAATTTTTTTCTCAATAGATCCACGTTGAAATCCAACAAATTCATATCAGAAGTTCTCTTGAATTCATCTTTATATTATCCAAAATTACAAAAATATTTTTTAACGCTGTCAAACTTAAAATTTTTTTTAATCAGGTACAATTTTTTTTTTTTTTTTTTACCAAAGGTAGGACATTGGAGTGAAAAAAGATGGCCTCTGTGTGCGCTGGCCAATTAAGAAACCCGACATTCATTAACATATTCATGGATTCGGTCAAATTGGCTTCATTGACTTTTTTTTCTTCCCTTTATTGAAGTTGGTAAGCGCATGGGATCTACAGGTTTTACATAATTAGAGAGTTTGGCCGTGCAAATAAAGGGGGAGTTTGGCATTACTTTGTTGTTAAAAATTTTTAATCTTGCCGTGCTATTAGTAGTAAATTGTTGTGATTAGAAGTATATAGATGTGTGATAAATATTTTTACAAAATTATTGTGAATATCATAAATAAAAATTGAAGTGTTTGGTAAATTGTATATAAAATTATTTGTGAAGATATATAATGATAAAAATAAACATATTTTAGCACACATATAAAAAGTGTAACTTTAATTTTATTAATTAAAATGCTCTTAAAAATAAATTACTTATTTTCAAGGAGAAAAATTATTCATCTATTAAATTTTTTATTTATTGTTGTTATTTTTATACATTATGATAATTATTAAAAAAAAATTGAATAAAATTCCGCATAGCATATTTATCAAAGATATTTAATTTTAAAGTAACTATGTTAAAAAATATATATTTTTTAATTTGCATGGAAAAAGTCAAATAAGTAGAATGAGAATTAAGTTTTGTTATTGAGGCTGTCTTAATAAATTTGGACAATAACATCACAAGCTGCTATGTAAAAGTAATCCTTGATATATTTCTCAGATTCTGCTGCTTGACAACATATTTTAGAAGTTGCTAAATAAAAACAGAGAATTTACCAAAGACTCTAAGAGCATCTCCAATGCAATGCCATAATTAATGCGCTAATTGCAAATTTAGCATTTGAGTGTAAAAAATATTCTCTAATACAATGCTATTTGTTGTGTCAAATTTCTCATATGTTATACTTAATAGAAATATGATAAATTTGACATTTGATTATTATTGATTGAAATGTTTACTTTTCGTATAATCATTGTAATTTTTACATTTTCTAATTATTTTAAAAATAAAAGTTTACTTCTGCAACTTTCAAAACTTAAGTGCTTAATATTATGTATTATAGCAAAAATAAAAATAACACACCAGGCCATATCATACTTTTTAATGCTAAATACGCAATTGATATTAACATTCACATTGGAAATGGTCTAACTTATTATTAACTTCTTAAAAAAGGTAAGAAATAGAAGTAGCCTCTGAAGGCAGAAACGGGCAATCTTTGCACGTAAACTAATGAATCAATACCATAACAATGAGAGCAGTACTACAGAAAAGAATTCTCAGTTGACTTTCTTTCACACATATGCCTTATTCCATGTTTATTTATTTTTGAGAAATCGTGAAGAAGTAAAAGAGAGGAGTTTTGATTTAAATTTGCATGCCAACCAATTAGAAGACCCAGTAATATTAATACTAGTACGGCGCACGACTACGCGTATCGATCGAAGACAAAATCATAACATCCATGCTCCGCTATAAATTGATCAGCTCTAACTTTGTTTCTTCATTATCAATCCACATTTTTATCCTTAATTCTCATTTGATCAATTCGTTCCTCAATATTGACGACCGATTTTAAAACTCCCTCTACGAGTACGAAAACTTACTATTTTCACTAGTAATTCTGATAAATATGGCTTTGCCCATCAAAGGCTGTTCTCTAACATGCGCTGTTGCATTATTCTTGATGCTTTTGAGTACAACTACTCATTGCACAACTTCGATTCGAAGAGCTATTTCGGCGGAACGTCGAATGGCGGCTTCTCTCATTCGCCTTCATTTCCATGATTGCTTTGTCCAGGTATTTTAATTTACTTAAACAAAAAAGTCTAAAAAAAAAATGTTGCTGCATGCCGGTTTTATTCTTTAATATATTTGTTTTCACTTTTTTTTTTTTCTTATTTTATCTATGAAACTATATTTGTGTCGTGTACGTTTTTAATTTTTTATTTTTTTTCCCTGTAGGGCTGTGATGCGTCAATTTTACTTGAGGATTCAGCTTCTATCAAAAGCGAAGTGAACGCAGGTCAAAATAAGGATTCCGTCAGAGGTTTTGACGTCATAGAAAATGCAAAGAAAGAGGTGGAGAGCATATGTCCTGGGATTGTATCTTGTGCTGATATTCTTGCAGTAGCATCTCGTGATGCATCAGTCGCTGTAAGTATAACAATATACACACACAATACATGCATGCGCAAACATTTTACGTAAAAATATGTCAACACAACATGACTTGAAACATTAAAGTTAATAAAACAATCTCTAAAGAAAGAGAAGAGAGAGAGAGAGAGAGAGATTTGTTATAAAGTATGAAAAGGATTATTAATGGGATTCAATTTTTAACAGCCAAAATCATTGAATATAAAGTACGATAATTGATGGAATATAATGAAGATCTAATGGAACAGTAACTGGAAAGTACTTTTCATATCCTCCTAAATATTACGAAAGAATGTAATCAAGGATTTAGGCACAGACACACATAAACTAGGAAAAAAAAAATCATACCAAATTACAGTACTGGACACCCGACTCAAAATTCAATGAGTTCCCTCTCTTCTTTATCGTCGAACAGGATGCATCAACTCAACTCTACACAAATTGGTCAAGCTGACATCATTTTAAAGACATGGTAGCCTTATCAGGTTTGTAGCAACTACCTTTGTTACTTGTTACTACCTCATTGTATATTGTAAATTAATTAAAGTAATAGATACTCATGATCATAATACATACTCATGATCATAATAACTGGAATTAAAATAAAATTCATCATGAGCAATAAAACTCGATATAAAGTAGCAAGTTTGATCAGATGGATGAACTATATACACATTGTTGCATGGGGCATATGCCCTCACTTGAATTTTAACAATATTTATTTTTTTAGTCCTAATCTTTTTTTTTTTAAAAGTTTTAGTTATATGTCCAATTCAATTAAGAAAAATTTTAATAGTAATAGAAATATATAACTATGTTGTTGGGTTAAAACTTTCATCTAATACGTAGCATGGCTCTGTTAAATATATTGTAGGTTCACATACAATTGGACAAGCTCGATGTGTGACATTTCGTGGTAGAGTAAACAACAACACAAGTGACATCGATGCTGGTTTTGCCAGCACTCGTAGACGTCGCTGCCCCGCCGATGTTGGCACCACTTGATCTGGTGACACCTAACCAATTGGACAACAACTACTTCAAGAATTTGATTCAGAAAAAAAGTCTTCTTCAATCAGATCAAATCCTCTATAGTGGAGCACCAACAAAGGATATTGTGACCGAGTATAGCAAGAGCCGTTCAACCTTTAGCTCCGATTTTGCATCAGCCATGGTTAAAATGGGGGATATTGAACCTCTGAATGGTTCTGCTGGGGGGATAAGAAAGATTTGTAAAGTTGTGAACTAAAATTTAATTCAATGGTTAAGTTGATTCGTTGATTCAAAATGTACGTATAACTATTTATGATTTTAGTATCTATCGAAGTTCAGTGTGTTTGTAACAAAATTCATGACGCTTAATGTATGTACTCGCTTTAGCAAACAGTGATATATAGCAATTGTAAACATGTTAAAATAATTCATATTTTGAAGTCGGTTAATTCTTTTGATATCATCTTTACTAATTGGGAGAAAATGTGAAAAGGATATGAACATGAAAACCTCCAACATGCAAAAATGAAAAATAAATTAAAAAAAAAGATTAGTGGTACAGAAACAAACTGAAATCATGGAAAATATTTTTTTTTTTTCAAAAAACGAAAAATAAATAGCACTTAAAAATACTTGAAATAACATATTTTGTGCATAAATAATTTATTTACTTTAATAAATAAGTCATTTACTTTTCGTAAAGAAACTATTTACACAGTAAATCTGTGATTTACTTTAAACATTAAAAAACGCTCTATTTACTTGAGAAAATTCAAAAGAAAAATATTGTTTATCTCTTTCTTCTGGAAATAAGTACGTATTTTATATTGACCAAGCTTAAGACTAAATTCCCGTAAAAGAAAAGCTTAAACTAATTTTAATGTAATTAGCTACCATTTGACGTAATAATTTGGTTCTTGACCATTTACTCTTTTTAATTAATTAGTGGCATCTAAGTTGGACCCATCAATCAACGTTTCTCTCATTTAAGGAAAAAAAAAATGACTTTTTGACGTTCATAATGATGTTTTTTTTTTTTCTCCCTTTTGTCTGATTAAACTGTAATTTCATAAAGAATTGTCTCGGTTAATAAAGTTACAACTTTAGTATTTCTGTTAATAAAAAGTCAAGTTTCCTAATGGTTTTAAAAATGTGAGTTACATGACTCATATGCACAAAACAATATGAGGGGACCATGATAATGCGGGGGTTATAAGCTATGGCGATACTTAGGGATAAAACGATGAAATATTTGTGATTTTTTGGATTGAAGTTTTTCGAACTTTTAAAGTCTACTTCATTTAAATTTATTTAATTTCACTTTATTAAGCAATCATGTGAACGGTGCGTGTTTTAAACAATTAAAAACCAACTTTTAATTGAGGGAAGTACCAAAGTAAGAACTAAGAATTTTTGATAAGTTCAGAGCTAGTTTTGTGCCATTTTGAGTCGTAGGAAAAAATAAGACCACTCTAATTATTTTCGGGGTTAAAGTTGAAATTAGTCCGATATTATAAGTACATATCTTATAAAAATATCAAGATCATAAGTAACTAGATGAGCTATCTATTGAATTTCCTAAAAGAGTACTAATTTAATTAATATTTTAAATTAGCCCCGTTTTTTGCCATTTTTATTTGGAGTGTTAAATAATTTCAAAAAGTTAAAGCAGCAAAATAGTGAGTGGGAACGGGCATTTAAAGAAAAGGCCTAATTATGATCTCATTCGTTGATTCAAGAAGAATAATGAGTGATGTTTAACTCGATCTAAAGAGAACAATTCACCAAGCTTTATTAAATTTCCTAAGAGAATAGTTTAATTAATAATTATTGTTAGCGATTGACCTACCCTCCAGCGACAATTTCTAATAATGGTTGTTAATATATGAAACTTTAGCTATACACTCAACATGGACTAATCAATATCGATCAAACCCATACCAAACCTAGTGAAATAATAAGTTTTTGTAGAGATCAATTTCCAAATCTCTGTGTTCAATGAGAAACAAGTTGAAATAGAAGGTGTTGATGATGAAGAAATAAAGTTAGAGCTCGTCAATTCATAGCAGAGTATGGTGATTTTTCTGAGTCTTCGTTAATCGACGCAGCGACCCATACGTAGTACTAATATTACTGGCATGCAAAACAAAACTCTTTTATACGTTCTTGCTTTGAGATTTCTCAAAGAAGAATTTTTGTCTGTAGTGCTGTTGATGGTAATGGAATTATATTTTGATTTTAAGTTCACGGGCTAAGATTTTGTAGTATGATCAAACTCTTATAAAAATAATGTGAAACCTGTAGATCCATTATTGCCTTAATTATCAACTCCTAAGATGGAAAAACAAAAGTCAATTATTCTAGAAATCATTGAGTTAGCTAATTTGACCTGTGACCCAAACCATAACATGTTCATGAATGTTCAGTTTCTTGGTGAAATTTTCGCACACATGTATGTCAATTAACTCCAATGCCCTCCATTTGGTGAAAAATTTTGCATCATAATTTCAATGCTATATTTACTTTTATAATTATCTGGCTTTAAAATTTTATTTGATAACAACATTGACCATGCTGTAACTATTAAATGAAAATGTTAAACACATCGAGCAATAGCTAACACATATCAAAATTTTGGAATATGCTATATATGATAATTGATGTAATATATATATATATATATGTATGTATATATATATATATATCATCGCTAGAGGTCAATCGGAATAATAAATGTCTCTTATTTTAAGAAAAATAGTAAAGCTTGATGAATCGTTCTCCTTAAGGACTTAAACATCAACCATTGCTCTTCTTGAATCTTTTTTAGAAAACGGTATTTTACACATTTGCCCTCTAAACTTGTATAATTGTAACAACTTACCTTCTGCATTTTTAAATTTAACAAATTGTATTCTCAACTCGTGACATTATTATAATATATATATATATATTATATCTCATTTTGATGATAATTGTATTAAAATAGTGTAAAAATAGCACGTAAAAATTCCAACATTCTAATTCAAATGTAGCAGAAATATTTCAATTCCTTAACTCTTAATCCCTTAAATCCAATAAAAACTCATACAGATTTAGTAAAATGGGGCACATTGCAATAATTTTGCAAATTTGGAGGATTTTTTGAAAAAATTAAAAGTTTAGGAGACAATTTGCTAAACCGAAACAAATTTGAGAGGCAATTGTGCTAAAAATCATATAAAAAATTTAATAGATATCTCATCTGGTTACATATGATCTTGATATTTTTACAGGATCTATATTTGTATTATTGGGCTAATTCTTGATATTTTTACAGGATCTTTACTTGTATTATTGGGCTAATTTCAAATTTAACCCTAAAGAGAACAATTAGGCGGTTGTCTTATTTTGTAGTATGACCAAACTCTTATAAAAATAATGTGAAACCTGTAGATCCATTATTGCGGTAATTATCAACTCCTAAAATGGAAAAACCAAGGTCAATTATTCTACAAATCATTGAGTTAGCTAATTGGACCTTTGACCCTAATCATAACATGTTCATGAATGTCCAGTTTCTTGGCGAAATTTGCGCACACACGTATGTCAATTAACTCCAATGCCGTTCATTTGGTGAAAAATTGTGCATCATAATTTCAATGCTATATTTACTTTAATAATTATTGGGCTTTAAAATTTTATTTGATAACAACATTTGCAATGCTGTAACTATTAAATGAAAATGTTAAACACATCGAGTAATAGCTAACACATATCAAAATTTTGGAATATGCTATATATGATACTTGATGTGTGAGTGTGTGTGTGTGTGTGTGTGTGTGTGTGTGTGTATTATATCATAATATATCATCGCTAGAGGGTAGGTCAATTGGAATAATATTTGTCTCTTTTAGGAAATTTAGTAAAGCTTGATCAATCGTTCTCCTTAAGGAGTTAAACATCAATCATTGATCTTCTTGAATCTCTTTTAGAAAACTGTACACATTTACTCTCTAAACTTGTATAATTGAAGCAACTTACCTCCTGAATTTTTAAATTTGACAAATTACGTTCTCAATTGTGACATTATTATAATACATATACCTCATTTTGATCATAATTGTATTAAAATAGTGCCAAATTAACATGTTCAACTAGAAATTCTAACATTCCAATTCAAATGTAGCATAAATATTTCAATTCCTTAACTTTTAATCCCTTAAATCTAATAAAAAATTCATACAGATTTAGTAAAATGGGGCACATTGTAACAATTTTACAAGTTCGGAGGATTGCTTGATAAAATTAAAAGTTTGGGGGACAATTTGCTAAACCGCAACAAGTTCGAGAGACAATTGTGCTAAAAAGCATTTAAAAAATGTAATAGATATCTCATCTAGTTACATATGATGTTGATATTTTTACAGGATCTATACTTGTATTATTGGGCTAATTTCAAATTTAACCCCAAAGAGAACAATTAGATTTAGGGTTGTCCTATTTTCTCTTATAACTCAAAATGGCACAAAACTAACTCTCAATTTATGTTAATTTTTTCAACTGTTTTAAACAGGTCCGGGTTTTTTCAACTGTTTTAAACAGGTCCGGGTCACATAATTGCTTAATTAATACAAGTGAAAGTCAATATATTTAAATGAGGTAGACTTTAAAAGTTTGATTTTTTTTTTTAAAAAAAAAAATCACAAATACGTTATCACTTTAACCCTAGGAATCGTTACCTCATTTGCGCATAATAACCCCCACGTCAGTCCTCCTGTATTGTTTTTGTACGAGTCATGTGACTCATATATTTAAAACCATTAGAAAAGTTGAGTTTTTATTTACGAAACCACTAAATGCAACTAGTACTAAGCTCGAGGTCAGTTTTGTGTCAATGAAATGTATGTGATTAAGTGAGACAACTCCAAAGTCTTCATGAAATTACAGTTTACTCAAAATTAGTTTAATCAAACAAAAAGCAAAAAAAAAAAAAAAAAAAAAAAAAAAGGAAAAAAAAATAAATGAGTGAAATAACATAATTAGTAGAGTGATTAGTAAATTATAGTATATTTTTAAAAAATAATAGATTATAGTATAATTTGATATTTTAAGTCTTAAACAATATTAAAAATCTAAAAATAACCCTAAGCTTCCTTTTAACCTCTTTCTACTTCTCCCTATACTAAAGTCCATCATGGCCGGCTCTGACGATCAGGCGTCGGCTTCAGCGACCGGCTCCAACGACAAGCTCCGGTGGTCAACAACTATTTTCCGGCGGCTGTTGCTGATGATCATTTTTCGGCGACTATTTAACATTGTATTTTCTAGTAAATAATGTATTTACTAGTAAATATTCCATTTATCAGAAAGTCTGACCATCGATTCCGGTGATCATTTAACACTGTATTTACTTGTAAATATCATATTTATTTGAAAATCCGGCCGCTGACTCCAATGACTGTTTAATAATGTATTTACCGGTAAATATTGTATTTACCACATTTAATCAAAAATCCCAGAGCCGCCTTCGGCGACTTGTAAATAAAATATTTACGGTAAATATCATATTTATTGGTAAACACCATATTTATTTGAAAATCCAGCGACTCGTAAATACAGTATTTATTAGCTTGTAGGGAGAGGGTGCCCAAGTGGTTATAAACTCACATGCTAAGTCCATACTTAGCAATGTGGGACTCAACCAAGATCCTAACATACCACCACGCTTCCGACACCGACGTCCACGGCGGCCCACTTTGGATGGCCCACTCTGGCCTTTCAAGGTCGCTCCTCCCCAGGTCGCCCCTTCCGCAATGTGGGCCTGAGGAGGAGCATGCTCTGATACCAATTGTTATAACCCTTGGGTAGAACTCATCTCCAAAAGCTAGCTTGTAAGGAGAGGGTGCCCAAGTGGTTATAAACCCACATGCTAAGCCCATACTTTAGTAATGTGAGACTCAATTAGGATCCTAACATACCACCACGCTTCCGACACCGACGTCCACGGCGGCCCCTCTGGATGGTCCACTCTGGCCTTTCCAAGTCGCCCCTCTCCAGGTACCATATTTATGTAAAAATTCGGCGCTCGGCTCTAGCTATCGGCAAATATTTTATTTACCGGTCAATATAATATTTACTAAATTATCTGAAAATTAGACGAATGGCTCCGGCTACCATTAAATACTGATAAATACAGTATTATCATATTTATATGCAAATTCGGTGACGTGATAAATACTATTTATTGGTAAATACATATTTACTAGATTCCAAACACAAACACAAAGCAAGTACAAAACTAAATGCAAACAAATACTAATCTCAAATTTTTTTTTTTTTCCCTTTAATCTCATATATGAACATCTTTCATGAAAAAACTAACAGAACTCGAAGAACCAAAGAATTACAGTTTTCAGGAAAGGCCAAGGTATGACGTCGAGATTCACTTACGGACTTGGACTGGTTCGTGACAGCGCGATCTCGCCAGATCTGGCTCGCTTTGGACGGTGAGAATTGGTTGGCTACCGCAGGATCTCGTTGTCGCCGTCCGCCGTACGTCTCCTGTCACCACCGTCGTCGTTCAACTCAGTAGCGGCCGCGCATCAAAACCTTGAAATGCCGACTAGGTCGTATTCTCTCGCCGTCCATCACAAATCTCAGAGTGCGAGTTTCGGAGATTGCGACGAGAGAGAGAGAGTCGCGCAATCGGAGTCGCTGAGATCAGAGGCGCGGGTCAGTGATGGCGACGACGGAGAGAGAGAGTTGTGAGATCGGAGGCTCCCTGGAGTCGCAACAGTGGAGAGAGAGAGATGGTTTGTTAATGGCGGTTGAGACTTTGAGAGGTCGAAGATAATGAAACCCTAAAAGAAGGGGCAAAGTTGGAATTAAAGAATTTATTTCAGATTAAAAATTCAAAAGATGCTATATATAATTTATCACCATGTTAAAAATAAACTATTGCCTTCAAATATAGGTGTCAAATATGCTATATGTTACCATTTCTCAAAAACGAACTTCGTTATGAAAGTCAGAAGTCCGTTATATATAGATAAGACAAACGTATTGCTCAGCCCAACTTAGTTGTCATAATTAATAGGACGGTCAAGCACCAATATTAGGTCAAAAGGTAGATAATTATATTAAAACTAGTTAAAGCTTTTCTTTTTTTTTTTTAAAGGAAATTTCGTCAAAGCTTATTCAATATAAATTACGTACTTGTTTCCAGAAGAAAGAGATAAACAATCTTTTTCTTTAGATTCTTTTCAGTAAATATAACGTTTTTTTAATGTTTAACAATTTTTTAGGTAGGAAGTATGTTAAGTATTTTTAAGCGCTATTTATAATTTAAAGTTCTTTAAAAAATGTTATTTACTAAGATTTTAATTTGTTTTATCTCTAATCCTTTTTTATTTCTTTTCCAATTTTACATGTTGGTTGTTTTCATTTTCATATCCTTTTCATATATTTTTTCCCAACTAGTAAAGACGGGATCAAAAGGCTTAAACGGCATTAAAATATGATTAATTTTAACATGTTTACAATTGCTAAACATCACTATTTGCACTACAAACTTTCGATTTTTAGCTACCAAAGAAATGGTAGTAAAAACCCTTAATTTTAATAACAAAAGGTTTTCTTCACTCAAAATTCGGTAGCAAAAAGTTTCTGTTATTAAAAGGATTTAAGTAGCAGAACGAGTCCAGACATTAAGCGTCAGGAATTTTATTACAAACACACTCAACTTTGACAGACTAAAAGCATAAAGAGGTATACACACATTTTGAATCAACGAATCAACTTAACCATTGGATTAAACTTTAGTTCACAGCTTTGCAAATCTTTCTTATCTCCCCAGCAGAACCCGTAAGAGGCTCAATATCCCCCATTTTAATCATGGCTGATGCGAAATCGGAGCTAAAGATTGAAGGGCTCTTGCTATACTCGGTAACAATATCCTTTGTTGGTGCTCCACTATAGAGGATTTGGTCTGACTGAAGAAGACCTTTTTTCTGAATCAAATTCTTGAAGTAGTTGTTGTCCAATTGGTTAGGTGTCACCAGATCAAGAGGTGCCAAAGTTGAGTTCTCCTTGGTCACATCGGCGGGGCAGCGACGTCTCCGAGTGCTGGCAAAACCAGCATCGATGTCACTTGTGTTGCTGTTCACTCTACCACGAAATGTCAGGCATCGAGCTTGTCCAATTGTATGTGAACCTACAATATATTAAACAGAGCCATGCTACGTATCAGATGAAAGTTTTAACCCTAGAACATAGTTATATATTTCTATTACTATTAAAATTTTTCTTCTAAGAATCGGACATAACTAAAACATTTTCTAAAAAAATTAGGCGTAAAAACCCGGGGCAACAATGTGTATATAGTTGATCCATCTGATCAAACTTGCTACTTTATATCAGGTTTTATTGCTCACGATGAATTTTATCTTAATTCCAACTATTATGATATCATGAGTATGTATTACTTTTGCTCGGTTAGTTTTATTTTTACTTTACTATATACAATGACCTAGTAACAAGTAACAATGGTAATTGCTACAAACCTGATAAGGCTACCATGTCTCTGGTGCTGAGACCCTTGCGATTAAATAGATTGATCAGAGTTTGAAGGTCATCTGTAAAATTCGGAAGATCACTCTGGGCTTGAGAGAGGCTTGCTGTAGTAGAATCTCTTCTCCCAAGTTTCACAGTCCAAGATGGACCACCCACCTGATGATCATATAACAATTTTTGAAACTTAGCGCTTTGAGAATCCGGTTGGTATTTGACTGAAAAACAATTGAAAAATAAGAAGAAGAACAAGAAGAAGAAGCTGAAAGTGTGTTTCCGGTGTGGGAGTGTTTATTGAATATTGAATGTTATATAAAAAAATTAACATATAGTAAACATCAGATGATGTCATCTAATTCTGAAAAAAAAAATATGATCCTTTGAAAATGATGTCAGCTTGACCAATTTTTGTAAAATTGAGTTATAAAGTGGTTGATGCATTCGGTTCGGCAAAAAAGAAAATAGGGAACTCGTTGAATTTTGAGTGGGGTATCCAGTACTGTAATTTTGTATGATTTTTTTTTTTTTTCTGGTTTATGTGTGTCATTACATTTTTTAGTAATATTTATATTCCATCAATTTTCGTCCTTTATATTCAATGATTTTGGCGGTTAAAATTTGAACCCCATTAATAGTTCCTTTCCATACTCTATAACAAATCTCTCTCTCTCTCTCTTTTCTTAGAGATTGTTTTACTAACTTTAATGTTTCAAGTCATGTTGTATATATAAAGTTTTACGTAAAATATTTGTTTGCATGTGTTATGTATATATACTACTCACAACAACTGATGCATCACGAGCTGCTACTGCAAGAATATCTGCACAAGAGACAACCCCAGGACATATGCTCTCCACTGCCGATTTCGCTTCTTCTACGACTTCGTAACCTCTTGCAGAATTCCTATTCTGACCTGCGCTCTGTTCGCTAACGATAGAGGCTGAATCCTCTAGTAAAATTGAAGCATCACAACCCTACAGCAAAAAATATACACACATACATAAAATAAATAAATAAATAGATAAAGCAAAAACAAGTAAAAAAAAAAAAAAAAAAAGTAAAAAAAAAAAAAAAAAAAAAAAAAAAAAAAAAAAAAAAAAAAGTAAAACCGGCAGCTTTAACATTTTTGTTTAAGCTGTAAAAATACCTGGACAAAGCAATCATGGAAATGAAGACGGATGAGTGAAGCTGCCATTCGACGTTCCGCCGAAATTGCCGATCGAATCGAAGTACGAATGGTGGAAAGAGCGTTTGGACAAGTGCTATTGTAAAAACTAGAAGAGAGCTGGGCTGAGCATATTCTTGTGCTGAAAAGCAACAATAATATAGCAACAGCACACGTCAAGTTTAAACCCAATAAACCCATTTATAAAACAGTTTCGTTTTTTGTTTTATAACTATGGAATACTATGTATCTTCTACACTTAATGCAAGAACTACTATGAGCACCAAGGAAACGAAATAACCAAATCAATGAGAAGGAATACTTGGAATATTTTGTCGTGAAGAAAATGAGATTAAAACACGGCCATTTATAGTAACATAATGACCCATACAAAATCATGATTTGCATATAGTTTAGTATCGACGCGGAGCTACTATGTTTACCAAGTCTGCTACAGTTGGCATGCACTAAGATTCATAAACGTCAATATTCTATTTATTATATTTTGGGATTGGTAAACCGTGTGTGTGTATATATATATATATATATATAGATATAAAGATATGATTTTTTATGGGTCATTAACGCGTACGTAGCCGCTATGTTTACGAAGTCTGCTTTTGATTGGCATGCATGAACTGACATACGTACTTCTTTTTTCTGTGGGGGGCTAAAAGTAAACAGTTGACAGATTTTTTAAAGCAAAAATTACACCGATGATGGCCCGACGATATAGGGAAGGCATAAAAGTCGTTTTCACTATTGCTTGCTTTGAACTTCTTTTGAATAGATAATTAAATTGAAGAAATGCATAAAAGTCAAAGAAAGGAACTTTCATGATATATATGCATAATAATATTCTAAAGCAGTCAAATAAACTAGACCAGCTGGCTCTCCTGATCATTAGAGGTAATAAAATTATAATTTATAATTACTTGTATGAATTGTTACACGTTGGACTAGTATAGTGTCATGCTATGTTTTGGTAGGAGGATAGAAAAGATAGAAAGGAAATAGAAATAAAATATCGGGAGAATGTAATAAATAATAGATTTATTAAATAGTAAATTTTAAAATTATTTAAAATAAATAATAGTTTACTTAGTAATTGAATCATTTATCGCGTAAAGGGTTCATCTTTTACTATTAAAAATATTTTTTTTAACGTAAGTTTTTTTTTACAACTAGTAAATAGATTTTTTCTTGTAAATAAAGATTTTTAAGATTTTTTAACACGTAAGTTATTTATTACCGGTTGTAAATGAATAATTTACACAGTACCACGTCAATTGCTATTTAACTTCAAATAGTTTTAAAATATGCTATTTACTTATTTTAGTTTTAAAAATCTACTTTTTACTACAATTTCTCCAAAATATGTAGGTTAAGGAAGTAAAGTGGTACAAGAGGGGTTTCCCTTGCTGTTGTTTGGTAAAAGAGAAAGAGAAGTGAAATATAAAAAATGTTGAATCTAGTATAGTTTACAATAATACCCAGATAAAAAATTAATGATGAGTGATTAGGGTAAAAAAAAAAAAAATAGTTATTTTTCATCCCACTTATTTGTTACATTTTTTTTGCCTCATTTTTTCTTTTTAAAGTTTGAAAGATTGGAAAATGTTGGACCAATTTACATTTTCCTTTCTTGCTATTTCTTCTCTATTAATTAACAATCTAAGATTCTCTTTCTCTCTCTAAATTTCTTCCTCTAATTTCTTTCCTCTCTTCTTTTTTTTTTTCCCCCCAATCTGCCAAATATTGGCTTTAGTCTTTTACTTTTGAGATTATTTCGTTCTTTTCCTCCATATTGGTATTTAGAGCGCAGCCCACGTTTTGTAACTATTCTCCTATCCAGCAATACTATGTCTATAATGCACAATTCGATTGCATGTCGCACATAAATTCTGGCGCTTTATACTGGGGTTGAGAAATTTGAACCTTGATTCTCAACATCGATGGTTATAAGTTTTGTTATCAATAGACGAATCTAGCATTGCAAATCTCAATTAAGTTAATACCTTCAGAAAAAATTGCACATCTTAATTAAGTTAATACCTTCAGAAAAAATTGCACATCTCAATTAGGTTAACACTGATCATTAAGTATCTAGATAAAACAATTCTCTAAATAACACATTATCTCATTACTAAAAGTTAATATTTGATGATGTCTATTTAACGCTGTTTTATAGAAAGATCTTCTAATGTACCCAAAAACAAAAGAAAATGCAGTAGAGAAATTTCCGTATTTCAAAAATCTATCTTTTAATGTCAAAAATTTTGAAAATAAAATCTTTTGTTTCAAATTTTCTTTTTCTTTTTATAATTTCGAGCATTCCTTTTCATTTTCCATCTCTCTAATTTACAACCTCGCTCTAACTCCTTCCCCTCCCAAACATAAAAATTTTTCTCCTAAATTCCACTTTCATCTCTTCCAGACTCCCCACTCCCTTAACCCGCTACTGGTGCTGCCTGTATGACAATGCCCACCGTTGCCGCCATGGCCTTGTCACCTGGTAGGATAATGTGCTTTTTAAAACAACTTTTATTTTGACATTAAGACATTATTTTGTAAAGTATTTATATGCAGGTATTTTATTTTAATAAAAGCATGTTTTTATTTATGATTTATTGTGTAGTGATACATCATGTTCCAATGCTTATAAAATAATCCTTTGTTTATGCATTATATTAAGAACAATACACGAGAAGATATAATCTTAAGTATAAAAGCATAAAATTGAGCAGTTCATCAACCGGTAAATAAAGTTAGACACTTTATTCTAATAAGGTTGGCATGTTGTCTATTATTAAATTTGTTGGATGACTAATCCAGGTTGTATATAAAGGTGGTATAGAATAGACAGATTTATGTTTTGAGAATACATATTGAACACGATTACAATAGAATACTATGTTACTTGATATAAATGATCATATCCGAGGAATTACTGTCTGTAATAGAGAGTACTTAAATGTCAAATATATGCGTTGAGATTTGAGATTTCTAAATTAGATTTTATTTCAGACTTTCCTTCAAATACTATTTTCTATTTGTAAAACGCGTCACTTTTAACTTTTTCAAACAAATTCCATTATTTACGAATAGATTTATAAAAATGTCACTCCTTTCTTTACCTGATGCGCGTAGATCTCTGTTTTTGTTTTTGTTTTACCTCCAAAGAAACCACGTTTCCTTGTTAATCTGTTGCCTTGAAACAAAATGTACATTTCTTTTTCTTATAAGATCAAACCGCTCCTCTAAAGCGAAAAAGAAAATTCTTTAAAAAAAAAGTTAGATGCTTTATATATATTCTCAATCTCAACAAAACTGCTTCATGTTCCGGCTGCATCAAAACTCACCCTTTATTTTATTTTATTTTATTTTTAATTGCCGATTAACAGCTAGCAAGATTCTTTGGCATGTAATTATCAGTAGAAAGAATTAAGCAGCAGCAAATTATTATGGATGGCCACAAGATCACAAATAAGGACTAGGGCCTTTCGGCAACGTTTGGTGGGATAAAGGAACCATTAACTGTGAACCCTCCGTCAACACATATGATCTGTCCAGTTATGTAAGTGGCTGCGGGCAGGCAGAGGAATCCAACCAACGAAGAAACATCGTCTGGCTCTGCAATGCGCCCAATAGGTGTTCGAGAAATGGCAGCCTCCACGAACTTCTCATTGCTCAGAAACTGCAAAAAAGACATTGATAACACGCATATACATACGGGATGTTCTCAAAGTGTAATTAGTACACTAAAAAAATAACTGCTAGTATAACTCTTTCTGTCACTTTTTTATCACTTTTTGTATTCGCTTATCGCCAAAGAGTCAACCTCGTGGTTGGAGGGTGCGCCATGCGGCGAGATGGAGGTTTCATTGGAGTGTACTAATGAAACATGTTCATGGTTGAGATTAAATTTCCTTGTGTTTTGAGGTCAATCGTGTCAACATTAGCATGTAATTCATTTGGAATACAATTATACTTAAAAACAAAATAAAGAAATCTAACATCCATTCTATTAACAGGGAATTGCCAAAAGTGATAGAATTGACTTTTTCCCCTTATTAATACATAGTAGTGGCTCACCATTCTATCATTTTTTATTTTGTAAATAAGAAGATTAATAAATTTTCCTTTCTCATTAGTCATTACACATGGGAAAATAGTAAAAAATAGGCCAATATGAAAAGCTTAAGAAAGTATATAGGCCAATTTTTAGTTATAGAAATTAATAGGCCATAACTTGTCAAGTTATGATTCATAACCAGATAAGTTATGGACAAACTTGTCAAGTTATGGTTCATAGCCAGACAAGTTATAGACAATTATGGACAACAACTTGTCAAGTTATGATTCATAACCAGACAAGTTATGGACGAAAATAGTAATTTGACCTATTTATTAATTTATGTAAACTATTGACCTATTAATTTTAATTCATCTCAAATTTTGGCTTATTTCTCTCTTTGTTTTGCCATGGAGAGATATTGGGCATCCGAGGCCCAAGCCCAACTCTTCTCTCCCCAGCTCACAAGTTCCCAACTCATCTATGGCCTATGGATCCACTCGTGAGAGATCTGATCATGCCGAACAACAAGGGAGAAGGAGGGAAAAAGTCAAGATTTAAAGGAAATTAAAATTAAGGAGAAAGAAAAAAATAGGCTAAGACTTGAGATGAATTAAAATTAATAGGCCAATAGTTTACATAAGTTAATAAATAGGTCAAATTACTGTTTTCATCCATAACTAGTCTGATTATGAATCATAACTTGACAAGTTATTATCCATAATTATCTATAACTTGTCTGGCTATGAACCATAACTTGACAAGTTTATTCATAACTTATTTACTTATGAACCATAACTTGACAAGTTATGACCTATTAATTTCTATAACTAAAAATTAGCCTATATACTTTCTTAAGTTTTTCATATTGGCATATTTTCTACTATTTCCCTTAAAATTAATAAGTCAAAATTTTAGAAAAGTCAGTAAATAGAGCAATTTGAGATAAATATGAATTTATAATCACGTGAATTTTTAAAAATCCCCAATCAAAACTTTATTTTCTGTCGTACTCGTCTCTTTTTCTGTCATACTCGTATCTCTCTTCGTGCTCTTTAATGTGGTAAATCTGGAATTTACGTGATAAATTTAGGATTTACCTAGATAACTTAACTTGAAGCCTTATAATGAAAAGGCTGTAAATTGTGATGACAAATTCAGGATTTACGTAGTAAATTCAGAATTTACTAAGATCACTTGAAATCTTATAAGGAAAAGATTTTCAACTTTAATGATAAACTAGATTTACCAATATAACTTCACTTAAAACCTTATAAGGAAAAGGTTATCAACTTTAATGGTAAATTCGGAATTTACATGGTAAATCTAAGATTTACCAAGTTAACTTCACTTGGAACCTTATGATGAAAGGACTGTAAATTGTGATGGTAAATTCAGAATTTACGGAAAATGACAAATTAAGCTGGTAAACTCAGGATTGCCTAATAATTTCTATAAGCTAGTAAATTGACTATGTACTTGTATAACTTTTAAATCTTGACTTATTTTCTACAATTACATTGGCAGAATTGTATTCCAAATCAAGGAAATTGTTGGAACAGCTACTTTGGGTCAACCCCATTAATTAAAAGCAAGAAAATATCCACGCTGCAACATTTTATGACTTTCTTGCTTTTAATTAAATTAATACAAATGGTATTATCCATTACATCATCAAAAAGACAGCTTTCTGATCTTTAACTAACGCAAGTAGGGGTCTCAGTCGGTAATTCCATTTTATTTTCACGTTAGTAGTCATATAATAAATGGTTTTCAAAGGTTGGAAAAAATTAGCGGCCTGGATAAAAGTTGATCCTCGAATAAATAAATAAATAAACTTTAAATGTTCTGAGGAGTAGGGCTGTTAGAAATCACCCCGAACCCGATGAACTCGGTCGAGCCGAGCCGACCCTACTCGAAAATCACGAGTTTCTAATTTTTTATTTAATTTTTAGTTTGAATTATACCTAACCCGCACTGCGCGGGTAGGGGCACGGGGTGGGGTTACATGAACCCGAGGTAACCCTACCCGGCCGAACATGTTCAAAGTAGGTAAAACAATGTTCAACACTTCAAATTCTTACTTTCATAAGTTTATGGACTTTATGCTTTTAAACTGTTAACTTATTTATGTTTTGGATTCACGATTTGTGTAAAAAATGCTTGTATGCCATAGTTGTTGAATTATGACATTCTTTATTTATATTGGAAGTGTTTGATTTCAAAGTGAGTGTTTTAATTGTTCACCTTGCATTTAGACCCCCTATTGAAGGAAAAACATGTTCTGTTTGATAATGATTTCTTATGTAACAAGCACAGATTAATTGACTAAAAAGTGATCATGTGGTCCTTGAGATCACTCTTGCTTTATGCATATTGTGATATGAGTTATTAGTCTTTATATTTTATTATGCCGCAATTTTGTTGTGTAATTATTTACTACAATAGTATTTGCATATATCATTTATTGCTCATTTACTACAATAGTATTTTATCATTTATTTGCATATAAGAGCCTCTTAGATTAAAATTGATGAAGTCATAGATTAAAATTGATTTTCACCAACCCGAGTAACCCGACCCTACCCGAGGTCACCCGAAAGGTTGCGGGTTTGTAGACTTAAGAGAGTGTCGCGGCCCAAAATTTTCTCAATCCGCACTAGTCGGGTAGGCTCAATTTTCCGGCTCAACCCTACTCTACCCGGCCGATTTACACCCCTACTGAGGAGGATAATATGTATATGTGTGAGAGAAATTAGAGAGAGAGAGATTACGAGGGAAGAAATGTTACATGCTCAATTAGAGGGGTTCTGGTAACCCAAGGTACAACGCAATTGCTTCTTATGCTGTCCTTTCCCCATTCGCATGCCAAGTATCTTGTCAATTGGTTGACCGCAGCTGCAAATTATTCAGTAAACGTTTAGTTTATGAATTTAAAATTATTTTCATTTTATGTATATTTTTTATGAAAAAAAAAATACCGTAAAAAATTATAAACGAACACAAAAAATAAACATCTCTTAATTTTTCCGTAAAAAAAATGAAAATCAGAAGTCCAATTTTGTTTCTGGGAACTAGAATTTTTAAAATGGATTGGGCCACGACACAAAAATAATGGGTCATGGTGCTGCTACACGGTATGATGACACGTTTATGACTAAATTAAATGAAGAAAATTTGCTACAGTAACTACTTAATAAAATAAAGTTAACAAAATATATATTTTTTAATTTATGAAAACGACCACTCAATCGTTATTTTTTTTTTTTTTTTTTTTTTAAAAGGGGTGGTTTTTTTTTTTTTTTTTTTTTTTTTAAAAGTGGTTGTTTTTTATCGTTTTGTAGTCATTTTACTAATAATAAATTTATTAATATATAAGTCGTTTTTATCATGATACTTAATTTACCTTTGGCCGCGGCATATATGGATCCGGTATTTAGTGATATCAAACCAGCAATAGAGGAGATAAAAACAATGGAGGCTCCTCCTGAAGCAGCTTTAAGAAGAGGATGAGCAAGTTGGCACATGTTGTAAGCAGATTCGAAATTTGTGTTCATGAGAAATGAGATATCTCCCGCTGTGGACTCCAATGTCGGTTTCCATATGTTGGTTCCCACATTGTTTATCTACAATAAAGACGTATTATAAGTGCAAATAAGTCCAGTTAATGTTTTCAATAGAAAATTGGAGCTTTATTTTCAATAGAATTTTGATGTTAAATTTCAAAATTTTCAACTTTTATAAGATGAGAAGGAAAAATGTTGAAAATGAACTTTGAAATACTAGCATATATTTCAGTACACACAACTTTTAATTAGAACCTAAGTTGAAGCCTCTGCTACCAACCAAAGATTAAAATAAAAAAAAAATAAAAAAACTAGGATGTTCATTAAAAGAACCCAAAAAAAAAAAAAAAAAAAAAAAAAAAAGAAAAAAATGGTTTTTGCGAGATAAACATGAAATTTTAATGCAAATCCCAACAAGTAAAGTAAGGAATTAGAAGAGAAATATTGGAACTAAGAATATTGTACAAGGATGTTAAGTTTGCCATTGAAATGAGAGGAAACTTTAGCTGCTAACTCTTTGCGATCTGCCCCGGACGATGCTAAATCACAAACGGAACCGAACACTTGAAATCCTTTCTTTTCCCACTCTCGTAATCGCTCTTCAAGTTGGGCTTCGTTTCTAGAGCATGTGTACACACTTGCCCCTAATCCTGCCAATTCCTCCACAACAGCGTACCTAATTATATATTAACCACAAGTAATAAATTAACAAACATAAGAAAAAGTTATATCCATCAAGCAATGCAAGCAAATATATATATATATATATATATGGTTTTTGCAAAACAAATAAATAAAAATAGAGATTAAATGAAAGAAATTAGAAAAGAAAGAAAGAAAGAAAGAGAACCCTATTCCTCTAGTTCCACCAGTGACAAGAGCAGTCATCCCCTGGAGGGACCATTTTTGTTCTCTTATTCTAGCCATTCTCTCTCTCTCTCTCTCTCTCTCTGTTATTTTAGTTTTTTTTTTTTTTTTTTTTTTTTTTTTAAAAAAAAATTATTTAATTTCTATTGAGCACAATTAGTTGTCATTGTGATTGTGCTAGTGATCATTCATCTGTATATATAATGGTAGATGTAGGGCTTCAGGTTGGGCGGCAGCCGGCAGGCGGCTAATGGGCAGGAGATCACATAAATGCATGTTTTTGATTATGCCACCGTCTGCCTGACTGTGATCATGAAAGTTTTGTGGTATTTACTGCGTACGTAAGACTAAAGACTAGACCAAAGATAAAAAGACTTCTGCTTCCCCAGTCGTATCATGTTGGCTTAGTGGCAAGTTGGCAACTGAGATGCAGAAAAATAAATGCTCCCCCAAATTATTGTATTCGTAACTTAAGAACTTTATATAATTATATGGTTCTAAATATAGTCTATTCGTAATTTTACAGCTGCCATCATAAGATAAGACGTTAAGTTTTGAATTTCCCACTTTTAAATTTATATATAAAAAAAACATTATATTATTTATTGAGACTTTATCTCTTTTAAGTATTTTATTAAGCACTAAAAACTCAATATCAATATTAACGATACATGCTCCGATTCTGGAGTCAATCGAACCCTATATGGTTCTTCAATTTAACCAACAAATCTGGTCAACGCGGAGAAAGCGGACTACCTAGCTAGGTGGTGCCACATTCAGTCGAATTCTATAGGTCGACAATTCAAATTGTTCAGCAGCCTGCCAATTTGGTGTCAATTTAGGAGAGCAATATTGGATTTGGTTTCAAATCAACGCCAATAAACCCTATAGTTAAATTCATATGGTATTGCCTGATCGATCAAATTTCTTGGTGCCTGTCCATTTTACAGTTAAATTGAGCAACTCTGATATTATCAACTTATGAATTGGGAGTAAAAGTGACAATAAACAATAATATGTGGTTCTTAGTGCGTAACAAAAGAATTCGGGAGGCAAAGTGTCAATTAATAGTATTACAGGGTCCTTAGGGCATAAAATCTAATTCGGGGAGCAAAAAAGGAGTAAATGCCAATTCTTAGTTAGAAAATAAACAAAATGGATTGAAAATATCGTATTTTTGGCTAAAATAATAATTTGATGGAAAATGGATAGCTTTTTGTTAGAGTGTGAACACAAATACTCTAATAATAGGACCAATTTTTCAGCATAAAATGTTCATATTAGTATGATTTGACAATTAAGCACTATACAAATAAATAAATGTTCAATAAATTAATAACCTTGTTTAAATAATAAAATATTCTAGTTTTAAGTTGAGCCAATGTACTAAATTAATAATCTCGCTAAATGCATAAGATAATAATTTTTTTTTTGACTTCCTTTATAGCCCAATGAAAATATAAATTAATGATTAATCAAATACAAGAAATAACATATAGCATTCTTCATATTAACAACTTTTTTTTTCTTCAAGGTATTAAATTTGAAAAATAAGTACATAAATTTTATGTCTATATATGCATTTGTTACCATTCTATGTACAATGTACACACATTAATTTTTGGACTTCTATGTATATGTATATAACATTTATTATATAAAATAACTTTTAAAATTCTATATATAAACATATTAATTTTGACTACATCCACTTTTTTTATAATTTTTTTTATAAATCATACATAAATTTTAGTCAAAAGAATAATACATGTATCAAAATGACACATATTATTAAAATATAAAATTCTTATTAAATTAAGAAATATTTATTTACCGATAAATTATAAATTATTCATTTATCAATAAATTAATAATCTCGCTAAAATAATATTTTTTCTTAGTCCCAATAATATTATGTTATAGAGGTTTTATTGTATTCTACTAATAAGATACTTTTTTACACCATAATCTCAACATTGTATACGTTTTTGGACGAAAAAATGTTAGAGAATAATAATTTTCAATATCTAACTTTAATTGCGGATTCTGTAATATATAGCAGGTTTTATTAACTTGAGGTTGTAAATAGCATACTTATTTCAGTTAGAAAGTAGCAGATTCATAAAAATATTTATTTATGTAGCAAGGGTTTTCATATAATATGACATAAATGTTGATTTTAAAGATCATGTTACCAGATATGTCTTTATGGTTTATTTTTGGACATGTTTCTTATATGGTTAGTTTTTGTTTTATGTAATCTCTTTTTCTGCACATAATATTCCGCATATTTACTTTCTTTTTTGGCTCTAATTGATTGTCTGTAATCAATTATTTTATTTATTTTTATTTAGGCGTTTTCTAATTTGCTGATTTCCCTCCTCTTTTGGTTTTGAATTTAGTCGTGGTCTGTTTTGTTTGATGGACATGGGTGAGCATTACAGACATCATCGTTTGTGGTTGATTTTTTTTTTTTTTTTTGAATTTATTGTTTGACGGAACTGGTTTGCTGATCGATTGTGGTTTGATCATCCTAGGTTGGGATTCATTTGTTATCAATTGTTTGTGTACGCGGCTGCAGAGGTTTGTTTTTCATTGTTCGTCATATTGTTTCTTTCCTCAGCGTTTTTTTTCCAATCATTTTCATTGTTCCTTGTTGCAAATTTCCTTGTTTTGCATTTTTCACGCATACATATGCTCCATACATATGCAAACGTATGTTTTGCAATTTTGTTTCTTATATTCTCGTTTAAAGTAATAGAATTTTTATATCAAGTTCCTGTTATTCCTAGTGAGGTTTTTTGTTTCTTTTTTATTAGAAATTTTCTTTCATTATGGCCTAATCATGTTTTTTCTTTATTAGAATGTTTCTTGATGATGTTTTATAAATGATATTATTTATTGTTTTACAATTTTCTTTCATTATGGTCTTATTATTATTGTAAAAAAAATATTTATTCTTTATGTTCATATTTTCTTGTGAGGTTTTATGTTTCTTCTTTTTTAAAATTTTTCTTTTATTATGGTATGATCATGTCTATTTTTTTATTATAATGGTTTTCGATGATTTTCCGTTTATAATATTACTTATTGTTGTTCTTTTCATTTTTATTATGATATAATCATTATTTTAGTAAAAAATACTTATTTTTTGTTAGGTTTTTTTTTGTCTATATTAAAGCTTTTCTTTCACTATAGTCTATCATGTTTCTTCTTTATTGTAATTAACCCCAACCAAAAAAAAAAGGTCAAAAACCCAAAACCTAAAATCACTGTAGTAGGCGTTAAAATCCCAAAACCCATGAAAATATGTATATGAAGAATAAATATTTTTCCTAAAATAATGATAATACCATAATGAAAAGAAAAAACAAAGTAATAAGTAATATCAGTCACAAAAAATCATCAAAAAGAGAAAAACATTACAGTAAGGATTAATTACAAAAATTTTCTCTGAACTATATCCCTTATAATACTTTATCCCATGATTTTTAAAACGTAATATTCGTTCTCTCTAAATAAAATTTTAAACCATAGTGTTACTAAAATCCTCTAAAACAACTAATTAAATGTCAATTTTCGTTAAAAACCCCAACGGATGAGTTTTTTTTATTAACGTTTCATTGTTCATAAAGAAAGAATGTTATATTTTAAAGATCGAAAACTAAAGTATTACAAATGATATAATTTAAGATGAGTTGTTATAATTAATTCTAATTAAAATAAACACAATTTTTGTGAGACCGATACTTTACTTTATACTTTATTACTCGTTACGATTGCAGTGGCAGTTTTCCACAACACCCATCTTCTGCCAAAAGATTCCTACTGGAGAACCATTACATACAAAACAGAAAACGTTTAGCAACAGACCTCCAAAATGAACATCCAATTCGAAGTGTCAAAAATGCTCGTTTTATTTCCTATTAAAATTTTTATTAAAAAAACACTATAACAAAATAGGAACCTAAAATCAAATTTTAAAGCAAATGTCAAAATAATTAATATGATCAATGAAGCATTCATTGTGTAATCGAATTTTGCTGATTATATGAAATACATCATTTTTCGATAAAATGTCAAATACAATTTTCTTACCCTAAGGTATTATTTTTTATATTCCCAAACGTTCTTCCAGTAGCTTCTCTCCCCACCAAGAGAATGGAAATGCTCACATTTCACTACTTGAATGAAAGTTTTACCTAAAGAGAAAAAAAAAAAATCCCTTTATTACACATGTTAGAATTAATTTCAAAATTAGAGAAATTAAATACCAAAATTTTCATATTCAAAACAAATTAGTAAAAATTTCACTTAAATGGAAAATTCCAAAGGCACCAAAAAGTAACTATAGGATGAAACCCTACTTGTAACTTCATTCCAAACAAAGGGTTTCCTTGAGGGACCTCAAGACAATTCTTGAAGCTATTCTTTCTCTCAGATCCTTCCCTGAAACCATTGACATGCCCTTGAATGTCGATCCATTCGCTTCTACCTCTACTGTAGTTGAATACGCGCCATTTTCGCACTTCTTCGATTGATTCGTAGGGAAGCCCTTTTTGGTGCAAAGCTCACGCAACTCTCTGGTGGGATTTAGCTTTAACGTTTTAGGTGTAACAAAAGGCTCCAACAGAGGCCTTATGCTTTGGAAGACAATATCTTTGTTGTACCCTGAATCAATAAAAATTGCCCCAGCAACACTCTCTATAAAATCTGCAAGAACCTGCAGCACATTGACCAAAACATCGTGATAAGATATCCCTTAAGAAATGTAAACGAAGATTATAAAGCTCTCATAGAAATCATATATGCTTCAAACGAACAAGTTTTGGTGTTTGGGATAGGTCGATCATCATGTCACTTAGTGACTAAATTTGGCGGGGCAACTTTGTTCATATCGCATTAGTCATTCAGGAAGTGTGATAAACATAATCAGGTACATAGATTAGTAATGCAAAAAGAGTTTTCAGGTGAAAGTTAACGGTTGAGACAAACATGGTACGAGAAAACAGGTTGTGTTTAGGATATGATCAAACTGGACAACACCAAGTTCTAGAAAACAAAGATATTTTACTTGTTACGTCCAAAGTCTCAACTCATAAATCAAAACAAGATTTGTATTTAAAAAAAATGAATAATACCTACCTCTATAGAACAGTACTGCCAAAGTAGAAATGAAACTTTAATGAAAAATGGTAGAGGTTGCAAAAGAAAGGAGCCGGGAATAAACTAAAACAAACAGGAAGCAAAGAAAGTGATGTATGTATGATACATGAGTATTACCTCTGTGAAGTACGTCTCGGATTCCCATCCAAATATTGATTCTGAAGACAACTTACCAAAGTTATTAACAGTAGCAACAATATTGTTGTCGAGTTCCCGTGAGTCACGGAGAATGTGCTCATGCAACCCTGCCTTGACTGCACACCGTGCGTAGCATTCATTATTCACAGAAGCTGACCTCATATCAGTTAACAGTCCGGGCAACATCTGATCAGGATGCTCATCATATAAATGTTTAGAAATGAGGTAGTCAAGAACAGCATCCCCAAGAAATTCAAGCCGCTACACAACCAGAAAATTTTTTCTTCGCTATGTTAGAAGAGTTCATTCATCTTAAAAAGTAATGAATAATGCAAGGGATACCAACTCTAATCCCAATTTATTGTACCAATTCACGTGGTCTATGAGTTGTCAGTCTTTTGTTGGTGTATGTCTAAAAGATTACTGTGTCAATTAATAATAAGATATTGCATCTATCAATGTAAAGATGACAATTTACGGCCATGTAAGATGGTGAAAAAAAAAATTGGAATTAGAGTTAGTGTCCCTAAAACTACTATTAATTAACTTTTGAGAACAAAATAAATGACACGTCGAATTTCGACACATGACAGAGAGATGCATGTAAAATCATGATAAGTAAAGGCCTAACACACGTCTTTTTGCACAAGTCTGTGTTGTCCATGTAGTATACATAAAAGCAATACTAGTTTTACCTGGTAACTTCTTGGAATCTCTTGAAGCTTGTAAGAACCATGTTTTAGTGCTTCAACTAACAAAGAAGGATCGTGGAATGAGTAAAGTTTGGACTCCAAGCAGCTAAGATTTTGTCTGATACGAACAAGCTTCTCTGAGTGCATCGATATATGTGTCTCATATGGAACCTGATTAAAGTCAACCTCCATACCAATCAAGCTCATAAATTTTAAGGCAGGTAGTTCACCACCTGTAGTAAGCAAAGCACCAATAAGTGCCTCCACAACATCTGCCACTGTCTTATATCCTACTTCCCTCCTTCCACTGATATACACGGTTGTCATATTAGGTAGAAAATCTTCCTGCAATGCATTCCTGGCAAAACCATCTCCTGGAATACTCCACATTTTAGGATCGAAACGCTCATTGCGGATAAAACCCTACATTATTGTGAGTAAAATGGATATAAGAAGAAACAAATCCTAGCTAGCATGTAAAAAATGGTAGAAAGATCTTAAAAGTAGATTGAGACACAAAAAATCAAAAAGTTGCTTGTACTTTCAGGATTACATAATATTGCCTAATTTTGAGTTTGAGAAGAATCAATTTAACTTGTACCAAATTATACACTGAGCCCATTAATCTACATCTGCAAACCCATTATCTATAGACTTGGCTGCACATTAAAGCTAGAATGCGAAGCCTCAATCCTTTGCATAATTTATAAAGCATACGAGCATCCATATAATTTGCAAGTTTGGGAAAAAAAATCTTTTAATTGTTTCAAGTATTAGTTGTTTTGCAAAGAAAAGGCTATAAGCTCATGGTCCATTGCCCATTTGCATTTTCAGATCTAGCGTCAATCACTACTGAATACACAAAAATATAATGACAAAGTTCATGGACAAATAAATGAGAAGAAAAAATGACTAATAAGAAACACACTACACTTTTCACAAACTGCCATGTACAACTCCCTACGTAGTTATATTTTCATACCAAAAGTTCCATCAGAGAACAAGATATACTTTCTTTTATGAGTTCTCGCAAATGGTCCCCGAACTACATCTTTAATCTCATTTTGATCTCTGACTTTTTAACAAGTCCCAAACTTAACCTCAATCTGTAAGTTTTTATTTAGTTTTAGTCATTTTCATCAGTTCGAAGTTAAAAAGAAGACAAAACATGCACGTGATGCTAACAGAAAGTAGCATTCTGCTGATAGAACACGGAATATGCACGCAATTTTTGACACAGAATCGTAAATAACACTATGCTAACTGAATATTATCGATATGTTATTGTAGTTTAATACCCGGCTGATGAAAAAGACTAAAATTGAAACAAACTAATAGATCAAGGTTGAGTTTTTAATGTTTTAGAATTTAATGTGAGAGTGACAAGAAAAATTTGGGGACCCATTGTAGGATTAACACATTTTTTTTCCCTCTAAAATATGGTAGCATGGTATTCTTTTCTTGCGTTACTTGACTTGGAAATGCATTATTTCCAACTATTAAATTTTCACACATTTTAAATTGTCATCAAAACTATGATGCTGAAAACTCAGTTAAGGCAGAAAAGATGTTACCATTAGTTTATGTTCGCATCCACGCTTACAAAGGCTTTCATTAGAAATTAACTTTTTCCTCTTTCTAGTGAGATCGCCCTCGCGGTGGTTTTGGTAGGTTTTAAAAAGCTGTTGACTAACGGCATATTTGAGAAATGAATCTCCAAGAGTCTCTAAAGTTTCCAAACAGTATTTTTCTTCGCATTTCTTCGTGGTAATAGCTTCCAAGACCTGCAAATAAATACAGGTTGGGACAACTTAAAATAATAATTTGAGAATCAATAAAATCATAAATGGCTTGGACAGGTTTCAGTTAAGATACATGAAAAGCTAAGGGTACAGTGTATGATATAACAATAGAGATTGAAAAGCTGAGGAGTACAGTGTATGATATAACAATGGAAAGTACATAGGCTAACCAATAAACTATAAGTACTTCAATTATTGAAGACATGAGAATTTAGATAGTGTGGAAAATACTGAAAATTTGGCTTAATCATCCTACAGTTTTCCATAAAAAAAAAAAAAAAAAAAAAAAAAAAAAAAAAAAAAAATCACAAAAAAATTTGGTTTAAAAACCCTAACTTTTTCAAAAAAAAAAAAAAAAAAAAAAAAAAAAAAAACAGTAGATAATATCACAAAATGATACCTTTACAATCTCCCTTAGGGATAAGAATTTTTTCTTTTTTTTTCTATAAGGAGATAGAAGACACCTAAGGAGCGTTTTCTTAACATGAAATAAGGAAAGAGAATATCAGTCCTTACATCCTCATGGCATTGCTTCCCTGTTAAAGGAAATAAATGCCAAATTTACTTATAAATACTTGATAAGTTCAATATTTAAAGCCAATGACCATTTGATTATGTAAAAGGGTAATTTAGGGGGCGTTTGGTAACTTGGTTCAGCTATTCTGAACCAAAAAGTTCAGCCGAGCCAGTGTCTGGTGATTTTTTTTTAGGCCCATTGTGAACATTTGATTAGACATTTTGAACCCAAAACAGCACCCTTTTTTGTATTTACCTCCCCCCTTATTTTCAACATTTCGAACCCATTTTGTAAAGTGCTCTTTGGCTCAAAAAATTTGGACCCCCCTCTGTTTTTAGCATTTTGAACCATCTTTTCAATACACAACCAACTATAGTTTCAAATTCATTCCCTTGTCAAACCTATGATCAACCGCATATCCAAACGTCATTTTGCAATACATGTTCAAACCCCATTTTTCAAACTTTCTATTTCAAACCCAAAAAAAATTGACACCACGTGTCAAACCTATTTCCCAAACGGACCCTTGGTAATTATATTGATAGGATTACCATTTCTATGTTTAGAAAACACTAGAAAGGGAATTGAAGTTCTTCCTATTACACCATCTTATAAAGAAGTAAACACTAGAGAGGGAATCAATGTTCCAAATTTTTATTACCTTAATTTCCTTTTCAATTCACTTACCTTTCCCATTACAATTGTTTATAATTCGGTGAATGCACCCACCCTAGAAGTAACAGTTATAGAGTGCAGGAAAAATAAGGTATACAGGGGAATGAGTGAAAATTACTCTGAGTTCTGATTGATAGTATGAAATTAACTAAATGACTTTATGGGAAACAACTTCAGGCCATCAAGGTTATCTACTCACTAAAATAAATTAACAACAAACAACCCAACAAAAAGGTATCTTCATATTGACGAATTTTTCAAGCGTAAATCAGAAATGTGAAAGTAAAATCTGATAGAGAAACCGAATACATTACAAAATATAGTACCTTCGTGGCTGGAATAACTGCATTTTGCATGCAACGATCCAAATATAGCCTCTTCAAGTTAACAGCAATAAGTAGGGACTCTAGGCGATGCATTATGGACGGAAGAAATGAGAATGAATATAAGGTGCTTAGTGATATGGGCGACATGATTATAGAGCACAGTTCAGGTGGCAGTTGAACAATTGTATATCTCGACTTTGGAAGGAGGGAAAAAAAAAAAAAAAAACAAACAGAGAAAGAGAGAGAGAGAAGTTCAATATGAATTATTTTGTTTGCTGGACACAAATGGAAATGCTACAATATAGTTAAATAGCGCTATCAAAACCAAATTATGAGGGAAAGCAACATGGACAGAAACGCTTTGAATACCCTTTTCTAACGAAAATCAAACACTCGGTGCCATATTAACTCCATTCTCTCTTTGCTTCTTTACTCTTAGTCAATACGTTTTACTTGCATTGTAAAAAAAATCAAGAGGATAATGAATATTGGCAAGAAGTATTTGACTTGAAAAAAAAAATCCAGTGAATTGCAATATAATTTTAAAATGAAACTTGTAAAGGAAAAAAAAAAAGATTCTAAACGTTTTTATATGCAAGGATTCTGTAAGAAACAATTTCAAGTAAAATCATTAACAGAGCAACTCAACTTAACATCAATGATCCTATAAACAGCAAAAAGGATAACTAAAAAGTCCTGTAAGTGAAAACACGCACACAAAAATCACCGCAACTGATAAATTAAGCAAATTAGAGATTGTCAAAGAACTAAAACAAGCAACATCACTTTTGGTTTTCTTAATTCAACCAAAAAATAAGAAGAATTTAATATAAGTACTAGACCTTTCTGCTTGGCTTGTCTGTACTCAAGGAGATAATTCTCCACTAAAAAAGGTTCCCTTGCTTCAAGAAGTGGTTGGTCACAAAATTTCAAGTTGATCCCATGCCTGCAAATTGAGAATGAAATACAAAATGTTTACACACACCTGCCAATCCGTACTAAAAGGCATCATGATCATGATGCAGTACATCTTAAGAGAAAAAATTATTATTTCAAAAAATAAATAAATAATAATATTAACATTAATATTAATATTAACAACAACAACAACATGAACGTATCATACTATTATGGAAGTTCCTGAAAATATGAGTTACTATTATGTAAGAGAGAATCACACGTTACATACTTTTGTTCATTGAACTTCTTGTATGTTGTAACTCCACCACCCCAGAGTTTTAGAGCAGAGTTTCCATTCATGTCGCTGAGAATATCAGCGATCCAATAAATATTACCGTTATGAGGGGTGTAAACCAGAGAGTTCTTGAGCTTACAAGTGCATACAATACCATTTTTGGTATGCGTGCGATTGAAATAATTCTTCACTAAACAACGAGTAGTGTGATTCTCATTACATTTTTCAAAGGAAAATAGCGCAGAAATCGTAGATTCCCATTTTACCATCAAATCTCTTGGATTCAAGATGGTGGCGGGAAGAATAAGATAATCTATCTCAATATCTTCTTGCAAATGATGTTGACTCGAAACTTCTCTCACATAATTGAAATTCTGATACACAAGAACTCTGAAAAGAGTGACCTGAAATCTTCTGGACACCAGAACCTAGCATACATATTGTTTGCAAATAAGAGAAATCATTAATCTATCTTCAGCTTCCGGTACGTGCATAAGCATCAAAGGGGATAAGGTCTTACCTCTTCTGAGCTATAACATTTTTTAACTCCAACATATTTCAAGTTCACTATCAAACTACCTGAGCCAACTTTCAAGTCAAAATGCGTATTTCCACCATCAACTTCAAGCTCATTTCTCGTCCCAAGTAAAATATTGTGAACCGGAATGTCATACTCAAACTCTTGCTTTAGCTCAAGTAAGTAGCAATAATACAAGGTATGGGCATCACCATCCGGACAAAAAGATCCGACCATTTCAGAAGGGATATATCTTGGATGTGCATCTTCATACGGCTGGCTCTCTAGATCTGGATATTGAGCAGTTAAAAGAAAATGCACAAATTTTACAGATGTTAATTAGCAGGAATATGTAACTTTCTATAGTAAAACCATGGGAAACTAAAACATATGTAGAGTACTATTGAATTACCACTTTCTTCGTCTTCTCTCACAACGGTGTTTGGGACAAGGTTATCAGTTAAAGCACCCATCTTATGTAGTTTCTTGCACGCTTCAAAACATGCGATCTGCTTTAGAATTTTTGCATTACCTTCTGCATGAACTTCTTGTATCAGATCGTTGGGAAGGTAGAGGGTTTGAGTTTTATCATCCCACCTTGGAGTCGGTTTAGAGTACCTACATATTTATAACCAAAGACTTGTAATAACCGTTTGAAAAAAATAATTATAATGAAGCGTTAACCATATAAAGAGTATAAGACATGCAAATAAACTCACTTATCAGAAGGAAGCCTTGAGCAGTAAAACTCTATCAAACTAATGCTAGAGTTAAGAGTCACAATGGCTCCAGTACTTTCAACACAGTAAAACTTCCCTTCACTGAAATCAGTTTCGAGAGATATGCAAGGAAGGGAAGATTGGCATAAGAACTCCTTTCTCATAATATCTCCACGCTCACAATATTTTTCAAGCCGGGACTGTGTATTCAAATCACCACTGTAAATAAAGGAGTTAAATAAAATAAGCATTAGTGTATTAGATACTAATCTCACAATTTTCTCAAAAAAGATAAACCAACAATCGCAGGGAGGAGTGTACAAACACACACATCTGCGCGTGGCAGCGCGGGAGTGTGTGTGCGCTCCTGTTTGAAAGCAGAAAGTTGTTGCCACCAAGTTAAAAATGACATACATCTAAAAGCTCTACAATTGAAAGAAGAAGAAATATCAAGAGGAAATTTTCACAGCCACATTACACAAATTATGGACGTTTAGTTCATGGATTCAGAACCATGATTCAGAATCATTCTCGGTTTACATGTGTTTTTTGTGAGAGAAAACACTGTAGCGAGTCACGAACCATGATTCGAACCATGACACGAATCTTCATACCAAACAATACATCTCAGAAGTCCTGGACTTATAAATCAAGAATTACCTCTCCACCATTATTATAAAATCTGAATTATGCGTCCTAGCACGACCTCTGCACTGTATAAAACTACAAAAGGTTTTAGGAGGGTCAAAACAGATAACCAAGTTGCAGCTTTGAACATCTAAACCCTCTTCAAGGATCGGTGTTGCAACAATAATATTCACCTGCCACGTACATGTTTTCACTGTGAATGGAAGAAACCGGTAATGAGGAAAATATTCTGATTTTGGGAAGGAAAAGACTGACATACCTTGCCTTCACGAAATTCATCAATGATTGAATTGTGTGTTTTTCTTGTTTGAGAATGAAAAAACTTGTTGCTTCCAGCTATATATTTTGTCTTCCAGCTATTATGTCTTGGAAGCAACTCACTTAATAAAGATTCAATGATAACTGCTGTTACGATCATTTCCGCAAAAACAATACATCTTAAATCCTCTAAGCTCCTGTATTTACATAACAATAGTAAAACTCATTATCATGTATTTATAGTTTAAAAGATTTTTAGTTGTAATTGAATGCAATGTATTAAAAGAAGAAAAGAAATAAAACAATAGACCCCATACCATCCCAATGCATACTAGACACTTTAACGTCAAAAGGCTCAACATCAACCAAAGGATTAACATGAATTTCCATCAACAATTTGAGTAAAAATACACTTTCCAGTTGTCAATGTGTGAAAGCTTTTGCTATCTCCTACACATAATTATAACTTCCAAAATGATCGACTTCGACACTTTTGAAGGCACCGTGTTTTCTTAACTAATATGAAGAGAAATCTTTATAAAAGAAGGAAGAGTATGAAAGAAGAAAACGCGGAAAGAAAACGAATAGTGCTAAATAGAGAACAGTAACTAAAGGAATTTAGATGACATATATTGCCCATTCGTAAGGAAAAAAGAAAAATCCTTGAATTTGTTAGGAAAATCTTCTTCATTTCTTCAGACGTAAATTGGATATGTTATACTAAACATCAAACGATATACTCATAGTGACCATTCCTTTTTTTTTTTTTTTGGGTTATTATTTTTCTGAAAAGTAAACGAATTTTAAATCACAAGATACCTGTATTTTGAATCACAAGTAAGCAACTCAATGAGACACACAACTTTTGCGGTTAGAAGCCCCTCATCCATATCATGTATAGTATTAACTCCAATAGACCACTTCGGATCTAACTGTACAAAGAAAGGAGCAAAGAGAAGTAAGTAATCTACAAAAGAAACAATAATTATCGACCACATTCTTTTCCTCATACTCATTGTAATAACCGAGAAAATCCTAAAATTAAATAATGTAATTTAAATCAAGGATTTTTCTAGAAAATATCATATTTGATTTTGTGAATAAAGAATTTATGGAATTAATATTAATATTCTAAAATTCTATAGTATATTTTAAGTTAAATTCACTTTTCGTGATCAAATAGTTCGGTTGATAATTCTCACCGCGATTTAAGACGGAAAGAATTTTAATCCGAAAATAACTTGAGAATTTTAATTGGAAGAATTTTCAACTATAGTACAGAGTTAACAGTATACTGAGAAACACTCTAACACTCAAGCAGCCCTTAATTGCCAAATTAGTTCAACCCAATTTACGCAAATAGCATTTTCGATAAAAAAAAAAATGCTATCCAAGTTCGGAAATTGACATTGTTACTAATTATGTCATTTCTGAGGTAAAATGTAGAAAAGTCAAGTTAAGATTTTAATTAGTCTAGAAATAATTTTTAGACTTGAAACAATCCGATTGTATTACACGATTTAGATTTGAAATCGACATTAAATTACTCGGAGATTAACATCAGACTATAAGTAAGTAGTAAATTAATTTATGTCAGCTAAGCTAATTACCTCTAATCAGTACAAATTTATCTGTTTGGAGGGAATATTTGAGCATAAAACCAAAGGATGAGATTTGACACTAATTTAACGTGGTTGGTGAGGAAATTATGAGATGCTTCCCATTTCTCTCTCCTACCTCACATTTTCACGTCACACTCTCTCTCTACAACAACCGGCCATGATCTCCGATTAGCATTCCAATATCATTTTTCGACACCTCCTTCACCATCGCGAAGCGCTCGACGAGCTGAGCACAAAGGCATGTAGCACAACCTCCAATTCGGTTGTAAAGAACCACACTCGTCGAAACAAGAGCCGAGAATAACCATTTCTTTCTGACGTGATATCTTCGCCATTTGACATCTAATCAAGGTGATTTCAGTTCCTATAAATTCAAAACGAAATGACGAAGAAAATCCATACTTTTTCACAGCTCAATTTTAGCCATAGCACCGCCGTCTGTGGTGGCCGGAATTGCCGCTGCCGCCATCGTCGTCGTTTCTCTCTCTACGGGCCGCCGTGGACGTCACTGCCCCACCAATTGACTCAGAAGCCGACGCCCAACAGACATCATCACCGTCGCCGTTTCGCCAGAATTCAAAGAGAGCCGCTGCCATCACGTGGTGGAAGTTGTTTCAACCAATTTTGAGGTTCCATCGCCAAAGAATCAAGAACCAAGTTGCCGATTTTTCTCGAAATCTCTAAGTTCGATCTACACTGTTAAAGGCCGAATTGAAAGAAATTGACCCCGCCATTAAACTCATGAGGTCAAAAACTAGTAGGAGCCGAAGTATCATCGTTGCCCAACCACCGGAGCCGCTGCAAGCGCCGCCACGCGCCGCCGCGGATGGCGCCTCCGGTGAGTCTCAGTTTTTTATGTTCCCGACCTCCATTCGCCGATCCGAGACCATATTCTGACTTATTTCGACGTGTTGAATGCAACTATGGCCTCCGTTCGGCCAAATTCAACTATGAAAATAATGGTCTGATACCGGTTGCATGCAGATCGAGACGATTCAGACTGAATGAATAAAGTTCAGAATCGGGTATCCAATACTTTGATGGTCACTAAGGATCATTCATAGTGCTTAAGGTTTCTCCTGGAACCAGTTTCAAGAGAGTACGCAGTGGGACACGACATGTGAGGTACTACTAGAACCGCTTATCTCGGAATTGAGGCAAGTATGAACCTCCCTACAGTATAATTAATGACAAGTAATTTAAAGCGTATGATTTCCATGAGATACGTTAATTATGAAACTCACAAATTATGTTTATGTTCATGTTATAAGCCGTATTAGGTTTTTATAAAACTTAACAATTTTCAAATAAACATTTAAGCGGGTAATCGTAAAAGCCGATACGCTAGACCTTTAATTTTACGACGTTAAATACGGGCCTCAACACTATTATGAGCTCATCAAGTGCAGTAAAGTAAAGTTTATTAAAAGTGTAATTTATGGATAATAATTTAATTAATTATTAAATTAATTAATTAAATTATCTTAGACTTAGAATATGGGTAATGAAGTTAATTAATACAACAACAACAAGCCTTAATCCCAACTTAATTGGGATCGGCTATATGGATTTCACTTTTTCACACGGCTCTGTTTGAAATTAAACTTTCCTAAAGGCCTAGATCTAGAATGTCTTTCCTAACAACTTCGGTCCACGTAATTCTTGATATACTCCTCCCTCTCCTAGTATTAGGTATAAGAATGTCCTCCCAAGCACGAACTGGTGTTTCTAGCAGTCTACGTTAGACATGTTCGTACCACCTCAAGCGGCCTTCGCGCACCTTATCTTCTATTGGTGCTACACCTACTTTACTATGAATAACTTCATTCCTTATGCGATCCATTCTCATATGGCCACTCATCCATCTTAAAATACGCATTTCTGCCACACTCATCTTAGATACATGTTGTCTCTTAATGGCCTAACATTCACTACCATATAACATAGCTGGGCGGATTACAGTCTTATAGAACTTTCCTTTCAACTTAATAGGCATCTTGCCATCACGTAAAACTCCCGTAGCATGCTTCCACTTAACCCACTCTGCCTTAATCCTATGTTGAATATTCTCTTCTATATCTCCTTCGTACTGCACTATAGACCCAAGGTACCTAAACTTCCTAGAAGCCCCAATCTCCACACCATCTGAAAGTTTTTCATCACTCTGATTACTTGAATTACTAAACCTACAATGCATGTATTCAGCTTTCGTCCTACTTAACTTAAATCCCTTCGTCTCGAGAGTCCGTCTCCACAGTTCTAACTTACGGTTAATTCCTTCCCTATGTTCATCAACTAAAACTATATCATCCGCAAAAAGCATACACCAAGGAACTCTATTTTGGATTTCTCTTGTCAGCTCATCCATCACGATGGTGAAAAGATAAGGACTAAGAGCAGATCCTTGATGAAGGCCGATCGGAATGGGGAACTCTACCATGCAGCCTCCAGCAATTCTCACACTCGTGATCACCCCATCTTACATGTCCTTAATTACCTTAATATACCTCACATGCACTCCTCTCTTTTCTAGCACCTACCATAAAACTTCCCTCGGCACCTTATCATATGCCTTTTCTAAATCTATAAAGACCATATGTAGGTACGTCTTGGCTTCTCTATACCTTTCCATCAGCATCCTAAGAAGAATTAAAATTAATTAACTAAATTATGTAGACATAGTATATGAATAAAAGGGTTAATTAATTACTAAAATTAGTTAACTAAACTATTAGACTTATTATATGGATAAGATATTTAATTAATTAATTATCAACTTAGCACGAATTTATAAAGGCAATTAAAGAAGACAGAATTATAAGGATTTAATTAATCCTTACAATAGAAATTATAAATTTTTACGATCCTTAATAAAAAGGATAAATACATTCTAAGAAAGGATATAATTCCTTTATGACTATGTTAAATAAAAATAGCATACTGAAAGTTAATATCACCCTCTGAATGGGTGTTCCTAAGGGGAGGCTCATGTGAGACGAAAAAGTTAAGAGTGTCGTACTAACCTCCCGACCTAAGGGGAGGCTCATGTTCAAGTTAAATCCTCTCGACCTAGGGGGAGGATTCAAGTCCTCTCGACCTACGGGGAGGCACTCATGTTTCAAGATCACGGTGTTGTTGGGACCTTGCAAACCCTAACTTCTTGATGATTGCGCGCATTTGGTATGAACACTCGGGCCCATCAAGTATAATCAGATAAATTCATAAAACATTGCGTTCTGTTATAGTGTGCGATGATATGCCATACTGCATACTCACTAATGAATCTAGTGAAACTTATAAGAACAAAATTGAGTTTCATACCAGCTTTCGCGAGGGAGGTAAGCAAGTTCTCTGCAAGGGAGATATACAGCTTCAGTACAAATTCAGAATCCTCCGTAAGGGAGGTATTTTGATTAGTATGATCACGGTGTTGTTGGGGACCTTCATGAACCCTAACTTCTCAATAATTGTGCGCAATTGGTATGAACACTCGGGCCCATCAGTTTAGTAAGATAATAAGAGTAAGACACGATCATAATTAAGCATAACTGGAACATGCATATTTTATTATATGTATTATCAATAGTTTTACGAAATATAGTTCATACTTGCTGAGCGAAAGCTCATTCAGATATGTTCATGTTGTAGGTAAGAAACCTATCAGTAATTCTTGACAGGTAGTGGCGAACAGCGGACGAATGGTGGAGATGAGAATGAATATCACTCGCAAATAAACCTTCCGCAGTAAAATTAAATAAAATCATGTATTTATAGTTCACGAGATTCAAGTATACATGTATGTATGTAATTGAAGACCAAGGTTGTAATTATACAACCTTAGTTTAGAAAAGTTTTAAAAAGTATTTGAAATACGAATTTATAACTATTTCTTATTTAAAATCGTCTTAGAAGATTTTAATTTAAGTTACGAAATGTTTTGTGAATTGTTATTAATATGTTTTACGAAAAAATCCGCTTATGAGTATTTCAAGTTAAGTTCAAGATTACGTAGTTAAGTAACAGCCACATAAGAAAGATCGTTACACTCATTGCATGACAAGGATGTTGCACCTGTCATTTTTATGCTGTTTTGAAGGACAAAAGGGTAATTAAGAGCATTCTCTGAATGACACCTTCATAGCCAACCAAATACCGAGTTTATCCAAACAATAAATTAGAGCCGACGAACCCTTCAATAAATCTTTGCGAATAGATTCTGTATCATTTTCATCTAGATCCAAATTATTCAGAGATAATTCATACTGAGAAATAGACATGAGCCAGAAGTTAATGCTGTCAAAGAAGTATATACGTGCTTCAACAAATAAGCCAAAAGAGGAGGGTGAACAAAATGTATGCAATACCTGTTCTCTTAAAATTCTCAATTGATCAGCTAAATTGGTAGAGAAGGGATGTTGGCTATCCATCTGCTCGTAAAATTTGAACGTCAAAGTCGGAAATGGAATGAACTCTGCAAGAACAGATTCACTAACACATGTGTACACCTAGAACAGAAGACCAGAGCCACGACAGGAAACACGAAAGTCAGAAACCAAATAACAATATGAAGCAAATAATATAATGATTCAATTAGAAGTAAGGGGAAAAACTCGATCGTCATTGTGCAAAAAGAAAGGAAAGAACCTTGGCATTCATGACTCTCTCCAGTTCACGGATCTCTTTCAAATCAATTTCTAGATTTGAGTTTCCACCTGATTAGAACGTCAACAAAGGTCCAAAATGGTAAGGCTGTATGAAGGAAAAAATAGAATTCGGAGCTTTGAAAATTTGATAGAAAAAAAAAAATTATAAGCAAGGCCTACACCTTTTGATTTTGTAAGGGAAGCAGTCATTCCAAGTATCCTAGGAAGATTGGATTCACCAGATTGTAAATGACGGTAATAGAACTCCTGTAAGTCATCCAAACTCTAAATCTAATAAATACATATTATATAGATAGAGATACATTCTGATAATGTAATATAACTAAGGAGCTCAAGAACCAGCTGAAATTTCATTTCAAGAAGTAGTAATTTCAGATAATTGTTTAGGAAAAAGAAATACAAAAGAAAGAAAATAGCTTAGCAAAATTTAAGCAACAAGAATCCTTTACAGATCTTACAAAACCTTAATCTCATGGCATAGTTTTATGGGTTATATGGATGAGGATGTGTTCCTCTTTTCGCTTGGAACACAAAAGAAGAATCGTCTCAATTGGATTGGAATGAAGAAGCTGCGGCATTTTGAAGCTCGAGTTTTCATGGAGATAAAAAGAGAGAAAAAGTAAAAAGCAACTGGTCCTACTCTAGTATATAGGTTCAAATTGTGGGAATCTAGAGGAGGGTTGAATTCTAAGTTGGGGGATTTGAATAAGATTTTATAATGTGAATTGGACACCTTTTTTAATTCCCAAACACTGATTTGGGTGGAGTTTTTTATTCAAATTGTAGCAAATGGGTTGGAATTAGTGTACCAAAGAGGGGGAAATCTGTTGAGGTACTAATCAGTGAGTAAGAACTTTTCCCCAACAGATTTTTTTTTTTTTTTTGAGAGGTCTCCAACAGAAAATACAAATTCAGAACATAACTAAAAGTGAATGATTGCTTTCTTCCGGATTCATGTTTGATTACCAAAATATACTTTCTTTTTTTGAAGTTAGCTATTAAATTAGCATATGAAGAGGGGGGGTGCTGCCTCTCTTTCTCTTCAATCAGCCACTCTTCATTCTTGGTGACTTTGTCCCAAGATTAGGACTTTAAGCAATGCATGTCCATTGCTCCTGCAATTTCATGTAATACCGTTTTAAGGAATAGGCATACATCCGAGAGAAAAGTTCCGAGCTCACCAGCTCATAGCTTAATGTAAAAAGGGCAAGGCAAATTAATCATGTTTTATGATCTAATTTATTCTTTAACTTGTTACCTCGAAGGTAAAAATATACATTACTTTTAAAGCAATAATTCTCTACCAAGTTACAATGCATTGACGTTTGTTCATGTATTGCACGATTTAAGTGGGTTATCAGCTCTCACTCCACTTAAGCGGCTAACTTTAAAATGATGTTACTCACCCTTAGAAAACAGAAAACTAGAGTAAAAATCAACTGCAAGCTTGTTTTACTAGCACAAATTATATAGCTCATCAATATTTTCAGTCCACGTTTGTGTGACATATGAGAACTAGAGGCATGAAGAATTAGTAATCAGAATACAATTAACAAATCTGAATAGTACTGAAGATCATCCGTATCACATGATTATTAACATGCGATAAACCACTAGTGTATAGTAAATGAAAAAAAAAATGTCATGCAAAATAAGATATATACTACTCACCTTCATTATGAGAGCATATGGATGGTTACCCCTAGCATGATGGCATTCATCAAATACTAAACCCTTTATTACGCTAAATTTGAAAAAGGCATGCCTCAAACTGTTAAGTAATATTTCCGGTGTCATCACAAGCACCTGTAATCACGTAACTGCAAGTCATAGATCTAGCATACCGAATCTTATTATTGTAAAAATAACAGAAAAGTTACTTAAGAATAGAATGCCTTGTAACAAATAAAACATCTACATATAGAAGTGGCAAGATACTCAAATCACAACACATTCAAATAAACTGCATAAACAGTCGATACATTAAAATTCGCCCTAATTTCCAATTTCAAACATCCCACCTCATTTTTTTCAATTGCTTGCTTCCACATGTTACTATTCCAAAAGTCAGTTTGCGTTCCTCCACTATACGTACCAACTTTCAAGCCAGTATCCTTCTCCAGAGCCTTAGCTTGCTACAAAGATACAAGGAAAAACAAAAACAAACATCTTAGTAACATCAAACCTTAATTTCCCAGAAGTCTCAAATTCTCAAAATCTAATCATGTTAGTATCTATATATTTTCAGCCTGAACTGGCATAGAACCACTACAACAAAGACAATGATAGACTACACTGGGTAGCTTTAAGAAAGACTAGGATTTTAGAGCAAACCATGGTCTAAATTTTTTTTTCTTTCTTTCGTTTCAACATTTCAGTTTTTTCAACCCAAAGCTCAGCAAGATCCCCTATATCATATCTGATTCCCAATTACTTGATCTAGAAATATTCCTCAATTTTGAATCCCATAGCTAAAAACTAAATGCTCTTCACTAATACTATGAGCTTAAAGACGACACATTTTCGTTTACACACATTAGGCTGACAACCAAATCTACTTATCCAAAGCTCCAAACATAAGTTTCCAGTCTACAAGTTAAAAATCAGAAGCGCAATTTTTCCTTAAAAAGTAAAAAAAAAAAAAAAAAAAAAAAAAAAAAAAAAAAAAAAAAAAAAAAGAAAGAGAGAAGAAGGTATGATTCTAGATATAGCTTCAACATCGGCATGCAACAAATGCAGGGGGAGAAAAGGATTTTGTACTTAAAAATTACTTAGAAGAACGAACATTGCTGTCAACAAGCTAGAAATTAACATGTCATATTGGTCTTGTTGACTTACAATGCAGCTATTCAACACTGATTCCTTTAAGACCCAAATCGAAATCATAGAACAGGAAAAGCTATCTACCAGCAAACATGAGAAAGAGAGAGTGTGGTTATACTTGAGAGACCAGAACATCTTTGGGAACCAAGAAAACGGCAACAAAAGGCGAAGGCTTGCGAAGGACAGCGGCATAGCTGCGGAGCAGCATCGACGCAATCAAAGTCTTCCCGGAGCCCGTTTCCAAGAACACTATTGTGTTCTGCTTCATCCCTTGCTCCCATGCTTCAACCTGGTAACTGCAAAACCAACATTTTTCCGTTGTTTACGGAGAATTCTGCGCGGGGTACGAATAAAATTCCTACCATTCCAACACAGTTTAACAAAGTTTTAACAGAAAATCACATTAACATAATACCAGATTAACAAAAGTATGACAATTTAATGGAATTAATGAAAATCTGACTGCCATTGTGTCCTAGTAGTAAGTTCGTACCTAACAAAGAATTCTCCTCATAAAGAACAGCATATAAACCATAACCGCAACTGATTAAAAAAAAAAACAAAACAAAACAAAACTTCATTTTTTGTTATCTGTTTACATTGTTTGATAAAAATGCATTATCGAAGAAGTATTGATCACCTTCTTGCAAATGAAAGAGGATCAGAGGATTCTTTCTGGGTTCTTTCGCTCTCCGTGCCAACTGGTTCCAGCACAGCATCTCTCTGCGCCATTGTTGATCACCAGAACAGAAGTACTTCTCAGAAGAATATGAGAGAGAGAGAGAGAGAGAGAGAGAGAGATTAGCTGAAATTGGTCATGGAAAATGATGGTTAGAAATGGTTGTTCAAAAGCTTGAGGAATAAGCTACCACTTCTCTAAGCTGATGGTAAAGGAGAGAGAGTAGAAAAAGATTACGCAGAACTGCAGGTTACTTGCAAAAAGGCTCTCAAGACGTGAGTGGACTTCCGGAATTGGGAAAGTCTTTCGTGGGGTCTCGACGATTAGTAAAAAGGAATTTCAGCCCAAATGATTTTTTTTTTTTTTTGAGGATTTTCTTTTCATAAATGACCTAAATTTTATAAAATTATAAAAATAACCGTTTTTATAAATTTATTAGTTAATTATTAATGATTTAACCACCGATTGATTTAGCGGCCTGCGTTTATAAATTTATCATTTTCTGAATTTATCTTCTTTTTTTTTTCATTTTTTCATTTTTTGTAAATCATGAATTTACTATTATAATTTACCGTCTTTTCTTTATAAGGTTCTAATTGAAATTAACTTGGTAAATCCTCAATTTACCTATAAAATTGGTAACTTTTTCATATAAGGTTCCAAGTGAAGTTATTTTAGTAAATCTTAGATTTAATACGTAAATCCTAAGTTTACCATTAAAGTTGATGACATTTTCTTTATAAGGTTTCAAGTGAAGTTATCTTAGTAAATCTTGTATTTACCACGTAAATCATGAGTTTACCATTAAACTTGATAACCTTTTTATTATAAGGTTTCAAGTGAAGTTATCTTGATAAATCTTTGATTTATCACGTAAATCCTAAGTTTACCATTAAAACTTATAATCTTTTCCTTATAAGGTTCTAAGTGGTTATCTTGGTAAATCTTAGATTTACCACGTAAATCTTGGAATTACTATTAAAGCTAATAAATATTTCCTTATAAGGTTATAAGTGAAGTTATCTTGGTAAATTCTGGATTTATCACGTAAATCTTAAGTATACCATTAAAGTTGAAAACCTTTTTTATAAGGCTCCAAGTGAAATTATTTTGGTAAATTCTAGATTTATCACGTAAATCTTAGATTTATCATTAAAGTTTATGACATTTTCCTTATAAGATTCCAAGTAAAGTTATATTGATAAATCCTTTTATTTACCACGTAAATCTTGAGTTTACCATCACAATTTACAGCCTTTTCATTATAAAGCTTCAAGTGAAGTTATCTTGGTTAATTCTGAATTTACCGTGTAAATCCTGAGTTTACCACGTAAAGAGAGCGAAGGAGGAGAGAGACAAGTATGACAAAGAGTAGGGTTTTGATTGGGCAATTCTCATCTAAGGGTATTTTTTGAAATTCATGTGATTGTAAATCTAGATTTACCTCAAATTGGCCTATTTACTAACTTTTCTAAAACTTTGGCTATTAATTTTTATTCCTCTTAAATATTGGCATATTTCCCTCCTTCTCCCTTAACTTTTCAACTCGAGTTCTTAAGTCGGACCCGCGAAAAAAGTGACTCCTTATTTTGCTCTATATCTCCAAACTTCTTTTCCCCTCTTTGAATTAGAACCTGTTCAATTTGTTAGTTCGAATTACAACTCAAGATTTTTGCTGCATAATTTTCTCTCACAAATTCAAATTCAAATTTTTCTGTTATAGTGTTTTCTTTCATATAAATTCACTTTTTAAGTCAAGTTCTTAATTCGAATGAGCGAAACGAATGGGGCCAACTCCTAAACTCAATGTTACCTTCGCTATCTTTTGCTCATACATCTCTCTAACTCTCCTTCTCTTACTTTGTCGATCTCACTTCCTCTATTTTTCTTCATAGTTTCAATTCAGATTAGAATTTTCAACCTTTAGGGGACATTTGGGAAGTACATTTGAATCATGATTTGGATTTTGATTCAATTCTTTGTAAGAAAACTATTAGCGGAAATTTTTTTTATTTAAATTTTTTGTGAAAAAAAAACACTATAACATAATCATAGTTTGAGTATGTGCCAAGCAACTCCTTACTAATTTGGGGTTTTCACCTCTCGAATCGTCCCCAATTGTTGTATCAAATGTTAAATTATTATGATAAAATATAAATTACAAAAGAATTCAAGAGACACAAAGATATAATATGATTCGACTTTTAAGTTACGTCTGTGAATAGAAAAGTTGATGTGTAAAGTTTTAATGATTGAGTGGGGGACAGCTTAGGGGACAGCCAAGGGGACAACATATCCAGCTCTCGGGTATGAGGGGTTGGCTAATGGAGAGGATTATCTTCTATATTGATTAGTGAGTGCGTATTAATTAACCGGTGATAATTTAAAGTTGGTTACTTTTTATGTTCCTCTTTGGTGCTGCACCTTTTCTTCTCATATTTTCAATGGGCCAGTGGCAATCTCGCGATGGCGCTCATAGTCTTCATGAGGAGAGTTCGTCCAATTAGCCTTGAAATTAGGGTCTCAAATTTTGAACTTGTATGTTATATTTACGCAATCAGATATAAATCAACTTATTTAACAACTCGTAAATTTAACGAATATCGGAATAGATTGAAATTGAAATACATGTGAAAACTCCTATATATACAATCGGATCCGTACAGAAAATCGACATTGCAACAATAGCTAGCTAGTAGCCAGTATAATTTTCTTTTTCCACATCTTATAGGGTATGTGAGCTAATAGCTAGTGTATTTTTTTTTTCACAGGTACAAATTTTAATTTCTAGTGAATTTTATTGTGCATTATTTGATAAAATTTAGGAGAGTATAAGACCAATTTGTAAATTTTTTTTTTTTTTTAGATTATGCCCAAATTTATGACTCAAATTATCTGTCTAATTTTAGTGTCATAATTATTGTCTAATAAATTATATTATGTCATGTGTAAAAAATTTAAACTGTTTTTAACAAAATCTTTTATACTTTATCATGAGATGATGTCGTATAATTTAATTAATTAAATGTTGTTTAGAATACTAAAAATTAAATAGAAAATCTGGATCTCAAAATTTCATATCAAACGACATAATATATTTATAAAAGAGAGAATTTGTATGCTTACTAAAAGAAAGGCTAAAAGGAACAACACAAGATCATTATTCATGACAAGGCAAACCACATCACATGAAACATAAAAGAGGAACACAAAAAACAGAGAGTCTGCTCATTTATTGAAGTGCAAATAAGCCTCTATGAGAGTGATCAAAGCAAGGAATGATCTTCTCCCACCACGCACAAATAGATAGAGCTATTTGTCATATATCCTCATAAATTTAGCAATGTTTGGTGCAGAAGCATCGGCGGCGGAAGCCCTGGCAATTGCCGCCTTGAAAGCCCTCAGTTCGGCAAATGTTAGCACAGTTGCTATTCCTCACGCACGTTCCCTTGAACCGATGGCTCGCAGATTGACAGGTCCTTGCGTCAGCAACCTTTGGCCCCATCTCTGTTAGAATATACTAAGATCAGTAATTTAATATGGGTATATTTGACGGTGATTTTTAGGCATCGTTCATTTCACTGATTTGAGTTTTCAGTTTTAAATTTCTATAGTAAAAAGCTCTCAGAAAATATCACATCTAATTTTTTTTGTTACAGTGAAAAGTTCTAAAAAAATGACACATCTGTGAAGTGAATGAGGCCTTAGAGTTTAAGATCAATTTTTTAACTATCCACAGTTAAAATTTGTACTTAATAAAAAATGTAATTCTTAAAGAATTTTTGAAGAATTTATAATCAAAATCAGAATCAGTCTAAAAATAATTTTGACTTTTAATCACTTTAAAGTATAATTAATAAAATTTTTATAATACTTATAATACTTTTAAAATTAATACCTATATAATTATAATTTATTAAACACTCAACTATTTTTTATAAAAATTATTTTTTTCAGTACAGTGAAATTTTTCTAAAATCTACAAATCTACAGCACTGTCAAAGACTATGTATAACGAGTAAATATACATATAGATAGGAATAGGAAACTCCTTTTTTCTATGTTAAGCTAGAAAATGTGCTTTGGTACTTTATTTCAACTTGTCTTATAAGATTTTTCTATTCTCTTTACTTGGAAAAATCCCCATTAGGTGATTTGTGTGTGTGTGTGGGTAGTGACCATTTGAGCTATTTGCTTGTGACAATCCTCATAGCTTGAGTTGGGTGTTCGTATTTGCAATACGTAACCCAAGTCATATTTCCTTGTAATCATCCTCTTTCTAAAAAAATAAATAAATAAATAAATAAATAAAAAACATAACCAAAACAAAATAAATAATAAAAAAAAGCCAATAAAAAAAAAGATGGATCTACTATGATGATGACTGCGATATATAGCCGCTATGGACTAAAACGGATTTTAGTTTCTTGTTGAGATGTATATAAAGAGCGTTTAATTTAGGAAGAGTTTTGATAAAAAAAAAATGTACAAAAACAAATCCAAATTAAAGAAAAACGTCAGAGAAAAATGATTCATACCAGCAGCCACCAGCAGCAGGAGAAGGAAAACCATGGAAAGCAAAGGCATAGAGCGCCCCATATTGAGAACAACGCAGAGAGATGGAGAGAGAGAGAGAGAGAGAGAGAGTGATTTGTTGAATGTTGATGGAAATGCAAGGAAGAAAAACATGGAAAAGGGCGTTATATAGAGTTACAAATGGAGCAAACCAGAGGAGTAATGCATGTTAACTACGTGTCATTCATTTCACTTATTTGAGTTTTCAGTTTTATATTTTTACATTAAAAAGTTTTTAAAAAATGTCATATTTAATTTTTTTTATTACAGTAAAAAATTCTCAAAAAATATCACATTTTAACTCAAATTAAAAACTTAAATTCGCGAAGTGAACAAGACTTACGTGTAAAACTTCACTAGAGAATTTCACTCAAAAAGGTGCAAGAGGACCGGTAAATGAATTACAAGTTTTAATCGTTAAATATGTATTTTTAATTTAATGTGATTTAAGTTTTAATTATTATCGTTTAGTTCATCGATTCAAATTTTTAATTTAAATTGAAATGTGATTTTATGTGAGTTTTTTAGTGTAGTAAAAAAGTTAGATATGACTGTTTCTAAGAGCTTTTTACTGTAGTAAAACTTAAATTCTAAACTCGAATCGGTGAAATGAACGGTAAAAAACTGTTTCTGATATCTATATAAAAAATTATCTATTTTTTAATCTAATATGATTTTAATTAAATTTAACAGTAAAAAACTTAGGAGATGTTTGGTTCATGGATTAGAATCATGTGATTAGAACCATTTTCGATTTACGTGTATTTTTTGTGGGAGAAAACATTGTAGTGACCATGAACTATGATTCAAATCATGGTTTGAATCCTCCAACCAAACATCCCCTTAGAGTTCATTTGATATAAAAGTTTAAATCAGTGTAATTCTAGTTTTGATTTTAAAACTATAACTATGATTTATAATTTTATGTCCAAATCATAGTTTTGAAACTAGAATCAAAATCAAAGTTTTGAACCACTTAGAGTCCGTTTGGTTCATAGATTAGAACCATGTGATTAGAACTATTTTCGATTTACGTGTATTTTTATGAGAGAAAATACTATAGCGAACCACGAATCATGATTCGAATCAGGGAACGAATCTCTCTACCAAACATCACCTTAAAATCAAAATGGATGGTTTTAAAATCAAAAGTAATTATTAATTTAAAACATCATATTAAAATTTAAATCTTAAATTAAAATTATCTAAACTAAATACTAATTTTAAATGAATCAAATTAAAATTATTTTTGTATTATTTATTAATAAATACTGCTTTAAATTATAATTATAATTTTAAATTCAGTGCCTTTATACTAAACAATGTCTTATACTATCAATCGGTAAGGAAGTTTGCGAAGATTAGTGCGCTTAGTTCAAAAAGGGGAAAAAAGCGGGTTGGTACGTGATGTGATCTTCAGGCATCACCTGGCGCACTATCGGAGCAGCAGAGTGCTTTTGATGGAGCTTCTGACGCTGCAATATCTTTGAAGATCGTTGGATTTCCGTCTGTCTTTTTGCGTTTGTGTTCACATGCCATGTACGAAATTCCGCTGCCCCACAAAATTCGTAAATTAATTTTCTTTTTTGTTTTTTTTGGTTCGGAAAATAATGTTTGACGCTTTAGTGTATCTCATTTTTAGCCGTCGGATGAAATATTTTAACGGCCTATATCGTTTGTGCGCTTTAAGTTGAATAATTTAAAACATAAAAGAAGTGATAATAGTAGTTCTCAGATTCAGACCAAAAAAAGAAAAAAAAACACTTTTGTAGAAATTTTTATAGAAATATGAAAAACAAAATGGGGACACTTTTTTTCTGTTTCTTTTCTAGTGAGTTCTACAAAAATGTTGAAAGAAAAAGATGACACGTCATTGTTGCTAAATGCTAATCCGCGTCGGATTACTGTCGTTGTGGGGCCACTGTTGCTGAAACACTGGGCAGCTCACCACTTCCAGATTATGTTATCTTTGAAATCTCCGTAACAATAATTGACCCCCTCTGGTTCGCAGTTCAAACAATTATTGTAGGTATTATTTATTTTATTAATTTAAATTTTTAATTTTAATTTAATTACAGTTAAAAAAATTTTAAAAAGTTTTATTTAATTTTTTTATTATAGTTAAAAATTTTAAAAAAAAATTTTATTTAATTTTTTTATTATAATTAAAAATTTTTATATAAAATTATATTTTAATTTAAATCGACAAACTGAACGATATCGTAATTCTCATTTATAAAAATTTAAATTTTAATTTAAATTTATCAGCCAAACATTACAAATTTAGGACTAAATGAAGGTTATGTTACATCATTAACCTCTAACATGAAATGTTGCAAATGATGACCTTATTCATTAATGAATTAACAGTGAAAATGACCTATTTAGCCCCCAAAATTTTAATAAATGAATAAAGCTTTTTAAAATTAGATAAATGGTCAGTCATCACTCTTTCTCATTAGTTCCAAACAATAGCAGCATCTTCATCACATTTCCCTTCTCACTCGTTACCACCTCTCTGTCTTTTTTTCTCTACGGCATTGTTTGTTTCACGGCTTCGTTTGTTTTACATATTTAATTTTTTAATTTGAATTGAAATGTGATATTTTTTAAAAAATTTTAACTGTAAAAATTTAAAATTAAAAATTTAAATCGGTGAAATGAACTAATTTTACGTTTTCACATCCCTTTCTTCCCCTCTCCCTCACATCAGACTCCTTCCGTCTCTTCGCGTCCCTCTCACTCCCACTCTCGACATTTCTCTCTCATAGTTCTCTGCATTTCTCGACCACTCATCACTTTGTAGGTGTTTAATTTTTGTAAGGATCGGCCATATGCCTAATTTTCAGAAAGTGAGGCCAAATTTAAGTCATGTGGGAAACCGTTAACGAGCACATGCAAAACTTGAAAAAATTGAAAAATGATGAGGATAAAACTTGAAAAATGTTGGATGCCATTTTAGTACTAGGAATTCAAAATTCCCACAATTCCCCCAAAAGGTAACCAGGGCAAGTTTTGATTTAATTAGTTTTTATACATTTTGGTTGGATCCATTAATTCTTGCTAATGCCTTCAATGAGGAGAGTTTAGCATTGCAATGGTTGGAGCACAAATTGAATGAAGTTTTTGGTAAATAAATGATCCTCTGCTAGGCTGCTAGCTAGTCCTTGATTTCGTTTTAATTTTATGATCGTGTTTTGAACTTGTTGCGACTGTTTGACTTTGGTTTTCAACAAAGTATTGGTGATGTATATGTGCAGAAACCATATATGGGAAACTCTAAGTTTATTCTATGGAACGTGTTATAGATTATATTGTGTTTTCAGTTTACAGGTCTTGCCTTTTTAGAGCTTTATTTTGAGGTCTTCAGAGTACAGAGTGAGCCAATTAAGTAGTGAATTTGAAATTGAGGATTTTTTTTTTTTTTTTGGGTCTTGCTTTTGAAGTACTACAACTGTATACAAGAATTAAATGATCTATGAATTGGATATAAGTTGAATGTGAGTCTTTTGAGTGGTTATTGATCGTCGATCAATTAGTGAGATAACATTAAAAAAAACAAACAAACAAACATGAGAGATAAAATGGAGTTTTAGGAAAGTTCGGGATTGGTTTCAGCTCCTTTTTTTTTTTTTTTTTTTGGGGGGGGGGGGGGGTAAATTATTGAATTTATAAATTTATTATAATATATCTCATTTTGACGATAATTGTGTTAAATTAGTGTCAAAAAAGAACGTTCAGTAAAAAATTTCAACATGAAATATTAATATTTCAATATCTCAATTTTTAATCTCTTAAATCTAATAAAAAAAATTTTGAGCAAATTTAATTAAATTGGATACATTGTAACAAATTTACAAGTTCATAAGGTAACTTGTCAAAATTAAAAGTTTAGGAGATAATTTATTAAAACACGACAAGTTCAGGGGTAATTGTTCCAAAAAACCCTATGAACTTTTGGTGAGTGTCTTTTATTGGAGAAGGAAGTAACAAATTTATTATGAATGATTGAAGTAAATAGCATATTTTAAAGTTATTTAAAATAAATAACAGTAAATTAAAAATTACATGGTAACAAATTCTTTTATGAGTCGTAAATAAAAAATTCACGAAAAAATCCTTTTAGGATAAATTTACGTGATAAAATTTGTTTTTACTGCTATTTACTCAACATATTTTAAAATCTACTATTTATTTAATTTTATTTTATAAAAATACTTTTTTTTACTCAAAATAATTTGTAAAAATACTATTTACTACAATTTTTGAATCTTTGTATAATTTTGTAAAAATACTTTTTCTTTTTGCTCCGAATAGTTCGTAAAAATACTATTTACTACAATTTTTGAATCTTCGTATCTTTGTATGTTGTAGTGAAACAGGGCTCCGCCTGTCCAATGGCTTCTGCTGTCTAAGACGAAACTCATTTTATCAGTTTGGGGGCATTTTTTAAATTAGTCAATTAAACAGAATCAACTTTCATATAATGGATATGGAAAAAATAAATATCAAGCATGTGATGTGAGCAACAAGATTGAAGATAGTTTTTTGTACTACAATTGACAGGAAACGCTTTGGTAAAGAGAGACGCAACAAATAAACGTAAAATAACTGTGTATAATTAAGTAGTCGCCAGAGTAGTATGTACATAATCAACAATATAAATAAAGAGCGACTTTGAAGTGCCGAAGAGATGGTAAAAAGAAGCGACAATACAAAAAACCTTGTCGAAACCCAAATAGAAAAAGTTACAGTTCAATATTAAATGCCGCTTCACTCCCATGTAACCGAAATCATAGAGTTGGCAAGGCCAGACTCTTCAAAAGTCAACTGACTATCATAATCCAACGACTTTGAAGCTCCTGGTATAGCTTCTGTCAAGCGAAATGGCCTCGTCTCGCCTTCCGTTAGTTGAGAACAGCAGAATGACCATAGCAGCTGCAGAAACAAAGAATTTAAGGAATGACTTTCGTCAATTGCTATGTAAATGTCACTAGCAGCCTTGCAAATGGAGAATCCATTATGCAATTCCTTGTTACAAATATAAATGTCACTAGCAGCCTTGCAAATGGAGAATCCATTATGCAATTCCTTGTTACAAATACACGTAAACGCAGTTTTGCTCAATTCCATGAAGACAAAGCGTGGGAGAGGAAATCGAGAAAAGAAAAGATAACAGTGGCAGCGTGGTCATAGAACAGGAAAAAAATAAAAATAAAAGAAAATTACATTTTTTCTGTCAATATATACAGAAAAAAAATAATGAAATCCATAAACGTATACCCCAGAATGCACTTATAAGTTATAATGAGATGGTTCATGGAATGAGATATTGCTTCATCATTGAGATATTCCCGTGGACACTTTTCTCATCTTCTTGTATTGTTAAACATGCAAGTCATTATAATGCACCCAAAACGACCTCATAAGCCAAGTGGTAATTAATGACTATAAGACAATTTGTGAGCACTGAAGCATTCAGGGTTATTGGACACAGACCAATAGAAGCCCCCATAGTTGATAACAAAGAATGAGATGATAACAATTCTCCATAATCGATTTTTACCTGAATCGGATCAGTTCGCAAGAAATTCCTCTGCACCCTGCGGCCACCTGGAAGACGGATTCCAACCCTGCATAGAAGGGTCTTGTCACCCTTGGGTTCTTCAGGCAAAGGTGGATAACTAGGCTTCTTATCTTGGCATGTTATCTCCTCCTGGTTTGTAAGATTTTCATCCTCATCATCGGACCCCCATCCACTTGTGCCTTTTATACCTTCCATAGAGGCTGCAATTGCTTGCAACACTTCCTCGTCTTCTTCGCTAGTCTTATCTGCAACTACTGGGGCATCTGAAATCAAATCAGCAATTAAATTTTGGAAACAAGGAAAAAAGAAATAAAGTGAAAAGAAAACCTTTTTTTTTCCAGTTTAAGTCAAAAGTTGAGTTTCTAATGATCAAAGGGCAAGTGAGAGGGAATATATGGATGTTTATATGCAGGAACTAGAAACTATCACAGTCAAACGATCACTCTAGTAAAAAACCATAGGAAAGAAGCGGAATACATGGAAGAGCTTCACAATCACTAATGAGAAAAGCAAATTATCCAAAGGAAACAAGAAAATCACCAAACCACATCATGGGAACCAAGCATATTAACTGAAAACCCTATAAAATATCAACCAAATTTGAACTTTTTCTAATCTTACACAAACAAAAAGAACAACTTGCGTACACAGGGCATAAATGCTATCTGCATATGCAGTTATACAGTAATAGACTGATAATCATTTCAAATTAAGCCACTCTAACGCATGAAGGAGAGAGGTTTTCTTTATCAGTCTTGTATACAAGCAAGAAACTCAGCAGAAGAACCGAGAATAATTTCTATACCTTTAGTTTTCTGTGGCCGAGCGAAAGAACTTTCTCGGGGGCGTTTGTGCGACAATGTCACATGATGATCCCTTGGCCCACCCTCCATGAAAGGTAAGAGATCCTAAATTTCAATTGATGTATTGTCAGGTGAGTAAGGTAATACCAAGATCACAAGCTAAAACTTTTTTATGTAACATGTTATTCGGCCCACAAAAGGAAAGTTGTGATAAACTAAACATACACAAATCCACCTACCTCTAGCAAGCGTTCAGGTTCAACCATTCCATTCCATGAACGCATTTTTTGCCCAGTGATGGGATCAATGACAAGAACTACAGGAATAGAGTCCAACTTGTAATATGTGCATACTTTCTGGCCTTCAGTTGTATCATCATATACCTGTGTTCACAGGCCAATGCCAAATTGAGTTAGAAAGCATAAAATTAACTATTTTATTAGAAACCAAAAAACAATCGACCCTAAAATTCAATGGGAGCATCAGATGTCATCCAAATGACCCATAAAAAGCAGTAATGTATCTCTACAATTCCAGGCTACACATGATTCTTGAATGCAAATAAATGAATTAAAGTTTCTACATGTTCTTTCTTAATTGAAACTTATTTTCTGACATAAATAACCACAGAATGGCCATGCCTGGTATTGCCCTACTTATGAGCTACGAACCAGCTAAACATTAATGTTTCTAGATTCAATTATGCTTCATATGGGCCATAGTCAGATCAGGATATTGAAGCATATCAACAAATCTAAACATGTATGGTGTTTATTACATCCTCTAATTTTATAGCTCAAACTTTTAAACCGGACACTTTAATCAGGCATGGATCCCTAACTAACAAAAGAATGATACTAAAGCTACCATCAGAGAACACAGTATGCTGCTGGAAAAGATTAATATTTTGGGAAAAGCAAATCATACTGAAAATCGTACTGAAGTGGGCTGCCTACCTGCCAGAAGATAAAATTGGTACCGATTGTTTGAGAAACAGCTTCATTTGCCCATGTATCTCGATTAAGCTTCAGAAGATGATAAACGGAAAAAAAAAAAAAAAAATATATATATATATATATACATATATTACTCTCTGTCTAAAATAATAACTATGGAGCTATCACAAAACAGTGAAGACAAACATCCTACCATATGTGAGCTGAACTCCTTTGTAGACTGCAAGTTTATCAGGAGCCATTTGTCCTGAGCAGAGGCAGTATCCTTAGCCTGCAACACACATAGAGTTTCATGTAAATAGACCTAAGTAATTACTTACATAATTATTTTATACAATAAACAGCCTCATCAGTAATAGCAAGATTTAACTAATGTGCGGTAAGAAATTAAAATATGTTATGAAAATTGGAAGTACAAAGTGCAAACTCAAGTGAGAGGTATCTCACCATTCTAGCCATAGAAAAGGTATATGAGCACCTTCTCAGTCACAATTACAGGCTATTAAGCAAAGCCCCATAAATGATATATATTTATCTACTAGTCCATGTTCATTTGTCCTCTTAAATTATGCAGCAACCCAAAAGAAGATTCACACTAACTTAACTGAATAACAAGCATACCAACAATAACACATACACATACACAGAGTTTACGCATTATGCAGCAACAAACAAAACAATAATAACTCTGTTACCTTTTCAAATGGTCCGTGAAACATGAGATGAAAGGGAGGACGATATAATGAAGCAAGATTATCTCGCGAATTATCTGCTGTCGATGCAGCACCTTGATCTGATTCCCAGACCCCAGGACGTCTGATTTCCTCACCAAAATTACGAAAAGCAATTACTGAATTTGATTCATGTGATGGATATCCAAGCATCCTTGATGCCCTACATGAAAATAACACAGGATCATTTTAATTTAATAGGTACTGATAAATAGATTGCAAAACTGAATAAACGATAACAAAAAAGGTCATTAACATGCAAATTTCAAGATAAAGCGACCCAAGTTACGTAAGAAACACGACTAGAGTACAGGAATAACTAATGTGGAGCTCCCTAACAGCATAACTGAAGAAAGTAGCAGGCATATAATTTAGCAAACTGACTAAAAAAATCATCTTGTGCATCTAAGATACAAGACGGAAATATGACAAATAATGAACACTCCAATCGTATTAGAGCTAGATTCCAATGTTTGATTCGTTAAAAATCCAATAATACCTCACATAACAAAGAATAAACACTAGAGCAAAAAAACAATGAAATTATATAACCACTAGAGCAAAAAAAACAATGAAATTATCTTAAACAATAACAAGAAAAGACTATTCCAAAAGTGGGTAGAAACTCATACGCTTGAATCGATGGATCATCATAAAGAGCCTCCCTTATAACAGGCAAAGGAGCGCGAACTTCATCAACATCATCCAGTCCCAAATTCTCATTCCTATTCTCCCTTTCGGCTTCTTCACTGCATACAAACAAATCGAAAACAATAATGCATCTAAAAAAAAAAAAAAAACCAAAAATTTCACAAAAAATCAACAAAATTCGACACATACCGAGCAGCATTTTCAGCAAAAGCATCGAGATTTTCTCTCGGCGGAGAATGCGACGACGGTTCAACCACAGCCCCACCCTCACCCCCTACATAGAACAGCTGAATCGCATCCTCGAGCTTCCAACTCGTTGCCTGTTGCCACAATTTCAAGCCAAAATTCTCGTCAAAAGCAAGCAACCAAATTTCACGTCGCCGAGACCGATAAACGAAATCGCATCAATCGGAGAGACCAAAAAGAGGGAATCAATTAGGGAAATTCCACAGAAAGAGAAACGAGAACCTGCAAGAACTGCCTGGCGGTCTCGGCGGTTTGTCCGACGGCAATCTCCAGGAAGGAGGAGACCATGCTCTGCTGATCACTCGCGGACAACATTCCCTCCATAAGCGCCTTCTTCTTCTTATTGTTCTTCTGCTTCTCTCTTTCGAGTCTTCTTCTACCAGCTTTGCTCATTAACTTCAAATCTAGGGTTGGGTTTCCAGAGTCACTGTTGGGTACGGATTAGGAAAACCTTTTCTAGATTTTTTCAGGTAAAAAAAACAAAAAAGGAAAATTGTTTTTAGTTTTTTTTTAAAAAATTTTATATTGTTAGATTAAAAAAAAAAAAAAAAAAGGGGATAGAGACTGTGTGAATCTGAATTTGTGAAATAAATTTAAAAAGGTTTTGACTTCTAATTTACTCATTATTACCTCGTTTTGATTTTTCTCAAGTTTGGGCAACGTCTTTGATTTCTTTTGATTGAAAAACACAAGATGCCTACCTCGTTTTCCTTCCGTTAAAATTTGATTACTAATATTGAAAGTCACAACTTATTTATAGCCTTCTCTATTCGATTCCGACTAAAGTTATAATTTTGAACTCAATTGGGTGTCAATTGTAGTTAACTAGAGTTTAGAACCCGAACTTGTAGGAGTAAATTAGGTTACATATGCATCCATACTTTTTATCTAATTTTTACGGTATTTATTTAGTGTTTAACTAATCACGCTACATCATTTCATTATAAATATTAAAAGGTTAGTTAAAATAATTTAAATTTTTTACACGACATATAATATGATATGATTAATTAAATACTAATTAAAATGCTAAACTTAGACAAAAAATATGAGTCGCTACATAACATTTATCGCAGCATGTTTTAGCACTTTTTTTAAAAGCATCCGAGACCTATCAAAGAAGTGTAAAGTCTATTTTGCCATTAAGTACATCATATTTACAATAAACAATTGTGTGATGGGAGATTGAGAGAAATAAGTCTGATTAAAGGGCAATAAAAATAAATAAGCGAAAGTTTATAATTAGTTAGTAAATAGGTCTAATCGGTGTAAATTCATATTTACACTAAATTAACAATAAAAAAATGTCCCTGAGTAAAAAAGAAAAGAAAATCTTAAAATTTACTCCGGCTTGCTTTGGCTCTCTTTCTTCTGGACTCCAACTCTAGCGCTTTCTCTCTCTTTCACCGCGTCCAAAAATCTTGTGCCATTGGGCGAATCTCATGGTGATTTCATAGGGGTTGTTCTTTTGCCGTTTTTGAGTTAAATGATTTGAGTGTAGATTTTGAGTTGAGTTTGAGTTATAACTTGAGTTGAAGTTGTAACTTAAGTTTGTGTTTGGTTGTGTACATTTGAGTTATGGTTTGAGATAAAAATCTTTTTGAATTTGTGTTTGAGTTAGTCAAAACTTGAATTTATATTTAGATAGTATTTTAATAAAAACTCAATGATGATGGAAAATTTTAATAGGGTATATGGGTGGGGTTTTATTCGACTTTTCGTTGTCAACGTATAAAAAAAAATTATCTCAATCAGAATTAAAACGAAAACGTTATAGCATTTTTAAGAATAGAAAAAAATTGTTCATTAATTTGAGTTCGAATTTCTGAACTCGAGTTAAAGGAGAAACTTGAACTCAAGTTTTGGTCTCAAACTCGAGTTCAAACTTAAAAGAATATGAAATAAAATTGTAACTCGAGTTACTTTTTTGAGTTTTTGACTCAAGTTTTGGGTTGCCGAACAACCCCTTAGTATCACAGCGTGATTTTGGTACCCATATATTTCTATTCATTATAGAAAATCATAACTGAAATCATATTCTCTCTTCGCTTTATCTTACCTTTTTTTTTCTTTCTTACTTATCTTTTTATTCTTCTTCTAATTTCTTTAAAAAAAAAGGACACATACTCTTTTTTTTCCTTTCAGCATTTAGCTTTATTGATTGTGATTAGTCAATATTTATAGAACTAAAAAACTAATTATTATATCGACCACATACATTCAAAATCAATAATTCACCAACATAAGATATATAGTGTTTCTTCGGTAAATTTAGTATTTACAATGTAAGTTTAAAATTTACAAACAAACACAATCTGTATTATCATAGTAAATTATTGATTTATCGTATAAATTCAGAATTTACGAAAGAATATAAATCGTGTTTTGATAATAAATCTTGGTAAATTTAAGATTTACAAAAGAAACACAATCTGTGTTCTGATGGTAAATTATAGATTTATACGATAAATCTTATATTAACGAGCAAAATTAAAAAAAAATTATATTAATAAAGTGAATATAATCCGGTAACAAATTGAACCACATTGCATGACTTAAAAAAAATAAAGATAATAATCATACCTACATCGCTTACACGTTAAAAAAATTTTAATTCGCGGTCTCCGATGACAACGATCAATAGAAAAAATTGTCAACGCTGAGAGAGAGAATAACAATCCCACCGACAACAAATAAAGAGAAAAGAGAAAAGGAGATCGAAAGAGAAATATTAAAAAAGAATAAAAGAAAAAGAATAAAATTGGAAAATAAAAAAATGATAAGCATATGAAAGAAGGAAATAGCATAATTTAAATAGCAATAAAATTAATAGCATAATTTAAATAGCAATAAAATTAATAGAGAAGTTTTAAAGAGAGTTAGTAAATATGATTTTTTAGATAAATTATATTTATATAGTAATAAAATATCTAAAATGCCTTTGTTTGAATACCTAGCTTATCATTCTTTATATTTTAAGTCTCATTCACTTTGTGGATTTAAGTTTTTAATTTGAGTTGAGATGTGATAAAAAAAATTAAATGTGATATTTTTTAAAAAAATTTTACTATAAAAATCTAAAATTGAAAACTCGAATCGAAAATCTAAAATTAAAAACTCAAATCGGTAAAATGAACGAAACCTTTATCTTTCTCTCTTAAACTCCCCTTTCTCTTCTCTCTTCTCTATCCTCCCACGCTGGCACTAACGGAAAGAAAAAAAGTTAAATGTGATATTTTTTAAAAAAATTTATTGTAAAAATTTAAAATTAAAAATTTAAATTTAAAATTTAAAATTAAAAATTTAAATCGGTAAAATGAAGAAACTTTTTATCTTTCTCTCTTAAACTCTCCTTCCTCTCTCTCTCTCCTCAATCCTCCCACGCTGGCACTAACGGAAAGAAAAAAAAAAGTTGCAGAGAAGACTCTCTCTCTCTCCTCCCTGCTCTCTCACTCTCTCTCCTCAGGAAAAACCGAATAGCCTTCACCTTCACCATCCCTGTCATGAGCTCTTCGATGTCGATGTCTATAGAAACCGGCACACGCAGCCACACCAACGAGTTTCACCACCGGCGAAGTAGTTTTGCGCGTTGCGAGCTCCAGTCGACAATGAGAGAGCAAGAGAGCGAGAGAGAGGGAGAGAGGCACACAAGGAGAGGAGAGAGAAAAGCGTGCGAGAAGGGGAGAGAGAAAAGTGAAGGAGAAAAAAGGGAACACGTGGGAGAGAGAGAGGGGAACTTTTTCTATTTTTTAGGATTGGCTTTAAAATTTGATTTTTTTAGGATTTCAGAAATGAACTCAATTTAATTGTAATTATAAATAAGGCAAAACAAGAAAGATAAATACACTTTTTTAAGAATACGCTTACTAATTATTTTTTAAGGGTGTATTTGGTAATAGGGATGAATTGATGGAGGGATAAGTACGAAGAGATTGAGGTGTGAAAATTGAAGCCTAACCTTGGCTTAGTTTAATAGAGATTTTAAGAAGTTAAAATCATTTTTTTTAAAATTTAAAAATTATTTTTAAGTTGAAATTAAAAATTCTTAAATTTCATCAATTAAAATTTAATTATTCCCAAAATAACCCTGAACCTATCTTTCTGAAACTCTCTTCGTGCTCTCTTAAAACTCTCAACTTCAGCCTCTTCTCCTGAAACTCTCAGCCTCCTCTCGTGCTCTCTCGCCTCAGCCTTCGCTCTCTCAGTCAAAGCTCTCTCCCTCCGTTTATCTTTCTTCTCTCTCTCGGACTCCCTCTCTCCGTTTATCTCCTGCGATTGTCGGCGGCGGAGTCCCCAAAATCTATGTTCTCTCGGCGTTAGTGGTTTTGCTCGTGTTAGCTGTCGAAGAGGCATTTACCCGGCCAAGGAAGAAGAAAACCTCACTCAATCCTCTCTTTCCACCAAATTTCCAAATTTCCCCATGCATTCTTAGGTTCGTGGAAGGAAGATCGATACCTGATTTTGTGAAGACTGGGTAGTGGAAGGAAGATCAAAGGCACGTGAAGCGCTCTTCCTACGCCAAGCTCGCTTACCGAAAGAGGTTCGCATTTCTCTATTTCTGTCTGTTTTTCATTTATGAACACTTTTTCCCCAAATCTAATGGTGCCCGCTCGTTCATTTTGTCCCCTCTTGTGGTTTTTGGTCAGTTTATACTAAGCTTTCTAATTCCCATACGAACAAGGCACAAAAAAAGCCCTAAATTCCCTTCTGTCGAAGAGCCTTTTGTTTTTTCTCTTTTCTTGGATGGGTTTTTTTGTTCCTTAATGAGCCTCCTCAGCCCCTATGACACCTCTGCGCCGCTCAACCCTAATTGCCTTTCCAACACCACCTCGTCGCTGCCTCAAGAGCAGCGCCTTCTTTGGCCTCCCTTGGCGTCTGCAATCAAGTCCAGCATCGTCTGGGACAGCGTCTACTTCGTTCGAATCACGTAGTGCGGCTACGAGTACGAGCAGTCCTATGCCTTCTTGCCTCTGCTTCCCCTTTGCATCTCCTTCTTCTCGCGAACAGGTTCGCCCCCAAAGATTCGGACTTTCGATTTGTACCTAATTAGAAATTTCGTAATCTCTTCGTTTCATTCGACGTTGTGTTTTAATGGCGGATTTATGTTTCAGTTTTTGCTCCATTAGTTCCAGTTATAGGGAAAAAACAAAAAACATTATGAGGATTACGTTTGGAGACCCATTTTCTAAAAAATAAAATTAAGACACCCATTTTCGGAGGATGAGAGGGCGTTTGATTTTGAAGCATGGAGCACCAGGGACCTGAAGGCGTTTGACATTAAGCTAGCGTTTCTGAAGGAGCTAGGATCCATATCCGCCGAGCTCTTGACCGGTTTCAAGCCTCCAATGCCAAAGGTAACTGTCAGATTATGTGTGTGTGTGTGTGCGCGCGCGTGTTTTTTTGTTTTGTTTTTGGTTGCGGAGAAAACTGAAGAGAAAAGAAAGGAAAGGAAAATAATTGATTTTTGAGAAGAATCCCAAATGTTTATATTTTCATGTTATTTGCGATTGAGAAAGGCTCTTGCTTTGATTTGTATTTGGACTTGGCTTTGACGGCGAAACAATACAACTGCGTTTGTATAGTTTCAAATGTAAATTAGTTTTATAGGTTTTTATTTCTTACTTTTTTTATATTTTTTTAATTTTTCATATTGTGAAGAGTCTCGAGATTATCTTCCATGGAAAATGACAGCGTAATTAATTTGAGTACCTGAGAAAATACACCACTGGAACGTTTCTCTTTGATTGGTTTTGTCTTGAAGTTTTATTATTCCTTGTGTTTTTCTTGTTATGGTACTTGCATTTTCTTTGAAAATACCATTATTGTAGATGTTAGTAGGAATTTAACGAAAAAAATAGTGTTTGTGGGTATTTGGGAACAATTAGGATTTTGAAATGCTATCTGCTTACTATGGTTTGTCATTTATTTACTTGAAGAGGGTTTTCTTTACGTGTGTGTATGGATATATATGTTTGTATTTACGTGTGTGTGTATAGATATATATGTTTGTATTTATGTGTGTGTGTATTTACGTATGTGTGTGTGTAAGTTTTAGCTTTTCTATAAAATACTTTTTTGTTTCCTTTCTCTGCCTTCGAAAAAAAATTCCACGCCTTCAAATAATTATACTAGGTTGCTAACAATATACATTTGTTTACGTGTTTTGTTTGATTCTTCTGATCCATACATACAGAATCGAAAGAACTAATAAGAAGGCCAGAGTCCTATGGAATAGTATGGTGCTCTCATTGTTATGGTCTCTGTGGATAGAACGAAATGGCATAATTTTTTAAGAAAAGACGATGGGGCCAATTGATATTTTTGAGAAGGTAAAGTTCTATGCATTGCTATGGGATGCTTCAGGTTCCCGTTTACTTTGGTCATTTTGAATTGGAAAGATGTAATAGGGAATTGATTTGAGATACCGTTTATGTGTTTATCTTGCTCTTTTTATATGTTAGTCAGTTTTTCACACCTGGCCATTTTTGTTTCTTTTTGGTTTGAGGATACCTTTATCATCTGCCCTTGTTATTGAATTTTATCAATAAAGTTTTTATTATAAAAAAAAATAAGCACGTAAAAAAAATAGCAAAATGTGTCATAAAACAATACTTCATATATTTATTTCTTTTTGCTTAAACAATCAAATGCAGGTAAATAAATAAATGGCATAGCTTCACTCTAGCATGCTTCATTAATAATCCTATTATACCAATGGTATTTTGATTAGGAAATGATAATCCTAATCGAAGCTAGGCGGCTCCACCTAGCCTGATCCGAGGGCCTCACCCATCAATGTGTGAATTTGTTCATTTACGTAAGTGTGTGTGTGTGTATGGATATGAATATGTTTGAAATGTTCTTTATTTGTGGTCTTATAATTAATTAATATTTGGCTTAGCTCGTTTCTTTGCATGAAATTTCTCAACAAATTTATTATATTTTCTTGTAAATTTTTTAGAAGAACCTCACCAAAATTGATAATTATGGTATTTTGTTGCGTTATCAAGACTGCAACTGTCCCTGCCAAGCTTTGTAAGAGAGAGAGCACAAAACAATTCAACAACTCGAAGACTGCAATTGTCCCTGAGTAATTGTCACTAATACTTCTTTTAGTTGTAATTATATTGTGAATGAAGAAATAAAAAAAAAGGAGAATTAATTATCATAAATTTATTGTTAAAAAATTTAAAATCATATCCGGATGTTTTTTTTTTAAGTTAAACAAGTATTTCTAAATACTAAAAATAATTATATATATTTAAGTTTCATATCATGTCTATTTTGTTTATTTTACATACTCACAGCAATTCAATCTCAAAATTTATCAAACGCTATTACACTGATTTTAGAATCAGTACAGCTATTATAATTACAATTTATCAAGCATTCAGCTGTTTTTTGTAACAGCTGCTTCTTTCTTCAGTATAGTTAAAAGTAATTTTTTTAAAATTCACAGCACTACCAAACTAATCCCTTGTTTGGTTGGGTGAAAAGGTGGGGAGAGGGGGAAAGGGAGGGATTATAAATCCCCACCAAAATCAATGCTCCCATTGTAGGATCGATTTTGTTGAATAGAAGGGGAAAAAAGGGCTGAATTTCCTATAATGACCTTTATCAACTTACTAATTTTCCATAAAGTCCTTAGACATTTTAAACATCATTTATATATCTTTTTTCTTCTTTTGCTTATTTTTATCTTCTATTTTAAGGAAATGTTTACTTATCTGTAATCGGAGTGGACATCAATCAGAGTGGATAAGATTCAGAATGGGTAAGAATCGGAGTCAGAAATCAAAGTCAAAATAAACTGTTTACTTACGTTTCAGGAATCGGAATCAGAATCAATCCCAATCTTATTCATGCTTTTACTTACACTCAAAATCAGAATAAACTGTTATAAATTTATTTACCTACCATTTTAGTAGATTTTTGTGTGTTGAACTTTAAAAAAAATTGTATATTATGCTAACTATCTTAATATTAGAATAATTAACTAGTAATTATATTTTTTTAATCACACCTAATTAATCATCTAAGTTATTTTTCTCAATAAATTTTAACTCAATTTCAAGAAAAGAATATGATGATGAAATAAAAAAAGAACAAAATAACTAAGGGCATGTTCTTTTGTCTAAAAAACTCAAAAAAAGACAACTCAAGTTTCAACTTTATTCAAGTTCACGTTCTTTTAAGTTTCGACTTTATTTAATTTTACTCAACTTTATTCAAGTTCTAACTTTAACTCAAGTTATAACTCAAATTTAACTCAAAAACTACACTCAAGTTACACTAAAAAAAAACAACCCCTAAGTTTTAAGTCATAAACTTTCAAAAAGAAGTTCCAAGTCATAAATCGAAAAATATATCCTAAGCATAATTCAAAGTATCAACATAATTTAAGTAAATTGATAATTGACTAATCTAACACTTAAACCCCATGACTAAGAATTTTGAGGATGTATCCCTTCTTGAGTTGATCCGGAATGTTGTAGAATATATGTAGCAAATCATGCTTTGTTGCTAAAATATTGGTGGCATCATATACTTGATCATCATCTAAGTCATCAATTTTCAGCATTTCTTGATACAAGTTGGCTTGTAATCCAGCTAAATCCTTGTCAGCAGTGGAAAGCACATCAATGAAACCATCTAATTTGAGTACCATTGCTGCCACAGATTTAGCCATCAACCCAATGTTGGAGCACATATTCTCAAATATCTTGTCTTTATTTTTACCTTTGGTCTTTTTCTTGCGAGTGGAAACGCTTGGAGAGCTTTCAGATGGTTGGCCCTGTTGAACACTTGGTTGCTGATTGTAGTACATATCATTTTTCATGAAATTCTCTTCAAAGGCATTCATATTTGAGTCAACACCCAAATTTACATTCATGGTATCTTGTTGGCGAACCTCTTCCTCATCATCATCATCTGCATTTTCAATACCAATGCATGTAGCTCGATCACGTCCATAAATTTCACCCAAAGTGTAATAATGAGGAAAAGATTTTCCATATAAACCAGCTGTTAAACAAGTTAAATAACATTTGTTAATTCACAAAATAATAACCAAATAACAACCATAGTATAATCTCCTTTCTCACATAGAAACTCGCATAATCTTCTAAACGTTTCTCTATCCATTCTTAATTGTGTCACACACTTGATATCACTCTCGTAAACCAAATCATACAAGTGACCTAATTGTTGATAAACCCTTATAACCATCTTTGGACTTCGTATCCTTCGTTCATAATAAATAGAAACATAGGTACACATAGCAGCATACACAACCATAATCATTTGTAACATCATAACTATCTCTTTTATCACTACAACCACTCTCTTCTTTCGTACTAAAAGTCTAGATATGATTATTTTATATTATTAACATATAAAATTAGATTTAGTATTACATTGTATATTATAAAAATGAACAACAATAGGCATAACATAAGAATCAAATTATAAGAAAAAAAGAAAAAAAACTAGAGTACTAGAATCACGTGAAATAAAGAGGGATAAAAATTATTGATAGTTTCAGTTTTCTAATCTTATAGTAAAAATTCTTAAAATAAAACAGATATAAGAGTTTAAAGAAATAAAGAGGGATAAAAAATTAAATTAAAATAAGGAAAAAAGCTGAAAAGCTAGAAGAGGACACACGCACCCGCACATGGAAAGGAATAGAAAAACCTTAACAGCAAAACTAGATAAACTAAAGCATTATCAACGTGTTCAACACAAAAAAAAAAAAGCAAAATGAAAATAAAAATAAAGGATGATTTATGGCCTAACCGACAGAAGAGGGGAAGAGGGGATGGTAAATGGCTGAGAGAGAAAGGGGGAAATAAACCCTAGAGAGTTAAATAAAGGAGAGAAATTAAGGGTAAATTTACATTTAATATCAGGATTGGGAGTGACAATCTGGTATGGGTGAGGGAGTGTCAATCCCATTTCTCCACCTCAAATTAGTGTGGGACCCACACATTCTCACTCCCATTTTATGATATAAATGGGTAAGTAAACATAAATTGATTCTGAATCTTAATTCCTATTCCTTACTCCTGATAAGTAAACATGCTATAAGTGTAGTGCATATAGATATGTATGTATTTTTAATATAAATATTTTTTATTTACTTTTTTCATGAATTGAATATATAGTAATCTAGTTCTTTTGGCATAAGTATTCAATCATAACAGTGTTTAATATGATATATAAATATATATTGAAAACAATATATAAATATATCTTTTATATATAAAACCAAAATTTGTATAATAGTATACTAAAAGAGCACATAATATGAATACAAATTTAACAAAAGGTTAGTATTGTAATTTTATCAATAAAAGAAATCATTTTCTTCTCATTCCATCTAATACCAAACCTTTCATTAATCCATGATTATTAGGAGTTAAACCTTTCATTAATATTGTAAACAGAACTAGATAGGAAGAGTACTTTCATCAATTATACAGTACAATTAAGAGGGTTCAATAAACCATTTGAAACAATTATTAAGTGTAAATTGACACAAGAGTAAAATTTTAGGGTTATTTATGAAACTAGTCCGAATAAATATACATTGTGTGAGACGTACGTTTTGCTTTTATCAAATACCTCTCATGTTTCTATTTGAAACGTCTCATAAGAACAATGAACTGTTAATCGCGGCACCTTAACTTATTAAATTGCCTTTAAAAGGAAGATAAAAAATATGCATAAATATAATTTTTTTTAATGAAACTTAGGCCACGTTTGCGGATTCGAGTTTTTAATTTGAGCTGAGATGTAATATTTTTTAAGAGCTTTTTATTGTAGCAGAAAAAGTTAGATGTGACATTTTTTGAGAGCTTTTTACTGTAGAAATCTAAAACTGAAAACTCAAATCGGTGAAATGAACGAGGCCTTATTAACTTGTTAAATTTTAGTGAGCAATTTTTGGTGATTGCTTATATTTTATTTTTGATTAGCAAGATAAAAAATATGCATAACATAATCAAATGACCTTTACCAATTGCAGTATAACAAGCTATAACTCGACCGTTTTGCCATCAAAGTTTCTCAATGTACTAATTGTTATGTATCAAAATTATACTTAACAGTTTATATATACGTATTTGAATTATATAATCGAAAGTTGTTAACTTCTTGTCGTTCTCGTCAACAGGCCTTTGTTGTCATATGTGGAAACGACAACGAAAATCTCATCGTTCGAGGGGATGTTAAGACGACAATGGCAACCTCGTCGTCGTGCGAAAGGATGCGGGGGTGACAGATCTGGCCCTATGAGGTGGCTTTTACAAGGTCTTAAACGACATTAAATGCTGACCGTCGGATAATGACCTCATCATCTTGGACGCTTCTTTTATGGACTAGGGGCTAGGGCTAATCTAATATTCTTTCTTCTCGCGTCTTCTTCTAATTTCTCTGTTCTGCTAATTATCCAGAAGCTAAACCCTAGCCAAGGTAAGACCTTTGAAGCTCCTCTTCTATTCTTTTTTTCTTACTGCTTGTTTTTGATGGCATAATTCTAGGGTTTATTGCCGCTTTTGAAGGATTCAATTAATTCATTTATTCTCTGGATTTTCCTGCGTTTATATGTATTCATATGTCTGTATACGATTTATATAATTTGGTTTTTTTATTTTGGTAAAATTTCATGAATTTTAGTTTAAAATTAGTATATTTTGTATTATCTTTATGTTGTAAAGAGGTTGTCCTAAGAGAGTTGACTGTAAACTTTGGTTATCTTATAAGAAAAAAAAAAAAAAAACTTGGGTCGAAAAAACAAAGCTAATAGATTATCCGTGATAGATTGTTAATGACTTCTTCTCAAAACTCAATTTTTTTCTCTTTTGCAGAGCGCCCTATTTAATTAAGGCTTATTGTTTGTTCCATTTGTGGTATGCACATAATAACTGAAGGATTTGAGCAAAATAACTTTGTGAGGCATGACAGAAAATTAGGAAAATTTTCTTTTATTAGGAATTTGTTTTATTCGGATGTTTGGTTTATAGATTTAGAATCATGATTCAAAATCATTCTCAATTTACGTGTATTTTTGTGAGAAAAAATACTGTAATAAACTACGAATCATGATTCGAATCAGTGTACGAATCCACCAACCAAACAACCCAAGGTTTACTTTGACCTAGGATCCAATTTTTTCACATATTGTTTAATTTTTAACAGTGTTTAGAGTTGTTTTTGTTTTTCACATTTTTTGAGAAAAAAAATAAAAACGAGAGAGAAACGGCATTTGGCACAAATAATGATAAAAAAACAGAAATGAAAACGATTTTTTGGTTTATTGTAAAATGAGAGATAAATGAAAAACGACTTTTAGAGTCCGTTTAGTTCGCTGATTCGAGTTTTTAATTTGAATTGAGATGTGATTTTATATGAGAACTTTTCACTATAGTAAAAAAGTTAGATGTGACTATTTTTGAGAATTTTTTACAGTAGCAAAACTCGATCGGTGAAATGAATAGGGCCTTGGTCATTTTTTATTTTTTGTTTCTATTTTCTCCTCTCTCGAGTAGAAAGAGAGAGATGGACATTAATGAATTTTTTTATATTAAAAATAATCTCTTAATAAAATTATTAAACGCATTTTTAAAAATAATTTCTGTCTGAGATTGAAAACATTTTTATTTTTATTTTCATACAAAAAAATAAAATTATTTTAAAACGAATTCTAAACGTACCTTTTGTTTCATTTTAGTTCAGTTATTTGTGTGTGCGCGCGCGTACGAGAAGAGCTGAAGAGTGATCGCACGGTCTTTTAGGTTCACGGTGAAAAGCGTGGTACTTAAAAGGTATGGCTGTACTCTTTATTGCTCATTTATCAATCTTATTTTTTCTTAACATGTCTGTTTATTTCAAACATTATTGCTTGGAAAGTTGTCCAATAAAATATGAAAGTTTGCTAGTAGCTTTGCAGCTTCTGATTCAATTACAACTCAACCTAATCTGTCTTATTGTGTATACAGCCGAGATTCACCATGGATTAAAACCTGTGTTATTGTGAATTAAAGGAAAAATAGAGAACGATAAAAACGTAATTGTTTTTCCTGTTACTGCACTGTCCTTACTTTATCATGGTTCCAGTGCTTGTTTAATGGAATTAACTCTAATTAAAAGTATATGAAACTGGCTTCTTTTTTTTTTTTGGCAATTTACCTCGTCGAAGAATTTTAATGTGGTATTAATTATGAATGTATTGGCCGCTACAGAAATGAAGAGATAGAAGAAATAGTCTTGAGGGTGCCTCCCAAGTCTCTAAAATATGTCGTCATGAAATCCACCGCCGCCGCCCTTTGTCTCTGTTTATCTTGCCGTTTTCAGTCCCCATTTCAATGGGTTTAAATTTTGTAAGGTTTTTTTTATAATTATTGTATTTTTTAGTTTAAAATTTATGAGTTTTTTATTATTTGAATTGTATATAATTATAGATTATAAATCTTGAAGTTTGATTTATAAATTTTTTATTAGTCCTACTAGAGAAACTCCATTTACATAAAATAGGTTTTTTTTTTTAAAATAGCCATTTTATTTTAAACCCCCCAAAACATTCACGTATCCCTTGAAGAAAAAAAGCAACAAATTTCTGTTCTGATCAGTATATTTAATACTTCTGTTCATGGGCAAAAATAAATAAATGAATAAAAAAAATAAAAAAAAATAGAACTTTTCGTTGTTATCGTCGTTTTAAGATCTATTCGTCGTTTTTCCGAATTACTTCTATTTACTCTCCCTTTTTTTTTTTTTTTCTGAGAAGAACTCTTAGGAGCAAATAAAACAACTCGAAATACTAAAATCCAAACCCTCGAAACTGAATCAGAGAGAGAGAGAGAGAGAATGTTGAAGTTCCTGTCGAGAGTGAAGATCGAGTTCAACGCATTGGATCCACGCACAGCGTCGTGCATGGAGTTCTTGGCACAGTGCAACGCTCGCAAGGCGAAGGAGTCGAACCCGGCCTGTCAGGTCCTCGTCAAGCGCCGGACCGATGACGAGCCGCCCAAGATCGCCGTCACCTTCGTCAACGGAGTCGAGGAAGTCTTCGACGCCACGTCCACGCCTGCGCAGAGCATAAGGACCATGATTCTCCAAAAGGGTGAGTCCCTCGAGACCGAGCAGATGTTCCGCGAGGCCGGCGAGCCCTGGCCCGTCATCATTCCTGAGGAGGAGCTCCACCAGCCGGCACCGGGAACAAAGGTTAGTATTTTTCCTCTGTTTATTTTCCCTCTTGGGCTTCTTTTTTTTATGTTTTTTTTTTTTTAAGAATTTGGATTGCTCTGCCAATTTACATTGCCTTAGTGTTGTTTAAGCACGGATATGGAGTTTATTTTTTTACATTAATTATGCTTATTCATAATTTGATAAGTCTTGGCCCATTTCTTGCCATTTTATGGATTTCAAATCATGATTTAGATAGAACTGCATGACATCTAAGTTCTTGTTAGAGCCGTCTGTGTGTTTTGTCTTATGGTTTATCAGTGCACATGATATTTGGAATTTTGTGGCAAAAAAGTTGAATTTGAATTTTTGTGAGAGAAAAGACTAGCAAAAGAACTTGTGAAAGGAACATGGTAGTAGTGAGTTGAGTTTTCTGCTTCAGAATGTGTTAGTAGCGTGCTCTAGAACTGGTTGGATATGTTTGATATCCACACTCAATATTCTTTGAATTCTATGTTAATTTGTGTAGATAACAATTATGGTACTACTTTGCGCGTGATATTGACATGAAAATAATTGAAATTTTTGGCTGAAGAGCACGGCCTAAATTCGCTGTGTAGACTTCGATATTGCTTCTCATAGATTATCTTTAAAGCATCAGGAATAACTAATTCATGTTGCTTTTGATTATGCTCACAAAGAGTTACAATATTAGATTCATTTCTCAGTCTGTCATTGTGACCTTTCTTTTACAGCCAAGGAAAGCAGAAGAGAAGAAGCAATAACCGTATTTTTTAGATTGTAAGGGCGGTATTTTTGAGATTGTAAGGGCACAAGTCTGCTGTATTTCAATGGACTTGTATCATTGTGGTGAGGTTTTCTATATGCAGGAAAATATTCGAATGGTGCTTTGTATTTTGATGCTCGTAATTTTCACTTTGGATGAAGATTTTATTTGTAGCTAGAATTTTTTTTTTTTCCCAGTTTGATATCATGATTTTGTAGCGTGAATAACAAAAAGGAAAAACATATTACATATGTAATATTTTCTCGACATGGAAGATATATTAGTGTTTCAAAAAGGCGTTCATCTTCAACATTAGTGAGTGGGCGCACTACTAAATTTTTCAAAATAACATTATTTATGACGACATGTGATCACAAATAGTTTATTATTTACGACGACAGATGTCGCAAAATAAATTTAATTTATTTTTTTCCCCGAGCAAAAGGGATTATTTTGGCGGGTGGTAAAATTTTTTTGTGACGACATTAATGTGTCGTCGCAAAAAGTGATTTTGTATTCCCTTGCAAATTGTGGTATGCTATGATCAGTAATCCGTCATTTATAAAAAAGCAACTCCATTTCAGTATAGAGAACAACAAATATTCGTCCCCTATAACATTATGTTTCAGCTGCATTTATCAAGAACTATCAACAGAGGAAATCTTCACTGGTCAGTACAAATATCTTGGTGGAAAATTGGGCACTAGTGTTGAAGGTTTTTTAAAATTATTGGAAGGTATCTTTTGGTGGTGTTGAAGGTTTAACTTATTGGAAGAAGCATCTTAAAATTGGGCCACTAGTGTGCATTCATTCGCCTCTAGCATTTTGGAAAAATAACGAGTTGTTAATGCAAACTAGAGATGGTTGAATTGTGTCATAGACTTTGTTTATTTCACCGATTTGAGTTTTCAGTTTTAAGTTTTTACAGTTAAAAACTCAGAAAATATCGCATTTAATTTTTTTTGTTATAGTTAAAAGTTTTCAGAAAATGTCACATCTCAGTGCAAATTAAAAACTCGAATCCGCGAAGTGAACGAGACTCAACCTTCATATCCAAAAGTGTATGGAGCTTTCCATTCCAAGATCGGTATTGCCAAGCTCAACTCGTGCCTTTTCATGTTTGAAGAGTTTAGTTTCGGTGAAAATAGGAAATATGCTTAGCACGGAAGTCTATTTCAACAGGCTATTTTCTACAGCATTTTGCTTTTCTTTTCTTTAATAAATTGTGAATAATCCTGTTTATTTTTTAAAATTATATTAGAAGCACATCATTTAACCAATAAAAAGAGAGAGAGAGAGCAAATTGATGAGTTAGTACACTGGCGAGTTAGAAAGTATAATTTTACTAGTCACCAGTCATGTTGAAGTGTAGTAAAATAAAAAGGGTAATTGGCATTAGAGGTTTTTAAATTTTTTTAATAACTGACAGTTTAGTTTTTTATTTTTCAATTTTGGCAAATCACCCCTAAACTCTTTAAATAGGAGCAATTAAGTCTTTTTCGTTTATTTTTGTTAGTTTTTGGACGGAATGGCTCAGTTTGGTATTGATTTTTGAAGGGTAAAAGTAATTTTTTAAGCTGTCACAACAGTCAATAGTGTTTGATAAAATGCATAAAAGTTGATTTTAGAAGAATCTAAGGCTAATTTAAATCTAAAATCAGAATCAACTGAAGGCCAGCTTCTCATTTTGGCTTGCGCGGGAATCTGAGGAGCCCAATTAATGAAAGTTTTCTATTACCCAATAATACTCCAAGTGAAATCTAATATTCACCGACTTACCAAAAATGTTTCAGACTCGCCAAGATCTCTCTCTCCGTTCTCTGCACCCTCTCCGTTCTCTCTCTCTTCTCTCTCTCCGTTCTCTCGGTGTCCCTCTCTGATTGTCGCCGGTCTCTCTCTTCTTTCTCCATGTTCTCTCGGTCTCCCTGTCTGTGCTCGTTTCCGATCTCCTCTACACGATTGTTGGATTGCCGGTGTCTCTGTTCTGTCGGTATCCTCCGGTTGTCGCCAGTATGTACCTCATCAAATCAAGACCTATCACCTCTGTAAGTAATCGATTGATCTTCGTTTCTCTGGATTTGGTTCTGTTTTGTCTATTTTGTCAAAGCTTACTATTTTAGCACCGTTTGATCACAACATTTGAAATAGTTATCAGTGTATACTTTTAAAACATTTGAATTTCTCCACTTTTGTTTGCTTAAAAATTAGGTTTTGTGTTCTCTGGCTTGATGGATTTTGAGAAAAAATCTTTTTTTTTCCCTTTGCTCTGTATTTATTCGGTTGTAAATGGGGATGAATTTCGTAAGAAATGCTTTAAGAGGTTTACTCTCAGTTAGATCTTCACATTTCTTTCATTTTGATCACCAAAGTTTTCAATCAATCACTTGTACAGGCGGTTGAGGGATCAAGGATGCGGGGAGCGAGTAAGATCATTGGCATTGACAAAAACGTGAAGAAAAAGGGAAAAAGGAGAAGCATTTAGAATGACCGATTTCATAAATCATGTTGATGAGTCTGATAAATCTGTTTCACAGCTAATTAAAGATTTGACTGGTGGAGTAGGTGTGGATTATTGCTTCGAGTGCACAGGCGTCCCCAACTTCACCAAAGAAGCCCTTGAAGCCACTAAATTAGTATGCTTACACCTCTATCTATCTTTTTTCATATTTGTTATTACTAATGATAACAACCAAAAAAAAAAAAAACATTTTGCAAGTTTCTTCTTATCTGTGATATTTTCTTCTAGTCAGGGCAAAGGAAAAGCAATAGCAATTGGATTGTCAAATGTAACAACCTTGCAAATCAGTCATCTTGCACTTCTGTGTGGCAGAACCTTGAAATGTTCCATTTTTAGAGTGCTCAAAACTAAAATAAATCTTCCCATTGTGATTGAAAAATACAAAACTAAGGCGAATTACCAACAATATTTTTTCAACCCCATAAAATTTCCTTCATTAGCTCCTATTTGATGGAACATATATGCTTGTTATTAGAAATTATTTAGAAAGTATGATGACAATCAACTATTTATAGAAAGCACACCTAGTTCATGGAATAATTTATCATGTATGTCACTTTTTTGTGCATATAACAGATGAATCTGCCTTTGTGTCTCAAATGCATGTGATTTGAAATGCGTTTTGAGAATCCATCAAAACAGATGAGGATTTTGAAACCCTTTTTGGTTTTTTTGTTTTTGTTTGTTTGTTTTTTTGGTTGATTCCGGGCAGGAAATTCAGCTTGATGAACTTTTGACTCATGAAGTTCAACTGTCAGATATTGGTAGAGCATTTCAACTGATGTAGCAGGAAGATTGTCTAAAGGTTCTTATAAAGATTTAGTTTTAAATTGGCTACTACATAAATATTATGTAATGATTAAGAATGGTCATCTTTTGTTTGCCTCAAAAAGATGTCATTTCCAACTTTTATCAAAGTTCGATTGAGTGAGCGAACAATCTCATATATATATATATATATATAGAGGCTACAAACACACGGAATAAGAAAACATCAAACGCCAATTTTCCTTCTGTTAAAAAGAAAACATCCTTTCAGTTTTAGAGAAAAAAAGAAGAAAATATCCCTTTTTGAAACTGGACTTTTTCATTCATTGAGAAATTCTTGGTCATCTCTAGTATTTTAGATATCGTGAATAACCAGGAGGAATTTGTCAATAAGTATAATAAAATGGAAAATAAACCTACGATTGTGAGTGCTTATTTGTGCAAAATATTTCCGAACTGATATGAAATATACTTGGCAAATAAAGTAATAAAGGACATTAAATTTCCAACTTAATTCTTTTCATGTCTCTACTAGTTTTTGAACATAAAATGTGTATTTTTATTGTACATGTTGATTACTCACTAATACTCATTTTAGTTGTAATTATATTGTGAACGAAGAAATAAAAAAAAGTAATTATTATAAATTTATTATTAGAAAACTCAAAATCATAGTATTATGTTTTTTTTTAAAGTTAAACAAGTATTTTTAAATACCAAAAATAATTATATATATTTAAGTTTCATATCATATCTATTTTAGTTATTTTACACACCCATAACAATTCAATCTCAAAATTTATCAAACGTTATTACACTAATTTTAGAACCAACACAACTAGTATAATTATAATTTACCAACCACTCAATTACTTCTTATAACAACTGCTTCTTTTTTTAACATAGTTAAAAGTAATTTTTTTTAAATTCACAGCACTACCAAACTAACCAATATGTAACTTGCAATGCACATGTCCTCATAAAAAAGAGCATTTTAGTAAGTAAATATGGTAAATTTTACTAAAATTAAAATAAAAAAATAGAGAAAGGCAACTCACGTCCATCAAAAAACTATTAGATCAAATTAACAAAAAAAAAAAAAAACTGAACTGATTTTAGAATCTAGATTAAACAAGCACGATTTAAACTCAGAAGTTTGGAATCAAAACCATCCATCCGACGTCAAACTTAAAACAATAGAAGAAGAAAACTTCAACAATCAAACGTCAAAGACCCAGACTGTTAAACTCGACAGAAGAACCACTATGATTGTTTGTCTTCAGAACCAATCGACTTCTGGGTCATTAAAATATCTAAATTTGAAGCACACTCAAGCTGATTAATAGACCCCAAATCTCCTCAAACTAGACTTGGATTTATATATCCATCGAGAAAATTGTAATTTCCAAAGCTTTTTGTCGTTAAAAATACAAAAACAAATATAAATCAAAATGTATTTTTCAATACTCAGATAGCCATGACTTTGATGGAGGAGATTTCCAAAATTACAAAATACAGAAACCCAAATTACACTTGGTGGTGGTTGTCAAACATAAGAGTTTTTATTTTATTTTTCATTTTTTTTGTGAGCTTGAAGACTTTGGGTTCTTTAGATGGAGGAGTTTATACACACTTATGGAGATGTATCAGACGATGTTGTTGAGGAAAGATGCTTTTCATGTTTTGGGTTCCTCTGTTTTTTCCTTGTTTTTTATTTTATTTTTTTAGGCGTGGGTTATTAGGATCTTCATTACATGTCTTTTCATGTGAAGTGATTTAAGTCTCATTCACTTTGCGAATTTAAGTTTTTAATTTAAGTTAAGATGTGATATTTTTTAAGAATTTTTTATTGTAATAAAAAAATTAAATATGATATTTTTTAAAAAATTTTTACTATAAAAATTTAAAATTAAAAATTTAAACCAATAAAATGAACGAGGTCTCTCTTAAAAAATTAACGGAAAGAAAAGAAAGGACTTAATTGCTCTTATTTAAAGAGTTTGTTTAAGGGTGATTTGTTAAAATTAAAAAAATAAATAAATTGTCACTTACTTGTCAATTACCCAAATAAAAATCAAATAATCTTCTTTGTATATCCCCTTTCTCCTTTTCTTCTTCTTCTTCTTCTTCTTCGTATATCCCTCCCTCAGCCCCGACAACACCGTGAGTCCCCCAACCCCGACGTTGCAGCGAGTCTGTCATTTCCAATGACGTCGCGTGCTCGCCTCTAGCCCCGCTGAACTCGAGTGCTCCTTCCTCATCCAGTGACGCCATGGTTCCTCCACTCATAAAATAAGGTCACGACATGTTCGCTGACAAGCCTGACATTAGCAGCTAAGGAAATAGTCTCTCCAGTTTGACTTGAACAACACGAAGCTTTGTGTTTATATATATATATATATATATATTAGATCTAGGAGGATTAAAGAATTACCCATTTGAATTTTGCGACGTGATTCAAGGAGCATCCACGATGGAATTCTTTCTTTTGTTTTCTCCTTGATCAGTATTAAAGATTTTTTCAGAAAAAAAAAACCTTCACTTTATTTTTAATTTCTCCTTTATCAGTATAAATCTTCTTTAAAAAATTAACATCTTAAATTTAGATTAGATTATTGTGTGTGTGTTTTAAGAAAATTAACGCTTTTAATTTTTTTTTAAAGATTTCAATCAAGGATGAGCAAAATAACCTTAAAAAAAAATAATGTTAGAGACACCAATTCAAATTATAATTTTTGTGTATTAAATAATGTGACATGTAAATTATTATTTTTTTATTAGTAAATGTAATATCTTATTATTAATTGACGTGATAATATTTTAAACACACCTAATGTAAAAATGACAACTCATATGTCACATCAGTTAGTACACAAGAGTTGAGATTTGAGTCCATAAGAGTATCTCTAATGCAATGCTATAATTAATGTGTTAATTGTAAATTTAAGATTTAAGTGTAAAAAATACTCTTCAATGCAATGTTATTTATTGTGTTAAATTTATCATATGTTATAATTTGTGGTAAATTTCTCACCAAGTATAACATATGAAAAATTTAACATTTGATTGTTATCGGTTGAAATACTTAATTTTTCATGTAATCGTTGCAATTTTTACATTTTTTAATTATTTTAAACATAAAAGTTTATTTTTATAACTTTTAAAACTTAATAATTATAAAAAATTTAACATTTTAAATAACTTTATGTATTAAAAAAAATAACATATCATATCACACTTTTTAATAATAAATATATAATTGACATTAATATTTACATTAAAAAGAGTCGATATCAATCATTTCTGTTTAAAATTATAATGGACGATCTTTTTTCCCTGTTAATATTTCATTTTTTGTGAAGTGCGGATGTTGTTTTAAAAAATCAGCAGGTAAAGTGTTATAAAGGTTGAAGTGTTTGTAATTTTTCAAAATCACAAATAATTAAAGTAGAAGCCCAAGATCATATCAACAGCCATGGCAATTAGATTTGTAATTTTTGAGAACAATTGAGAACACGAGAAAATTAGGGATTCGTTGCTAGTCTCTCTAAGACTTTTTGCCCACGCACTGATAGAAACTCAGACTTTTTTTTGAAGACTAGTTACCCTATTCCTCAAGAGTTTTAACGTAATATTTTTTTGATATCTTCTTCCCGTTAAAGAAGACAGATAAATAACTGTAGATAGGAAGTTACAACACTGACACATAGCTTTAATTTTTAATTTCAATGGGCCATAAAACAGAAAATATTTATTTTATTTTATTTAAAATATAAAACGTTTTCTAACACGAAGTTGAAAAGGAATTTTTGCAATTAATCAATAAATTAACGCCTAAATAAGATTTTTTTTTTCAAAAGAAAAGTCAAAAATTGAAATCGTGACTAAAAGTGAAGGCAATTATTGGTCCTCCCTATCGTGTCATCCACATCAATTTAAATAAGGAGACGTTTAGTTCATGGATTATAATTATTTTTAATTTACGTGTATTTTTTATGAGAAGAAATATTATAATAAATTATAAATTATGATTCAAATTATAATTTGAATCCTCTAACCAAACATCCCTTAAATTTTTAATTTTCTATGTTGTTGTCGTCTTCGTCAACAAGGCCTTTCGTGTCATATATGAAGACGACAACGGCAGCCTTGTCGTGCGAATGTGAAGGCGACGATGGCAACCTCATTGTTCGAAAGGATGTGAGGGCTGACAGATTTGGCTGTGGTTCGATGAGGGGGCTTTTTTAAGGTTTTAAACGATATTAAATGCTGACCGTCCGATGATGACCTTTTATAGAAGCTAGGGCTAACATAATATTCTTCTTCTTGCTGTATCTTCTTCTTGGTCTAATCTCTTTGTTCTGCTAATTATACAGAAGCTGAACCCTAGCCAAGGTAAGGCCTTTGATGTTCCTGTTCTATTCTCTTTTCTTACTGCTGGTTTTTTGTACTTTTATTATCTTTTTGGCGTTTGATTGCATCAGATGGTTTTTGATAGCATAATTCTGATTTATTGCCGCTTTTGAAGGATTCAATTAATTCTCTAGATTTTCCTGTGTTTATATGTATTTATATGTTTGTGTGTAAACATATATAATATTTGGTTTTCTTTTTTTGGATTTTAGGCGAGTTTATCTCAGATGTATAAAGGGATTGTTTTGGTAAAAATTTCGTGAATTTATAGTTTTTTTGTATTATCTTTGTGTTGTAAAGAGGATGTACTTGTATTTAAATGGCAGATTTTGTATTTACTAAAATCACATTTTTTTAGGTTATAAGTGAAGCATTCACATAGTAAATTCGTTATTTACCGTGCCACTAGCTGATAAATGCTTATTTACTTGTTCTTTTTACATTTTTTAGTTATGGTGACTTGAGTGATAATCTTAAATCGAGTTTAAGTTATAACTTGAGTTGAAATTGTAACTTGAGTTTGTGTTTGAATGTGCACATTTGAGTTATGATTTGAATTGAGAATCTATTTGAGTTTGTGTTTGGGTAAGTCAAAACTTAAATTTGTATTTAGATAACATTTTAATAAAAACTCAATGGTGATGAAAAATTTTAATAGGATATATGGGTGGGGTTTTATTCATTTTTTCGTTGTGAATGTATAGAAAAAAAATCATCTAAATCAGAATTAAAATGAAAAAATTACGATATTTTTATGAATAGAAAAAATATTGTTCATTAATTTGAATTCGAGTTTATAAACTCAAGTTGAAGGGGAAACTTAAACTCGAGTTTAGCCCTAAACTCGAGTTCAAACTCAAATTTTACAAAAGAACATGAACTTAAATAAAGTTGTAACTCGAGTTCAAACTTTTTCTGAATTTCGTTGCAAAAAACAACCCCAAGTAAATTTGTTATTTTACTAAAGAAACTAAATTATTAGCTTGTAAATGAAGGATCACAAGAATAACTTGTAAACAATGGAATTACCTAGTAAATCATTCATTTACCTGGAGTATAACTGCAATTTAAAATAAAATATAAATTGGCCCCTTAATTTTTTTAAAAATCATAATTTGACCCAACTTTTAAAAATTGTACAAAAATACCCTTATTGGCTGGTAAATGAAGAATTTATCGAGTAAATTCGTCATATACCATATAAGCTATAACTATTGGCCGGTAAATAAAGGACTTACTCATACTTAAATGGTAGATTTTGTATTTACTAAAATCTCATTTGTGTTTTTTTTTTAGTTGTAGTCGAAGCATTTACTTAGTAAATTCATTATTTACCATGCTTTTAGTTGGTAAATGAAGCATTTATTAGATAAATTTGTTATTTAATGCGCCTTTAGTTGATAAATGCTTCATTTACTAAGTAAATTCAATATTTACTAAATAAACTAACTTATTGGCTTGTAAATAAAGGATTACAAGAATAACTTGTAAATGATGGATGTACTTGATAAATCATTCAATTACCAGGGGTATAAATGCATTTTTTTAAAAAGGTCAAAATGTAATGCTTCAAAAATAATGGGATCGAAATATAAATTTTTAAAAATTAAGAGGACAAAATATAATTTTTAAAAAGTTAAGGAGTCAAAACCTAAATAATTTAAAGTTTCAAGAGAGAAAGAACATAGGGGTAGAATTGGAACACAACATAGCAAAATTGTAAAATATGCTATTTATTTTCACTATTTTTAAATATGTTATTTACTATAAATGGTTTAACAAAATGATCTATATGTTACAATTTCCCTTTTCTTAGTGACCTAAGAGAATTCTTCTAAATTTAGAGTCCATTTGATTCATAGATTTAAATCAATGAAACAAACACATGATAAAAAATTATATATCATATGTCATTTTATTTTTGTTCAATTTTCTCTGTAAAAAAAAAAAAAAAAAAAAATACTTGGGATCTATGGACTTTTTTTTTCTTTGTTGGTGAACATCATGTGGTGGAGTCAAGTCAGTGTAAAATTACTATTAGATTATACTTACAACCATATTTGGGACTATGGATTAAGTTAGTGCGGGGTAGGGCCTTTTTCTTCTCTCGTCCCAAAGGGTGCGGGTTACACATATTTAGCTCGAACGATGTTAGAAAAATTTCATAACCCAATGATGTTTGGGTTGGGTTGGGGCGGTGCGGGGTGAGTTGGGTGGTCGGTTTCAACATTCAAATAATTAAAGACTTAAAATTCAATCCAACATTTAAAGTTCAGCATCAAATAGAAATAATAACTCCAACATTCAAACAGATAAAAATTTAAAGTTCAATCCAACATTAAACATGAAGCAAAGTAGTCCATCCAACATCAAACACAAAACAAACATAAATTAGTCTTAACATAAAACAAACATAGATGCTTAATTCAAACATGAAGAAATTAGAGAGTAGAAATGAGTTGCTTGTCTAGGGTTAGATATTAGAGGAGGTAAGTTAGAGCGCGGATTGGATTGGAGTGTGCGGGCCATTATAGGCCCAACCCACACCCCGCCTCAAAACTTGGGCCAGACATTGAATTAGCCGGAAAAAAAAAATTAATACTAGAAATTGTATTTTTCGGGTTGGGTTGAGGTGGGGTGAGTTGGGTCTGCAGGTTTTGTGGGTTTATGAACAGCCCTATTTAGGATAAGGATTTTACTATGGAAAAAATTATCTCTCCTTTTTTTTTTCCTCTTTTTTGTGAAAAATTATTTATTTGGATAAAGGTCGGAATTTAGGATTTGTTTTAGCTTTAATAGGATATTGTCTCGTAGATAAGGATGATCTTAACAAATAGTAGCATAACATGCCAAATAGTTTTACCACATGCCCTTTCTAGCAATCAATGATGCAGAAAGTAGATGTAAAATCTGTTTTTATGATTTACTGGATATAATTAATATCAAATTAATTATTTTATCGAAAGTGTAAATTAAAGAATGAACATAGACAATTTTTACGTGATCCGGTATATACATACATTTATGAGGCAATGTCTAGCTATTGAACAATCCACTAAATCTCAAGGATTAATTAAAGACTCATTCTTTGGTTTTATCGTTACCGTATAGAATCAACTTAATGAACTTATTCAGCGAGCACCACTTACCTATACACTTAAACTCCTTTTTAACTTGCAAATCTTTTTCTTGCAAAAACAACTAGTTCTTCTCCTAAAGAATGATGAACTCCCTTCAACACTGTAGACCGTCTTCTCCTCTCAAAGCACAACGTGTAGACGCCCTAAAAAGCCATCAATTGCATTTGATTTGAGATTTATATAGAGTTGTATGAAATTCTCTCTCAAATCTTGGATCAGAATCTATCTGTGATTTGTTCCAACATAATTTGCAGCATTATCTAATTCCTATTTTTAAAATAAAACATAATCTTTATCTGATTTTTCTTCCAAAATCTTCAGCAAAAATCTATTTTAATGAAATTGCATTTCCCTGGAATTTATAGAACCAAAACCATATCCTTGTTTTTTGAATTCAACTTAGACTAAGATTATTTACTTTTAAATCTTCTAAAATCTTTGATAGCTATAGCATATCTTCAATGCATATCCAGATATCTTTTTGCTAATGCATATATCCGAAACTTATCTGATAGAATCTTCTCTTAAAATTCAAATACGCCTGACAACTTTTTTTTTTTCCACTAAGTAACCAGAATTGTAGATTTTCTTGAATATTGTTACATAAATGCCAACAACAAAACCTAACAGTTGAACTAAACCATTCAAAAGTCTTTGCAAGATGACCCACAGGTCATGTCAAACATGTAAAAACACTTTTTTGAGTCTTTTGTTGAGCAACACTGCAAGAGATTAGATTAATTTGCACAACCATTGGTAAAATGTACATATATCCAAAAGCCACCAAACACGTAATGGAAATTGCATTTTGCTTGATTTCACTTTTCAGTTATTCTTTTTTTATTACTTTGGTCAGTCTCCAGAAAACATGAAAAGTTTTCAATTCTGACGAGGATTGGTTTGTGCTTCCTCGTCATGCATGGTTGGTGGCTGAGACTTCATTGATGAAGAAAGAGAAGCCACGGCCTCTCCGACCGTCAAGTAGAGGTTTTCTGGTTTTGCAAAGTCTCGGGTTTCCTCTGCCCTTTGCAATTTCTCCAAAACCTCACCCAAAGGATTCACCAACACTAGCTGAAAATGCAAATAGAAAATGTGTCAAGACACAAGTAAAGAATGAGAAAAACACATGAAGAGCTTTGAGAAGATAAGGAGAATTTTTCAGTTTTACTTGCCTCGATTCCCTTCTTCTCAACTGCTTTTCTCAAGTCCCTAATAAGGATGACTCCAGTTGTGTCTATGGTGCTTACAGCTGAGAAGTTAAGATGCACGATCAAGCTCAGATTTGGCGTAGATAGGATGCTATAGTTTTTTAAGATAAAGATATTAGAGTGCTTTTTCTAAATGAGATCTTTGCTTTCTATGTAGGTAACGTGCTCAAGATTTCGATGATTCAAAAATGTTGTTGTGTTTGATTTGGCTGAAATGGAATTTTTATGAGATATTAGACCCTTTTTTTTATGTAATTCAGTCTTGTTAAATCAAACGCAGCCTAAACACATAAAATCAAGTGCTGAATTCAATGAAACTTTGGAAAAACGACTCTACTTCTATCTTTACTTCTTTCTTTTTCTCTCCATTTTCTTACCTGACAAGTCTAGAATCACATATTGAATGCTCAAATGCTTCTTCACATCAACTTCCTCCTCGTACTCTTCTATCCATCTCAAAATCCTTTTGTCAAAATGGAAATGGTTAGAGCAAGTTAAAAAAGAAGGGCTCAAATTTACTGCATAAGAGTGTAGAAAGAAAGATGCAAACCTCTCATTGAGATACATGCTGTTAGCGAAATTGATCGGCGCTTCAATGCTCAAGATAAGGAAGCCAGGAACTCCTACAGCTTGCTTATAGTGATGCACATTTCGATATATATCCGACCCCGGTATGCTTCCCAACACCACTGTCCTTGGCCTAGTTATTTGAAGCAAGATCTTGAATATAGAAATTCCAACCTTAAGATAACCAAAGCACAACCATTATTTTACATGTCACGACATAACAAATTACCAATTGCTTACTTCTATAGGACCAAATAGAGAGGTTTTGTAAAGATTTCCAACAAAGTGAGCAAAGAATTTTGGTGTATTTACCGCTATGGCCAGGCCTTCTTGGACAGAGATGAATAGGACACCCAAGAATGCACATAACATGACAAGGAAATCGAACTTGTCAGTTTTCCAAATGTTGAACGCCGCAGGGATATCGATTAGTCCAACCACGGCTGTGACTATTATAGCTCCCAGTACAAGATTCGGTGTATATTGGAAGAGTGGCATGAGGAAGAGGAGTGTCACCATAACAGTTACTGACATAACTATGTTAGATACCGCCGTCTTTGCTCCGGCATTGTGATTCACAGCAGACCGCGAAAAGGCACCTGAAGTCAAACATTCCTTAATAATAAAGCCCTAGTCTTATTCGTGGAATGTTCATACTCTCTACACACAAATAATTTTCTGCACATGTGACAACATGTCAACAATAGTACATTGTAGTACACTACGAAATTAAACGAGTCTCGCATAGTTATGTGACAATACTAGCGCTTAATCATCGAAGGGGCTGTGCTCGTCGCACCTGTAGTAACATAGCAGGAAGTGGCGGAGCCAACCATGTTCATTAGCCCAATTGCCATCATTTCCTTGTTGCCATCCACCCTATAATCTTTTAAGGCCGCAAATGTTCTTCCCACAGCAATGCCTTCCTATATTTTGATACACAAAAAAAAACCAAACGATGTCGTAATGTCTAGGATGGTAAAATGGAAGTGGGGACCGTCAAATTGTCGCCGTGATGTACTTAATGTTATGTAATTAAGATATGTCGATTAAACAGCATAAAAAATAGTTAGAATGCCCCTTCTTTCTTATCTAATCATAACATGTTTGAAACTTTTTTTATTTGAGAAATTCTGTCTTCCTTATTAATTATTATGACACAAATTATTCTAATCTTCTTCTGGACACCGACAAAAATTTGGCTTGTTTTTATATAACACTACACGGGGAATATTTTCACCATAGCTGGATAGTGTTTCTATCATGTGAATACAGAGCTTACAACAACAACAACAACAACAATAATAATAATAATAATAAGAAAAAGTAAAAAGAGTTTATGAATAACTTACAGTAAGGGAAATAATGCCAGTGACAAACCCAGTCTTGATTACTAGTCCTAGATGGGCTCCATGGAAAAGTAACATGTTCCATGAAGGTGGGTTTAATCCTTCCTGTAACTTTCCGATCTACCAAACAGAAATTATGTAAATAAATACTCAGGAAAAAAGAAAAACAACAACAACAACAACAATCAGTATAAAGAGCACTTTTTTTTTTTTTTTTTTCCAATTTATTCCCGCAAAGTATTCATAATAGTCGTCTAATTTTTTTGATTCTATAGTAATATAATATAGACTTATGATCCGTAACGTGAATATGTGATTGGTTAAGAA